ACTATGTGATCAACATGGCTACAAATGGATGATGAAAATGACTTTTCGGGCACTTCAAAGCAATAACGCCTTATCACAGGTCCGTAATGCTCCACTCTGCTAAACAGGTCTGGGGAGAGGGTGGAAAGATCGTCCCACTGGGACGAAATCAGAGGCCCGAGCATTTCATTAAAAAACAAGTCAAACACACAATGAAATTCTGCATGCTCTACTTGACTGCTTTATATTCACACATAAAATAACTGTTTGTTGCTGCCATGAGTTCTGAAGCATTTATTTATTACAGTTGATATATTAAATTAATAAAGGTCAGCACACCAAAATAAGGAAAACTAAATGTTGAGGCTGTACTACTTTTGGTTGCTACTTAACAGCAGCTGTCTGTTATTAGTCCATCAAGCTCTGATTGGTCCAAACTGGTGTCTGGAAACTTTATTAACCCTTTTCTTCGCTGCTGTCCTTGCTTCAAGCTTTAAACATGATGACTGTACAGGTCTTTCTTGTGTACGTGCTGTTCAGGTGTCTCAAAATGGGGTCGTTTGTGGGAATGCTTGGTGTTGTTTTGGGATTTTTCTTTTTTCTCAATTTATTTTGTTGTTGTTTATAGGGTTTTCCATTTTTCTTGGCTGATTGTGGATGCACACAGCCTTCCCTTGAAAAGTAAGTTACAATTTCTTCCTGAAACATTTAGCTTCCGTTGAACACGTGTTTTTCCTTCCTAAGGCATAAAATCCAAGGACAAGGGTGGCGGTGCTACAAATGCTGCTATCAACTTTGCCTCTGACCAGGGAGCAGCCACCAGTGGCTTTACAGCTGTGCCTTACAGCATACAGAGTGACCCATCAATTCTTCTGCAAGCTCCCGGTTTCACCCAGCCCGTTCTACAGACGAGTCAGGGTTATATGCTGGCCCCGGTCGTTTATCAAGCTCCTGGTGTCGCTCAACTTGTTCAAAGCGGTCCGGTGTCTGGGAGCTTCAGTTCTGCTGTGCCTGTGGGAGGCTATTCTGTTGGCTATGTGCCTGTTCAGGCGGGGTATGACGATGATGCTATTCAGCCTGAGGATACTCGGACTGATACGCCAGGTAAAGCTTTAAGTGTGTATGATCTTAAATGACATGTAATTGGTTCCACAGACCAGGCTAAAAGTTCTAGTAAGATCAAATTCTCTTGGTGGATGTTGCATGTGTGCACAGCTCTTAATTTACCTGGCTGGAAGGTGTTGCTGTTGACCATGCTGGTCCAAATGAATGTCTTTTTGTGAATACCTGTAGTATCAAATGGACTATTCCTGTTTCTTTCCAGAAACGGAGTGGGTTATTGAGCCTACACTCTTCGAGGATGTCTCTGACGCTGAAGTCCTCGACCCCAGTGACTTCCTCCCCGCATCTCCTTCACCACCAGCTGGACCCATCCTCCAGTCAGGAGAGACTTCAAATGTTTTGAGGGAAGCTGAGCTTGGGAACTACCAGCAGCAAACAGAGGAATTTGGCTATCCAACTGAATCCGAGGTGCCCGAACAAGGATTTACAAGTTCCTTTGTGCCATCCTTTGATGTCGGGATCTTCCAAGGTTTTCCTTATCCTAACTTTGACTTCAGGCTTCTGTATGGCCTCTATCCTCCAGGAACGTATAGCACCTTCAGTCAAACAAACGAGAAGGGCAAAGACTACATGCAGGATATCCACTACTTGAAGGAGCATATTACTGACTATCATGATGACGAAGGACAGACCAAGTTCTTTGGTGATCCTCAGAGCACATGATGATCCCAGAATTGTGGGAATAACATTTTGTGAGGTGTATATATTTTATTTTTCCCCCCCAAGATTTCTTTTAGCCATAAAATGTTAAAGAAAAACGTGTATTCTTGTCTTAACTTGTGCTTCATCTTTTGGATTTGCAGGAAAAATTTGATCTGTTATCAACATTTGTTTTTTTTATTTTTAAGTTACACTTGGTATGCTGTAAATTGCTGGATGAGTATGACCTCATGGCCCGGCAAAATAAAATGGCCCTGGATATGTTGCTAGCCAAGAAAGATGGCATGTGTAAAATGCTTTTAAATCCTAAAACTTCCTGTAAAAGGCCTTTCCCCCCTTAGAGGAGCTGGTTGACAACTCTGACATAGGTGATAACATCACTAGTATGATGGACTGGTGACATGTCCCATGTCAGCTGGGATAGGATCCAAGAGACTAATTGAGATGGCTCTAAAACATTTAATGTGGCCTTGAGAATTTAAGTCTTTTGTGAAGCACTAAAGGTTGTGCCACCTCTGTAAAAGTTTGTTTAAAAAAACAAAAAAAAAAACTCTTTAAATGTACAATAACCTTTGGCTGCACTGGGAGGAATGAAAATTATTTGTCCATCAGTATTTGCCCCACTGTATGAAAATATGTCTCCAGGCAGGCTTTAGTTATTTACCTATGTATTTGGCACATGTGTGCAGTGCTAATATTTTGGTTAATCCTAAGACAACTCAACACTTTTCTTCATGACTAAAGCTTCATCTCAAATTCTCCTTGAGAAGTTGGTTAACAGACTCCTGGGTCAAACTCCAGTAGGCATTATTTGCACTTCTCAAACTCCTTTATGCCAATTAGGATTTGGCATCATAATGGACTGGGAAGCAAAATAACCTTATTACCTTTAGCTCCTTTTTCCAGACCCATGTATTCCTTGGATAAATATACTACCCAAGGCTCTTAAAGAAATGAGTAAACTATTTAATGCCCCCCCCTACAATTTCTGAACTCAGATGGTGTTTCTCTCGACTGCTGGCACCAAGGAAAAAGTCAAATTGTTGGATTGATTCTATATGAGCTCTACTAAGATAATTGACACATTCAGCCTCGTGTGTGTATATGTGTGTGTACAGCCGTGGTTTCCACAGCAGAGGCAGCTGTCAGACCAGTGGGACAAACCCTGTGTCACAGCGCCTCTATTTTGGGAACCTGTGTTGTCCAAAAGGTCAGATAAAGAAGCATAGGAATCCTCACAAAGCAGGGGGTGGGGGTGTCGGGTGAAAGGGGGTGAAGGCGGGTATCCACAAACCATTGCACACATCTCCAACACAGAGCAGTTCTGGCGTAGCGGGGAAGAAAGGGTAGCCAAGCTGAGAGAAAGACGTTGAGTAACTCCGCAACAAAGATCTTACTTTTTATGACACGGGCCCTTTTCTGGGTGATCGTTTCATTTCTGTGGTGTGGGTTAAATAGAAAGTTGAAACTAATTGCTGATCCAGTCAACAAACTGACACAGCCCGGACATCATGAATGGAAAATCCCCCAACCAGGAAACAGGGACAACCAGTGAGACAGACACCAACGATAATAACCAGGTCTGTGTTTTTACTCACTCATTTTTTATTTTTTTTATGTTGTGTTAAACTGTACACCGACTGGCATCACACTTCACACAAGAAACAGGCTGCTGGTTTATATGTGTCCAGCAGGTGCAGTATTTAGATATCAAGTTTGAGAGGCGGTTATAGGCGTGTGTACTGTGCTGCACCTGTTGGTAGTCCTGCCTGAGGAGTGACACACACTCGCACGCTGACCAGTTATGCAAAGCGATGCACATGGAGTTTCCTTTTCCAACTGATGAGTCAGTGCTGATGCCTGACCCGGCGTGACTGCTCCCGAAAGAGGAAACAGAGTTCATTTAACAACCTGTTACAATGAAGTTGTGGTGAAATGCAATGTGTGGCAAAAGCTTTCCGGGTCGAGCATGAGCTCATTTTGACATGTATGTGTTCTCTTGTGAATCCTGGTTTAAATGCCCTACAAGTTACATACTGTTATTGGTAAGAATAGTTGATTACTCTTCTAATTGCTGCAATAATAATGAGGAGAAATCAAACTCAAAATAAATTTCTTGCAGACTTAATAGAACAAATTAAAAACAAAATCTTCATATGGATTTTTAAAAATGATAATAAATGTTATAAAAACATTTATTCGGCAGAAAGAAATGGAAGGACATTTTTTACTCTGTATATGGATGAATAAAGGAAACAGTGAATAAAAGGATCCTAAACAAACATATGTGACAACATTAGATGCAGGGATGAAACAATAATTAATTCTGAGAAAATTCAAAGGCTGAAATGAGCTCCATCACTTCACTGGTTTAAAGCTTTCTATTAATAGTGCCATAGTATCTCTGAAATGAAGGCTTTTGACCAAGATGATCATGACAGCTCTAATCTACAAATGGAAAGTAGCTACAAAAGTGTGACATTATACATTGTTGTCTCTTGGGATCCAGGCAGATGAGCCAGAGCTGTCGGAGAGTAAAGACCCAGGGGAGACGGCAGAAGGTCAGGGTGTAATGGATGTGGGGGAAAGAGGTGAGTCAGATAAAGGACAAGAACAGGCGGGAGAAGAAGAGGCCGGTTCTGGTGATACGAATAAGCCCCAGACTGTCCCACAGCCCACTGAGGGTGACGCTGAAGGGGCTGGGAGTGATGAAAACATGACTGCTGAGGCTGTAAAAGAACCTCAAATCACCAAAGGAGAAAAAGATAAGCATGGGGAAGTCGAGGAAGGCATGAAAGGGCACATGGAAGAGATCCGGGGCTGTGACAATAACAGAGATGAAGAGAAAGGGAAGGACAAAGGCGAGAGTGAATGTACAAAAAAAACAAAAGGTAGAGATGAAAAAGAGATTGAAAAAGAGGTCAAAGGAGTGGAGAAGGAAAAAAAAGTTGAAAAGGTGGACACAGATATGGCAGACAAAGGAAACATTAAAGAGACAGGAAAACAGGGAAAGCCAAAAAGAAAAAGTGGCCCTTCCGTCCCGTCCTTGTCCCGCCCGAGGCCCTCTGCACGCTCTGCCAGAGCGTCCGCAAAAAATGACATCATCGCCAAATTCCAACAAGGTGCTCCAGAGTAAGTCGCTGAATCACAACCGGCACCACAGATCTCTTTTATATTCAACATTTGAGAATGAATATCTAATAAACGGTAACACTGTGACCCCTTTAGGACACCAATACCCCGTAATTTCAAAATCCAGAGGTCTGCTGTGGCCGTGGCTACCGGAGGGTCAATCAAGCAGAAGATTCTTCAGTGGTGTCGAAACAAGACACGCAACTATGAGGTGAGATCAGCAGTAAACCTTTTTCATTTGGCCCGAACCCAATTAGTCTCTACACCCGTGTCAAATTTGGTGTCCAATCTGGTTAAAACTTCCAGACTAGACATACAAAACAGCACGCTCCAGATGATGTGCTGCTCCTCTCTGCATCCGGTCAGTTGCTGTGCTGTCTTTTGACCTTTGCAGGGGATCAACATAGAGAACTTCTCATCGTCCTGGTGTGATGGCCTGGCTTTCTGCGCACTGATTCATCGCTTCTTTCCTGACGCATTTGACTACAGCTCTCTGAAACCGGAGGAGAGGAAGAAAAACTTCACTTTGGCCTTCGAGACAGCGGAGTAGGAATTTTCTATTGTGTCTACCTCTTTCTCCCACCAAGTTAAATTCTTTGCCCACAAGAGGAAACTTATTTTCCATAAGATAGCATGCAACGACAATTGCATCATAGCAAGACAGTTGAATATATTATATATATATTATATTTGAAGAACTGGTAATGCACACATGTTATGACATAAGTGAGTATCTGTTATAAAGGTGAAGGAAACTGTAAAAAGAACAAGTCAGATAGTCTGACTAAAAGAAAACATATGGCATATATTAAAAATAAAAAACTGGCATGCAGATTTTTACAACGAAAGGTAAACATCCAGCCCCTAACAGACAGCATGTTATTCTTTCTTCTTCGCCTACCCTTCTGGCAGGTCCCTGGCTGACTGCTGCCCCCTGCTGGAGGTGGATGACATGCTCATGATGGGTAACCACCCTGACCCCATGTGTGTCTTCACATATGTCCAGTCCCTCTGCCACAGTCTCTCCAAAATTGAGAAAGAGAGGAAGGAAAAAGAAAAGGAGGAGAAAGAGCAGACTGGAAATGGAAAGGAAGAGAAAGAAGATGAAATAGCAAGTGAGATATCAACTGTTGAGGGTGAGGAAACGGAAGGCCAAGAGGAGAAACAAGAGGAGAAACAAGAGGAGAAGCAAGAGGAGAAGCAAGAGGAGAAACAAGAGGAGAAGCAACAGGAGAAGCAAGAGGAGAAGCAAAAGGAGAAAAAAGAGGAGAAGGAAGAGGAGACACGAGAGGAGAAACACAAGGAGGACGCTGAGCAGCAAGGAACTGGAGAGGAACATGCTGCAAAGAGTTGTAATATGGGGGAAGATGAGGGAGTGTTGGTCCATGGACAAGCTGAAGACTAAATTAACAGTTAAAGACTGAGATGATCAAATCGCAATTTATATCCTGGTAATGTAACATTATAGGAAACTTTTTTTTTAAATGCACTGTTGTGATATTGTTTGAGCACATTTAAATAAACGTTCAGCTCCGTCTGATGTGTGGTTGGAAGAAACGTTTAATGAGAAGTTGTGTGGGGGAAATGTCTCCGTGTGGAACTGACACTGACCACAGTGAGACGCTGTGAACGGGGGGGAACTTCTTTCCAAGCTGCCCCTGTATGCTAAGCATTACGGTAAAGGGCTCATGCCACCAGGAAGGCCATTGTGTTTTCTCTGTGTAAGCTAGCTGGCCGCGTAGCCTCACTTTTCTGCGCCTATCTCCGCGGTACCAGAGGGAATCATGTCCACGGACATGCCGGTCAGCAGCCTGAACATGGAGTCCCAGCTGATGTCCGTCATGAACGTGCTGGTGAAAGCGGCCGTGGTGGAAATCATTCAGCTGTTCTCGGAGAGCTCGGAGTCTCTCCGCCTGCATTTAACCCAGACCCTGAAGGAAAACGAAACCCTGAGGATGAGGATGAAGGGGATGAGGGGTGAGCTGTTCTCCCTCCGGCTGCAGACCCGGACCAACCGACCGGTCAGCCGCTTTTCCACGTTCAGGGGCAGCGTTCCCAAACCCCGGGCTAAACCACAAGGTAAGGGGGCTCCCACTTCGGAGATACTTTTTTTTTTGCTCCCACACACGATCCAACCCCCTCTCTGATTCTGTTCTGCACTAGGTGTAGTGCTAGCAGTACAAAAAAAAGCCAGCTTGGTTGTTGTGGGTCACAGCTGGCTGTCACGTGACCAGATGTGTAGTTCCACCAAATGACTTACCATCTGCTGGAGTTGTTTGTGTTTTAACAGGTGTGATCTGGACTCCCATATAAAGCCGCTGGCCCCTTATCCTCCATCTAGAGTTGTTCTCCTTGAAATGAATGAATTCAGATCCTGCCGTTCTGTCCTCAGTTCTCATAAAGCCGCCGGAGAAGGCGGCAGGGGAAGCTGCCTCCATCCCTCTCCAGCCAGAGAAAGAGACCTCGTCCTCTGCCCCTCCGGCCCGGGTCAGTGCCTCATAGTATGCTGGAACGATTAGAACGATTCGGTTGGAATGTCCTTTGCTCAAGCGTACCTGCCGTTGTGTTAGTGTACAGATGTGGAGAGTCCAGATGTCATTCTGATCAAGGATGAAGATGATATTGGAGGATGCGGATCAGCTGTTGGTAAGTTGTTTCTCTGGGCTCTGTCTGATTACACAAAATGACCAGAGTGAGGTTTATTGAGCATGGGCAAAGGAGGAATCCAGACCATTTGGAGGAACCACACTTTTATAGTCAATATAATTCTTTTTTAGATTCCATGTGGTGCTGAATGGGTTAGACCTCTGATCAGATGCTGACATGTCTCTTTCTGTCTCCTGTTCCACGCTCTGTTTCCTAAAGATGACAGCGTGCGGCCCGGCGTTGCCACAAGGCCTCGAGAGCTGGACTCAGCGGGCTCCTCCTGTTTGGAAGATGACCACCAGGAGCTGAGAATTATCAGCGTCCAGGGCGGAGGGGAAGCGCCCCTGCAGGGGGAGAGCGACACGCTCTTCTCCGCCTCCGAGCTTCAGGTGCTGAGCTCTCTGTCCGACCACAACGGCGGCCTGCTGAGCTTCCCCCCCGGCGCCAGCGACCGCGCCCCGCTGATGCTTCTGCAGGAGGACGGCGTGGAGGTGGTGAGGGGCAGCCACCTGGACAGGAGTCACCCCGCTCACATGCCCTCGGCCACGCTGAGTCCCACCTTAAAGACGCCTTTGCCGGGAGCTAACGGTCCGGTCGGGCACCCCAGCCACGTGGGTCAGTTCCCCCCGCCGCCGGCCGGCTTCCCCCACGCCGCCGCCAAACCGCTGGACTGCAGCTTCTGCGGCGAGCGCTTCCCCAGCCGCGAGGACCTGATCGTGCACCGCGCCGGCCACACGGGCGAGGCGCCCGTCTCCTGCTCCTTCTGCGGCAAGTCCTTCGTCAACAAGACCACGCTGAGCATCCACATGCGCATCCACACGGGCGAGAAGCCCTACGCCTGCCCGCAGTGCGGCAAGCGCTTCACGCAGAACGGCAGCCTGAAGATCCACCTGCGGACGCACTCCGGGGAGAAGCCCTACATGTGCAGCCAGTGCACCGCCAGCTTCAACAACCCCAGCAACCTGCGCAGGCACATGATCACACACAGCACGTGAGCGCCGGCCGCCGACCGCTGGCCGCCGACCCCTGACCGTCACCTGTCACACAATCAGCTTTGCTTGGCTCAGCGTGTTGCTTTTGAGGAGCTCTTCTGCCGCAGTGTACAATTCGTTGCTGTTCATACTGACAACCTGCTGAAAAAAGCACTAGCATCTTTTCTGTTAGGGTTTACTTTTTTTTAACAGCGCTCACTGTTTTCTGTCCACCTGGACTCCAGGAACTGGCCGGCCTGCCGATGACGACTCTCTAAAGAGAGAGACTGTTTCAGATTGCTGATGGAATGTGGGATGCTTACTGATGAGCAGTATGGTTTGCAATGATTCCGATGTTTATTTGCAGTCTCTGTGTGGTTTATCGTGTTTTTTTTTTAAATAAGAGGTGCACCGTCCCTTTTGTTATTTTACTGGACAAAAGCTACAAGTCAATATTTCAGTGGAATGCAACCAGACAGTTAAACTCACTTTTTTGCTCTTATTAGTCCAATACTCTGTTAGCAACTGTCTTTTAGTGTTTATCACATTGCCTTAACATATTCTCATAAGGTGGATGTTTGCGTGTGGATCATTTGCTTTAGTCAGTTGTACTTTAACAGTTTCCGATTTCCACTTTAAGGTCCACTTGCATAACCTCCTTTTTCAAATTTCCGAGGATAATTTGCAACTGAACTGCATGAAGAATTTAAAATACCACACAGTTTTTTTAACCACTTTTAGCCAATGAGTGATCACCTCTTGTTCTGTGGAGTGTTGCTGTTGAAAAGGTTACATTGCAATAAGCTCGTCTTTTTTTACTCGTGATATTTTATACTCTTAAAATAAACTTTGCTCTGATGGCAGAGCTTCAACAATCAGAAGTATTTTGATTGATTCTGTGAGGTTTGGTTGGTAAATGTTGGGGAGGCCTGATCAGTGCTGTGTGAACAGTCTGAATTAAAACTCATTTCAAATCTGCAGCTTAGTTTCTCTGCATCTTACCAAAAGACGAAAAATTGACCGAAAATCATCTTTATATGTTTTATATTAAAAAACTTAACTACCTCCTCGGCTGCTCTATTTTTACCTTTTTGTATTTTTCAGTTAGTTTCAGACATTTAAAAATGAAGAGTGGCTTAATAGTGTGAAAACATGAATAAAATGCATTTAAAAACTCAAATCTTCAGTCTCATTTTGCACCTCCAGGGAGCAGCGTTAGTTTTCTTCCACGAATGTATTTTCCAACTCACGCACCATGGGGGGACTCTCAAGGTAACCGGGAAATTCCTTGTATTGTTCCTCTTTCTACACTACCAAAGCTGGTGTTGTTTTTTCAAGTTTCAGCTTGTTTAGTTTTGACTTCACACATCTTCAGAATGAGACATCTCTTACAACTTATGTGTCTGGTTTCGAATTGCCTCACGAAGTGATAAAAAATCTAAACATTAGGAAGATTCTAAAGTGGTGTACAGTACATTTGTGCATTGATCCATGAACAGCTGTGAGTAAGCATGACTCAAATCAGCATTTCTCTGTCAGTCACCGGTCTAGTGATCAAGCTTTTGCAGATCATTTGATCACCGCTGGCAGTGGTTTTATGTGCCAGTAATTTTTCTCGTCTTCATGTAGAATGCTGTTATTGTACTTCCCCATGAAATCCAGCTTCCTCCCTCAGCATTGTTCTTGGGCAATCAATGAAATGACATCAGTGTGTGTTCACGGGAGGCGGGCGTCAGGGCGGAAAAAAATGGGAGGGGATGGGAGGCTGTCCTCTTACTGTATTTAAATCCCATCCTCCCAATTCCCGTTTTTTTTAAATACAAAATTCCTCACGTCCGTCAGCGTGAGTTTTCCTCGGGTGTGATCACTTTTAGGCGCAGTTCGCCGAGTGTATCTCACGACTACAAAACTTAACACCTGTAACAGGGGAGGAATTCCGGGTGCGCCGTGTTTACGGTAAAGCCGCTTGTTGATCCCGCCCTCCCTCTGATAGAAAACTCCGTGATGTCGCCTCGTCTTCAGCGAGCCTGACCCAACGGACGGGGAAGGAGGGGGACGGAGACAGAAAACGCGAAAAAACCGAGCAGACAGAAAGGGTCGGGGCTAGACCTACCCTGAGCAAGGTGAGTTATTTCAACAGTCTTAACGGCTCGCTGCCGTGTGAGGCCTCGCATTTTGCGTTCTCATTGATTGTGGATGGGTAGCAGCGTTGGCAAAAGGAGTGGTCAGATTCGACAGATCCGCACGACTCTCGGTGGCTAACGTTAGCCAGCCATGCTAGCGTAAAAGTTGAGGTAAACACGTTCGAATTATTTTGCAGAGTCTTACTCCAATTGACTTTTTAAAATGAATGTAAACAGGCGTAGATAAAGAAAAGCCTATGAATTGGCTTTAAAACAGCTCGACGGAACAGTGCAGCCCTTGCGGCTAATGTGTTGGCCATGCTAGCGCTAGCCCCGCTGCTGGCAGCGCTCTCTCGCGACTATGTGGGTTATTGTGATGCTAACGTTGCAAGACAGCCAAACCAGGTCACGCGAGCATTCGAGCCAACTGAGCTGATTTCGTGTCTTTTAGCCCGGCTGCGCCCGTAGCCCCGGACACCGAGGTACTGGGTTGCTCGAACCCTTTTGTTCATTTCGAAGGCTTTGTGTTTGTGATGGTGTGTGTGTGCGTGGTGTGTGTGTGTGTGTCTGTGTGTGGATTGGCTTTTGCTGTCTGCTCGTCGCCACTGACCCATATTGGTTTCGTACGTTAGCGTAGACTGGCGACGGACTTTGGACCGTATGGGGAGGGGGTTTTCGTTTCGGTCGGCGTGTGGGGGAGCTAACGGCGAGTGGCCCCAGAGGGAGAAGTACCGGGGGCAGGGAGGGGGGGGGAGCTGCCGTGGAAGGCAGGTTTGAGAAACACGGTCTGCGTGGCCGTACGCACATTTTCTGTGATTTGACCCAGTTACCGCTGCAGTTTCACGGCGTTCCGGCGGTAGCAGACAGTGTGATCAGCCCCAACAGATTAGTAGATTTCATTACCTCCATAGACGAAAACTTCCCCTGGCCTGACTGGACCAGGAGGTAATTGGAAACATTTTGCCTTCATTTGCCTAAACCTATTATTTTGTGTATTCTACCTAAATCCCCTTTAGTATAATTCCACTCTAAAGGCGGTGGTCAGCCGCAGAGCCAGGAAGATAATGATTTAGTCCCCCTGTGAACCTGTTGGGTGGGTCGTGTGTGAACTTGTTTTGTTCGGGAGAATGCTTGGGTGGGGATAACTGTCAGGCTCTGTGTGAACAGGTAAACTAGTTTTCCATTGTAAGCACGGCTTACATGCAGGGACACACTGCCTTGAGGTCTAGAGCCTTGTGGACCTGTGGTGGCGTGTGTTTACACGGCACACACGTTTGAGCCACAGGTGGAACTGGCTCAGGTCTGCAGTGGGACCGATGGGCTGCTATGGTGCCACCACAGTGTCGCCCCTTCCCCCCTCCCCGTTCGATTGTTGACACATGCTCCCAGCACAGGCTGTAGTTTAAGTTCTGTAGGTTAATCCGTAGAGAGCCAAAGAAGTCAGTGTCTGCTTATGTGCATACATGCTAACGTCACATGTGTATGTGTTAGGAGGTAAGTGGATTAGTTGGGTAAACCTTCAATCTCGTTACAAGCCCTGGTATCACACTGGCTTACAATCAAACTGCAGTGTCAGTTTCTCCGAACTGCCCGAACAGATGTGTATTTTGACAGTGTACATTGTGTCTCGGTTGGCATTTTTTGCTGCTGGTGACAGGTGTATGCCTAAGTAGAGTTTAGATAAGTTGATAAAGGTTTTATTTTTTGTTTCACTTGCGTCAGCTCACAGAAGCCCTCTGACAGGGTTAGTGGAACACGTTGACTGACGGGTGTGGAATCAGATGGAGGTATCTGACTCATGGTGTGTCAGAGTGCAATCAGATGCTGTTGACCTCGAGGTGCGGTGCTAGTCATATTGAACGGGTCAAAACCGTCCTGTTATGACAAGTACTTTTTTCCTTTATGTCCAAAATACACACCATCCAAAAGGTATGGCCGAAAACCTTCACTGCTTTTGTACTACAATGCCATATTATTTGATTTTGCCAACTGTCCACACTCAAGCACACTTTCTTAATGTAGCTATATTTTAGCTGCATTGATCATGTATTTGAACCACCGCTGGACTAATACACCTCTAGAGAGGGGAAACTAGTAAGACCACAAAATGACTGTGATGTTGTAAAGTCTGCCTTTATTCAACTTACAATAATGGTGTTAAAAATGGTGTCAAAATGCACCAACAGAGCGGAACAGAAACTGTCAATGGGGAACCATTTTGGTACAATGGGAAGTGTCTTGTGGTCGCATGATCGTTATTTTGACAAGTAGGGGTTTTCACCGCAATGATACCATTGATAGAGGTATGCCAGCATCATTGGATTGTTTATTAAAGTGGACCCAAATGCTTGCACAGTTTGTTCAAGCAGTTCTGTCGTGGAAATGGTTTATCGGGAGCCAAACACACCATTGTGTGCCTTTACTCATCTCAGATGTTAAATCCATAACATCCTGTTTCTCAGGAAGTGGATAAGAGGGGAAAGGGGAGGGGGAAAGCAATGGGATGACATTGATTGTTTTCATTGTTCCACAAAACTCAGCGCTGACTTTCAAGGCCAAAACCAACAGCTGTGCGAGCAGGGAGAGATGGGTGGGGGACTGAACTCATTAGTATGTGAAGAGCAAGATCATTTAACCCTCTCTGACCTGCGTGCATTTTTCGCTGACACATCTCCAATGATGTTCCCGCAACTCTTAAGATATTGTCACGCTTGTGTCCGTCCTCTCAGTTCAACAAACTGCACATTGTTCCACCAACCTCCCAGACTGACAGCTGCAAACTCCCCACTGCCTGTGGTTAACCCTCAGTCTCACACACACACACAGTCACACTCCCAGCTGCACTTGCCAAGAAATAACAGTCATAGTTTATAATTAATCTGGCTGAAAATGTACTTGGCCTTATTACTAAAACTGTGTTATGCTTTTGGATACAATTTGTTTTGGCTAAAATGATAGGATGATAGTAGTGGAGAAGATGTGTAGTTGTAAGGCTTTTCAGTGTTTGTGTCACAGTGACAGGACAACTTGGCTTAAAATTCACCAGCACAGTACACACTGATATCTGAAGGATGATTAGCCAGAGTCCTGCCTCCTCCTAACAGTGAGCGAGCGGGTGGGCTGCTAAGCTGAATTGGCCCAAGACAATGCCAGGAATGCAAGATTAGCTTTTATCTTTTATTCAACAATCCTGGCCTTATCTGTACCCCCCTTTTTATCCTCATGTTTACCCTCACATTCTCTCTGTCTTCCTCGCTGTCCATTTATTTTATGTCGGCTTTTCCACTCTGCCCATCTCTGCCTGAAGTAGATGAAATCTCCCCTGTCCTGGCTGTGCCCTTATATAGACATGTGTGATGCAGGACAGCGGATTGTAATTGGTTCAGGTAGGAGGTTTTGACTCTGGGTGAGACAGTGTGACATCATTCCTTCCTGTATATTCAGTCTTATCCCACATGTAAATCCTGGTTGTGGTTGTTGCAGATTTTTTTTTTCCTCATGGGGAGGAGCAGCAAATAAGGAGATACCACTCCTTTATTTCTCATGAAGCTGTGTTCGCATTATACGCACAGATGCAGCTTTATCAGCGACGAGGAAGTTGGTAAAATCGTTGGTATCGTGATAGTCTGTCTGCGGTGATGTCATCATGTCTGGCTCCTTTCTACAGCTGGTGAAACCATGAGTAGCTATTCAACATCTCATAATGTCTGTGCTTGTCTCTCTTTGCCCTTAATGCTCTACCTGCCAAACCTTTGAACACCTGCTGCCTGAAGTGTAAATGCTGGTCCCTGTTTGTTGCCCAAGCCCTCCACTTTTAGAAGTGTGTCTGTGTGTGTTGCGACACAGAGAGAGGCATTGAGAAATTGAACCCCGGTCGCCCCTCCCCGTCAAACCGGTCGTGCAGGTGTGTGTTGCAATGCCTGGGTTAATGCACCTTTTAAGCAAGGGCTGATGAGAAAGGACATGCATCAACAGATAAGAGGACTCAATCTCTATGGTCCACTTGTTTGGCTCGGCTATAGCCATGTCTTTCCCTGAGCCAAGATAAAATGGGATGTCAGCGGATAAACTGCTGTCGGGAGAGGGTGATTGGCAAACTAACTGAGTTAGGAGCTATAAGGATAACAAAAAAGCAAGGCTAAGCAGGAGATAAAAAATAGTTTATAGAACGTTTGGTTCTTGGAGGCCGTTATCTAAGTTTCTTTTTCTTTCTTTCTTTTGGGTTTAATGCTGACAGTCAATGTTCTGTGACCCAGGAATGGCTGCAGTTTGTTCGGCTTCCATCATTACCTGCCGTACACGCAGCCAAATTTGGAGTAAACGCAGGGTGTGTCCTGCCACAGCTACTGCCTGTCTGTGTCTTGCTGCACTCTTTTTGCTCGCAGTGCAAACACGACCCTGCTGCTGACACACATGTATGGTATTCTCACTGTGTTGCTGTTTTTCAAACTGAGGTGCCTTTGCTCAAATGTTTCTCCCTCACTGTCCTCGCTATCTCCCCTCCACCCTCTGTCTTTTCCTCTGCAGTCTGTTCCTCTTGTTTCTGGGCTTGGTGGCGTTCCACACATGAACACTTAGAGCACCATTTCTGACCGCAGTGCGAGCTCTCACCTCTTCAAACAAACCACGCCCACAGGTGAGGTTTGTTTTTCAGACTGGCAGTCTTTCTAGATATTGCTTTCGACTATGGTCTGTTGTACATCGGTGTCTTGTTTTAAAGTGAAGTGGTGGCGTTCATAGCTTAAAGGTGATGATATCCTTTTAAGGAAGGCAATAAAAGAAATTAAACGAGCTGCGTATGATGGGGTAAACGGTTACTCCAGACTTAACCACTCTAACCAGTATACCACTCAGGATTCAGCTGTAGCTTGCATGCGTTTTATCTATTTATTTATTTATGTTTTTATTTTAACCAAATAGGAACGTGGGTTGCTAAGGATGTCTTCTTTTTTTATACATGAAAAAGAATGTTAACTTTTCTGGTGTTTGTTGTGCTCAAACCATAGTAAGGAATATACAATTCTCCATGGTTTAAATTATGTTTTCATCTTCCTGTCTACAATTAATGATGAGAGGGGGAAAAAAGGTTTCACCATATGCTTATCAGTTTATCCCATCTAAATCTGCTGACCCATTAATGAAAAACACAATAACATAGTCAAGGCAAAAATGTGAATCTACTTTCTTTTAAAAAAATATATATGCACGCAAAAACATCATCCATCATGCATCAAGTGTTCAGTCTGTTGATCAGAGTGTGATGTTAACAAATCAATGCAAAGCTGTATATACGAGCTGTGAGCTGTCATCTCTCACCAACACTTCCACTACCTGCATTAGTCCCTTTTTATTTCCACTGTTTGACTTTTAATGCACAGCACTGAATGTACACATTGTAAAACTGGATATGGATGACACATACAGTTGTAAATTCTGCATGTGGGTGGAAAAAAAACACGTACTAGTGAATCAAGCGTCACTCATCTTTCAAGGAATGGATGTCATACTGCATTTCTTGTGAGGTTTTTTTTTTTTTCCCAGGTCTATTTACCAGTGGGAAACATGATTTTTTCAGCGATGACTAGCTTGCTCTAATTTGTTAAGCAATAATAAGATCAACTCTTGTGAAATTCAGATACCACCAGCATTCCAAGATCTTGAGACACAGATTGTTGTCTGTCTGTTGATTGATTGGTGCCATCGAAATCCCCCCCCCCTTTTTTTTTTTTTGTAGTACTGGCTCTCCCAAAAATCTCAATCCAATGGATCCTGCTCTACTTTGGAGTGTCTGTTTGTGTTAGACGCCCTCCCTGTGCTGATTTGTAATGCCCCCTCTTTCCCCTTGGGGCCGTGTAGTGTGTATGGAGCAGTGTGAGAGCGCAGCGGCTCTGCTGGAGTCGGTCAGGGAACAGGAGGTGCAGTTTGAACAGCTGACCCGGGCTCTAGAGGAGGAGAGGAGGAGAGTGGGCCTCACTGCCACCAGTCCCTCTGCCCTGGGGCGCCCTCTCCCTCACACACAGGTAACACGCCCCAGAAACCCAAACATGCCCATTGCAAGTCTTTCATAGCCGTCTGACACTCACATGCTGCGCAAAACCGATCTTCATTCCCCTCATCAAAAACTCACAGTGAATTCAAACGTCATTTCCCATCCATCCCTCATCCCTCCCCTCCTCGCTCCCTTTTCCTCTCCACCAGGGCTCGGCAGGTTTCCGCCCATACGTTTGCAAGCTGAGTCATTAAAAACTTTGAACACTGGCTGTGTATCTGAGGAGATCATCTAGGAGATCATCTCTTACCTGCATGTTAACATGCCTAAAATGATAATCGCATACTTTCAGCATGTCTTCCCGGTCACTCATCAGATGCACTCTGACACGAGCGTCTAACACTGTAGAATTTCAGCTATGCTCCTTTCTGTTTCTGCATGTGACTAAATGAATTTTGGTCACCCGTTGTGCATGTGAGACCTAGTCCTGCATCCAGACGAGTATTTCTGTGGTTCCAGTGTTTGTTTTGAGATCTTTTTACTTTATTGAACATCCATTCAGTAAACATAACAAGGCAAAATATTTTCATTGTCGCTGCATATGTCTTTGTCTCATTTAGGGTCAAATACAAGTTGTTTTTCTTACAGCTGACAGCCGAAAGTCCACCAGCAAACACTCCCCGAAAATAAACAAAACCAAAAAATAAATGGATGCAAATTTGTCGCTGTGTAAAACAGGGTTTAAAGCTGTGGTTGATTTGGAATTTCTATCTTCATCACGCCAAGGCCGGGAAGCTTTAAAAAAAAGGCTTATAGGGGAAGTGTGGGAGGTGGGCTGTGCTGCTTTGAATGACCAAAGAAAACTGGTGATGCTGCATTCTGGTGGTGTGACTGCAGATATTTCTGGCAGTCATCATGCATGAAAACCAAATGTTAAGGTTGAGCATAAAGCTGTACAGTGGGTCAGTCACCGGTTACATAAGAGTTTAGTGAAATGGAAAGCAGGGCGTGAGGATGATGGACTGCTTTTCAAAATGCACTCTTCCATTTCTGGTCCTGGTCCACCAATTAGAAACAAGTAAGGGTGGTTGGCCCAGTTCTGCATGTGCTTCAGCAGCACTAAAATCATCTGGGTGGTTATAATAATTACACCGCCTTGATTGGTGTTAAGTAAGAGTTTACCATGGATTGTTTTTCACCATTTTGTCTCCTTCCTTTATGACAGAACGGGCGATTAGGGGATGCAGACATAGAACGCCTCAAACTTACGGACTCCTACATAAACGGCACACAGGTAGGTATTTTAATCTGTGGTTTACCGGTTATTAATTTTGGTTTTCTGCTATTGAAGTTCACATCTGTGGTGTCTGTCACAGTACAGGATGGTTGACCCTGCGCACGGTGCTCTAGATGAGAGCTATACTCCAGAAGATGACTCCCATGAAGCACACTCTGTGTTTTCTGAGGAAGGCACCGCACGGCGGGCAGATAATGGGGTAGCGTAAAATGATGTTTTTCCAAGCGTCAAAGCCTTTCCATCCTGTACGGTTTTAAAAATGTCCATCTTTCCTGATCCCACTTTCTGTCAGATGAAGAAACCAATTTCGCGCACAGTCATGCCCACTGAGTCGCTGTCCACTGATGGGGGCTTTTCGGTGCCCGGTATCGGCGTCTACAGCGCCACACTGGACCGTCCATACAGGCAGGCCGGTGTGGGCGACTACCCCACAGCCACAGTACCAAGAAATTATCACTATGGGCCTGTGGGAGGGTACGATGACTACCGGGGAGGTCCCCCATCGGAGGCGTACACCAGTCTGAGCAGGGGCTCGCACATGGATGATCGCTACAGGTACCAGAGCACACAAGCTGAGGGGAAAAACTTTTAGAGCCACACTGCTTCTATTCATTTCGAAATGTTAAAGGGATAAAAAAAAGTATGTGACACATTTTTTTTTCGTCCTCCTTTTTCTTTAAGGCCGATGGACGGCTACCGAACTCTGGATTCTGGTTACCGGGCACCAAGCCGTCAGCAACTTGACCCATATGCTGCACAGCCCCAGGTGGGCCGGGGGATGAGGGGCATGGGCTCAGCAATGGAGATGAGGTATGGCCACGGCCACTATGGTCTTGAGGATGATCAGCGCAGCGTGGGATACGATGAATATGGCATGGGACCTCCACCCATGCATCCCGGAGGCTACGGCACCATGCCACGCCTGGGGCCAGGCCCTGGGGGAATGGACAGACGCCGACTCAGGTATAGCAGAAATGAGCCGTCTGGGACATTAAATGTGTTGTTCTCTCTCTTAGCTGCTAACAAGTCTTTCCTTCTGCTGATTGCAGGAGCTGTGAGGATACATTAGACGGTGACATGGGAGGGGTGGACCCGTATGCATGGGGCGTCCCCATGACGATGGACAGGGGTAGCATGGCGTCTCTGGACAGCACCTTGAGAAAGGCCCCTCCCTCTTCATGGAGACAGCCAGAGCTACCAGAGGTGATCGCCATGCTGAGCTACCGTCTCGATCCTGTCAAGACGAACGCCGCCGCCTTCCTGCAGCATCTCACATTTAAGAATGACAAGGTGAAAAACCGTCTCCCTTACTTGCTAAATATTAGCATTACAACCCTTTCTCTTCTTGTTCTGTTGTCTGGCAGACCTTTTTTTCCTAGCATGCACATTATGTTTTCAGGTAAAGTCAGAAGTGCGTCGGCTAAAGGGTGTCCCAGCCTTAGTGTCACTGTTGGACCACCCGAGCAAGGAAGTCCACCACTCAGCCTGTGGAGCACTAAAGAACATTTCGTACGGACGAGATGCCGACAACAAGATTGCCATTAAGAACTGCGATGGGGTCCCTGCTCTGGTCCGGTTACTGAGGAAAACTCGTGACCAGGACCTCACCGACACCATCACAGGTACCGGTGCCATGTGGATCTCATTTTGTTACTATAATTCTTTCTGTTAGATGAGACGTACATATGTAGTTCAGTTTGATGACTTTAAACTTCGTCTATCCTACAGTAAAAGCTACTGACAAACCAAAACCAAACCTCTGACTTTGAGGGTTTCACTATTGATCATTTTATTGTATAAGCTGAGCGCTGACTTTAACAGCATTTATTGTGTAATTTCAGGCACTCTGTGGAACCTTTCCTCACATGACTCGGTCAAGATGGAGATTGTGGATCATGCTCTTCACGCTCTGGCTGATGAGGTTATCGTTCCTCACTCTGGCTGGGAAAGAGGGAGCAACGGGGGAGAGGAGAGCTGCAAACCACGACATCTGGAGTGGGAGACTGCCTTGACCAACACTGCTGGCTGCCTTAGGTATGTGAGGGCTGAGAGGATGAAAAGCGGGAAGAAATGGGATGGCCTGGCTTATTTTAAGGAGAAAACCTGCAATTATGTGCTTAACTTTCTGCCTGCTCAACAGGAATGTGAGTTCAGAGCGTAGCGAGGCCAGGCGAAAGTTGAGGGAATGCACAGGGCTGGTGGATGCTCTCATGTACGTTGTCCAGTCACAGATCAACCGCAAAGACGTGGACAATAAGGTAACAGCCCCCTGGTTATTGAACCGTTTTATTTGATTTAGTTTTTTGCGCCTATTTGTGTAAGTATGCGTCTGTGTATTTGATTATCTCGTCTGTGTCCATGTTGTTCTGCAGCTGGTGGAAAATAGCGTGTGCCTCTTAAGGAACCTTTCCTATCAGGTTCATCGTGAAGTCCCTGGTTGTGAACGCTATGCAGAGGCGGCGCCTCTGAACCAGGGCCCGCCACCAACTAGCAAAGGAGGCTGCTTTGGCTCCCGAAAGGGTAAAGGTCAGTGTCGAACAGCATTTAAAGCCAAGAGTTCCACTGTGTCGGACAGATTAGCCGCTGAAAGGCAGGCAGATGCTGGTTTGTTTGAGCTTGCTGGTGGCGGAAGCACCTGTCGCTGTTTTTCACACTCTGCCACTTTTTTCCTCCTCCTTCTGTCTTCCCACCCTCTTCCGTGTCTTTCTCTCTCTCTGCTGTGTTTAGATGAGTGGTTTTCCAAAGGTAAGATTTTCCTCTTGGTGTTTTTCATGACGATTTAAAGCTGCCGTTCACTAGCTCATTTACTAACGCCAAACAAAACCTGTAGAGAAGCAGGACTACAGAGTGGAAGTCGCACGCAGCACATGGGCATGATCATTTAATGTCACTGCATGCTCACCGGTTGCATGTTCACATTTAGAAAAGCAAAAAACGATTGTACCAAAGGAGAAGACAAAGAACGTCTGAAGTCTCAGTTGAAGCAGGCATATTCATTTAATTTTTTTTATGTTTTTATCACAGGAAAGAAGGATGGAGATGATGGAAGTGGAGATCACATAGATATTCCAAAGAGGACAACACCTGCCAAAGGTGGTTATGTTTTTTTACTCTAATATTTAGATAAATCCTTCTTTTTAAATAGCTTTTGTCCCTCTAAATGATTACATCTGGTTCAAGACGCAGGGCTATTTCAATAGTTACTTGCACCAAGTTTAGATTTGTCCCTATATTTCAAACTGACGTTGATCTCAAATTTGAAAAAAAAAAAAAAATGTTTGAGGACCCACTACTTCTTCTTTTTAGTTAGATTGTCTAATGAGGACAGTGATGTCTGGTTTAGCTAGCATGCCATCTCATGTCGTGATCAGCTGCAGGGTTTGCTGGTGCAGTTCGACTCGCTCTGACAGGCAGGTCTCCTGAAACTTTAAATGAATGCACCTGAGTCCTGCCCGGAGTTTCACCGAACCAAACTTTGTCAATCTAAACTAACGTCCCTGTCTATTCTCGACACCAGGTTATGAACTGTTGTTCCAGCCAGAGGTGGTTCGCATTTACACATCACTGTTCAGAGAGAGCAAGAACCCTTCCGTGCTCGAGGCGGCCGCCGGTGCCATCCAGAACCTGTGTGCCGGCAGATGGACTGTTAGTAACATTTTTGGGGTTCTGCCTTTTATAAGAAGCCTTGGTTTCATCCATATTTTAAGTGAACTCCATTATTAATCTTGGAGCCACTGTGCTGTTTAATTTGCTGCCTTTGTTTCAAGCACACTGCAGTTTAACTTGGCGTTTAAATGAATCTCTTTTTGTTCAGTATGGTCGCTATATCAGGGCCACTGTCCGTCTGGAGAAGGGGCTTCCTATGATGGCAGAACTGCTGGCTCATGGTAATGACCGGGTGGTTCGAGCGATGTCTGGAGCTTTGAGGAACCTGGCTATCGACAACCGCAACTTTGAACTATTAGGTAAACCAAATTGTCAATTTTTGGCCGGATATCTTCTGAGTTGTTGCCCAAGATTAGCACCGGTTGGCTTACTCTGTCCCTCCTGCAGGTTTGCATGCCGTGCCTAACCTTGTGGCCAACCTGCCTGGAGGCCAGAGCTATTCTGGACGCACTTTATCGGAGGAAACGGTGGTGTCAGTGCTTAGCACGCTTACTGAGGTGCTAGGCAACAGTCTGGAGGCAGCAAAGACCCTCCGAGCATCACAAGGCATTGAGAGGCTGGTGCTTATCAAAAAGGATGGGTAAGCGTTTTCTCCACGCCGATGTTAAGAATAGTCATGTCATTGTGTTTTCTGGTGATTTAACTTTCACGAAAATGTGATTCCAAGGTGCTTTTGCTTTGCCTAAAGATTCTCAGATTCTTGCAGGGAATCATTCCTGTGCAAAGCTTATGGAAGCTCTGTGATGGACAAACATGTTTCTTGGTATCGTGCAGTAATCGCTCTGACCGTGAGGTGCGAGGGGCCGGACAGGTGCTGCAGGTCATCTGGGCTCACAAAGAGCTGCGCAAAGTTCTGGAAAAAGATGGCTGGAAGAAGACTGATTTCATGGTCAACCTGAATCCAGGCAGCACCACCAATGGCCCGAGCACCAGAGCCAATGGCACCTACGAGGAAAGCACCACACCACTACTGGACAGAGGTCAGGGACAACTTTGATGCCTCAAAACCAAGAACTAAGTGTTTTTTGCTTAACTTATAAATGTTTTGGGGTTTTCTTTCTCAGGGGAAAAGAGGGACATGATTCCTATGAATGACCTTGGCCCTGGTTAGTTAATTTATATGAGCTGCCTCTTCTTATTAGTATGATAAGATACAGTAGATTAGGGAATTGAATCGAAACCTGGTTTTCCTTTCCTCAGAGGCCTACTCTACACTGGACCAGAGGGAGAGGAGACACACTCTGGATGAGACCACAGACACTTTACCGGTACTTTGACCCGCTCTCTCACACCTTCCCACAGTCGCAGGCTTAACTTCTAATTCCTAACTTCCCGCACAATGATGAGCGTTTCCTCACTGTGGCCTTTAATCCTCACAATAACTGACGCTTCTCTGTCTCGCCTTCACTTCCTGTGTGCCTTCTTTCTCTCTTTCTGTGGTTCTCTCTCAGCGAGGGGTGTATGGGGGCAGAAAGGGCTCCCTGCCTCTGTTGGACTCCTACGATGGTTAGCCCTCCCCCCTCCCCTCTACTCCCCTCTGCATGTAACAGCATGGTATGTCCAACTGACCTCTAATCCTGCATGGACTCAATACGAGCTGTGGTCCTGACGTCTTGTATAACTTTAAACCCTCGGTGAAACCTAGCCTAGGTTTAGGGTGGTGTACTAAAGCTCAGGCAGAGGTCTGTCATGCTGATGCTTAACCGTTTGATCTCCCTGTGTTCTGTGCTGTACATGCTGGTATAGTATGCTGAAAGGTGTTCCTTGTGCATTGTGGTCCATTCAGTCCGTCAGTTTAGAGTTCAGTGTCAGAATGAGATTAAAATCGGTGGAGTATTAACTTTAGTCCGCACAGCGGTGTCGTCACAAAACCAGAACATTGATTTGAGTGACGTGGAATCAAGTAATTATGAAAACGGTGAAAACTGTGAGTGGTGGGTATCATATCACTATTTTTACAGTGTTCTCTGCTTGACTCGGGATGGCTGCAGACAGACGAGCCTGATGGCGCCGTGCCCTCTGAGAGGGTTCATGTGTGTCTACTCTGAGCTCAGCCCGTTTTGTGGCTTGGCCCCCCCCCATGCTGTTATGTTGCAGCGCTCACTGGTGGTAGCGTGCAGAACTAAAACAATGTATCCAACGTAAGATACGGATTTGTATGTTTCTGTGAAGTAGGAGCACCTACAGTAAGATTGCAGATTTTAAATATGAATATATGCAGAGCATATTGCATGCACCTCTGTAATGTTTCAATTCCATTTTAAAAATGAGCAAAAAACCATAAAAGACGTATTGGGGCGTGAACAATATGAGAACATGAACATCAAGCTTAATTAAGTTCTTTCTGCAAAACTCTTGGAATTATTCTGCTCCTCACTTTAATGAAGTAGCCTGAGATGATGCTTGTTTTCAGTATTGAGGAAAAGATAATGCACCCCCCACTCCTCATGCTCACACTGGACTCTTCGACGCTTCTTAATTAGTCCCAGCAGGGATGTGAGGAGGGAACAGGCATGAGGACGCAGCAGATGAGGAGACGTGCACTTTAAACCGTTGTCAGAAAGACGCGACACGCAGCACAGCTGGCAGCAGCAACCCTGTGTGCCACCATTTCTGTCAGGTCACCGGCTGGATGCTGAGCAGACATTTCAAAGGGGCTTGTTGGTGTATGCTCACATACAGCTCCCATCCAAGAATTCTTCCTCCCATGCTCCGGCTGTGTTTTCCCGTTAAATAAGCACCGTCGGTAGCACTGGTTCATCAGCCGGGCTCGTCTTCTCTTCTCAGAGGTTAAAGGAAGTCTGAATTTGTGACGGCACCACTTTGCAGACCCAAACTCGTACCACTTATGTCTTCCTTTTTTGCCCTGTATGTGTTGATTAGTCACATGTTTATCCGTTTCTAATCCATGCGTTGTTGTTTTGTGTTCGTTTTTTTCTTCGCTGCTCCAGAAAAATTGATCGTGTGCATCACCCAGTTGGGGCCGTCCCTGCCCTACCACTGCTACTGAGGAGAGAAGACCCAGACCGCCGGCTCCTCTTCCCTCCTTAAGTTCCTCTCCTCCTCTCCGTCACCACACAGATGGGATGTAAAGATGAGGGTTGGCATCCAAAGAAAGCAGTTATGTTGCAGGCAAAAAGGTTTCATGCAGCACACCATTTCATTCAATTGTAGCAGCAGCAGACTGTTTCAAACTGTTTCGTTTTATAAATTATAATTCTCTTCTGTAAAGGCAATCACCTCTGTTGACAATCATTTAATTTAGTTTTTTTTTTCATCCTGCTTGTTTTTTTCTTTCTCGTGTCAAAAGTAGATATTTTTTTCTCATGGCTGACTTGTTGCCAACAGCTGCATCCTGATACTGAATTTGTATTTAGACTTTGAAGTAGGGCAAATGCTGTATATATATAAAAAGAAAATGGGGTGACTGGAGTAGTTTTGGCTCATTAATTTAAATGGTCCCTTTACCGGGAATGTTGGGAGTTTGGACAGGCTGCCCTGTAGATGCCGAATGTTTATATAGGAGTTATTTTTCTGTCTAGTTTTATTTTCTCTGTTGGGATGAGCACAGACCTGAAAGGGCAGGTGTGTGTGTATTTGTCAAATGCTAAACCTGTGGCTATGTGTGTTGAAAGGACTGTGGACCTTTTTATTATATAATTTTTCAGTTCTTGTTATCCTTTTGTTGGAGTCTCTTCTCATGTAAAGCCCAGACATGGGAGACACAATATGTTGATGGTCTTATTGGTCATGTTTTTCCCTTTTTCTTGTGTTGCTCATCCTTTGAAAGATTTTTTTTTTCTCCCCCTTTTTTCATGTACCTGCCGTCTCTTGCTGTGTATTTAATTTTTTAACATTTTTTACTCCCCGAGCAGAAACATTTGTTTAGATTTTCAGGATGAAGCTGTTACTGTTTTGTACAGTGGGTCAAACCTGAGATGGGAAGCTTTGAGCAAACACTACATCAAAACTACACTTGGACCATTCCTTACTCTCCTGTTCAAGATTTAAAGGAAGAGGTGAATCATTTGAAATAATGATCCCTGAAAGTCGGAGTTAGTATTCATTACCAAACGTACAAACAGGCTTTGACGGTATTCAAAGCTGCATCTGTTCTGCAATTTTCGTCCTTCAGAGGAAACGAATATGGGAGAGATACTAATTATGAATATAAATTGGGAGGTAGACAAAAAAAGCCCAGTCTGTCTATGGCCTGTTTGTTTTGAGCATTTCAGTGTTTTACTTTGTTCCCTTGTCTGGTTTGTATTTTATTTTGGGGTTTGTATGAGGGTGAGAGCATTATGCAATTTGTTCTACTTTTAAACCCAACTTTTACAGTTCTGCTTTTAAAAGGCAAAATAGACCAACCTTCAGTTTTTTTTTTCTTTTTCCTGATTCTGAACTTGTCACATACATAGTATATTTGTACTGTTGCCTAACCATGTAAGATGATGATGTACCATTCATACCTGCCTTGGCTCTGAGAACTCGCATTTTCAGTGAAATATGTATCTGGTAATACTGTTCTTTTTGTTGTTTTTTTTTTTTATAAATAAAGATCTTTTCTTGGACAGGTTTTGGTGACATGTGTTGCGTGAGGTGAGGAAAGACTTCTGACACAGAACACTTCTAATTACAGAGACGTTGTGTGTAACTCCATCCCCCGGCACGTGCGTGGGCAGATGGCAAATGCTTCAACATGACACTGCTTGATCTTCACTCCCAAACATCGGCATGCTCCGTTAAAGCTTAGTTTTGGGACGTGCTAATCGCCAAGTATTGCTGTCCAGGAAGTCATTTGTACAGATGAACATTTTGTTCGCCGTCCAACTTGACACCTTTTAAACCTTGTTTATACCTACTTCAAAACGCCGTGTTCACCTCACCCCGCTGAGTGTTGACATTCTCAGTTTGGCTCTCGTCTCGGGTTACGCACCAAGCCGCATATCGACACTGAATCACGCTGTTTGTCTGAGGAACACGAGTGTTTGAGGTTGAGATGGTGTCATGGAGCTTTCAGTATCACACAGCAACACATCCCAAACTACTTTTGGGCAGCTGCAATATCAGGAGTTCCTAAAGTGTATGAGAAGGTTTGATGTTAATCAGGTCACTCAGTTTAGTAGTCGGCCCAAGCAGGCTATTTGTTTTCTAATTAATGATTTAAAGCTTAATTACATGGTTCGCTGATGTGGCCCACTTAATTGTCAGATTAGAGTCTCTCCTTTGAAGATGCAAGAGAAGCTAAACATGATTTATCTCCAGTCTGGGTCTACTGATTTTAATTCTATTTTCTCTTTATTTTCAAATTGTCCTGTGATGTCTGTTCCAGGGGCTCATTATGATGTGAATTTGCTCATTTAATAGAAAAAGTTGATTTTTCTGGAATAGGGCGGCATGCCTTCAAAACTGGGAGTGAGAGCTGGCACGGGGTTGAAAGTCAGAAGTTAAACTGTAACTCAGCATGCGGACTGCACAGCTAGAACAGTAATGGAGACCTGGAACTGCTCATCTGTGGGTGCTATCAGAATGATTATGCTTTCATTTCTTATTCAAATCAAATCAAACTGAGCAGCTGACTTGGGAAAACACGTTTGAATCACAAGATCGTCATATGCCTGTGCTAAGATGGAAGGACTGAGGTTTCTGTTGAGTGTGAACTCTTCCAGCTGCACCTGTCCCCATGTAAAAGCAGCTTTATCAGAGCTGTAATATTAGAACTGTCATTAACTGCACAGAAACATAAATGTCCTCTGGCTGCTGCTGCGAGCGCATATCAGACAGACTTGCGTGTTCCGATCTGTGGTAGTCACTACGTGTGTGTGTTTCAAATGTGTGTACTTTGCAGATGATACAAACACACACTCCTTAAACCTGAGATCCCGAAAGCAGCAGACGGCCCCCACCCCACCCCTGCCCACACCCCTGCCCGGTGTACTGTCATTGGGTGTCATATCTATTTATGGCAGCCATGCTGTTCTTCATTTTCTCACTGTCCCTAAAGCTCGAATAGAAGCAGCTACTAATCCGAGAGAAAAACCGACCTGAGGACAATAAATTCAGAGGGGAATGACTGGTTTCAGATGGGATTTGGTGGATTCATCACCGCAGGACAAAGTGTGCTTTGGGGAACTGCTAACTGATCACATCTCTGGGAGTTTATGTTTGGCTTCAGCCTTCCTTTCTACTGATCCTTTCATTTGGTTTGTGGAGTCCAAACAGGACAGCTGAAAAGCGAAGGCACAGCTTTGTTCTGGAGTGTAACTAATGGATTCACTTGAAGGCGCTGGTTCTTTCTCTTCAAACTCAGGTGAGGATTCTTCGGATCGCTCTCCAGCTCCGGATTCTTCCCGTCGAACCTCCCACGTTGGCAACCAGGATGGGCTGAGTGGCCTGGGCTACATAGTTGGTGTGGGCTGGCACCACCTGAGGCCCTTCATCCCCTTCTTTCTCATCAGTTTAATGGTTGTGGCCCTCGTCTACCTGATGCAGGCCATTATTTTTGGGGGGCCCTTCAAGGATCCGCTGTTTTTTGTCAAATTTGATGAGCGCTGGCCCAGGCCATCTACTTATCAACAGGACTCTGAGACCCCCACCAAGGTTTTTGGTCCAGTCCCCTCTCCGTCATTTGAACAAGTCCACTCTGATCTGGTTGGAATCAATGAGACAGTCTGAACTTGAGGAACTCTTTCTGTTCTATTTGAATATCAGGAACTAAAACTCTTATAACAAAAGACTTGTTATTGATTTACTTTAAGACATTTGGTTACTTTTTCACCAGACCCCAGTTGCATTGGCACTATTTCTCAACATTTGTGAAGAGATATAAATTTACTATATTTTTTACCTTGATGTTAAAAGTTGCAAATTTAAACCCAATCAAATGAGCAAAATGATCCCATAATACACATCTGTAAGTATGTTTAACTGAACAAAAGTAGAGAAAGCAAAAGTGAAATTACAGTGCAATAAGAAGCAGGTCCAACAAATTGTGACTGTCACAACTTGTGGGTTTAAAGTGAGTCAGAGTACTGCCTATCTTCTGCACCTAGTTATGGGACTAAATTAAGCTTTTCAGGGTTAAATGAGAGAAGTTAGGTTTAGAAAAAAGGGCAACAGCACATTCCAAACCTAAGAACCTTAAACTTCATTAAAAAAAACAAGCTGGTGGTAGAACCATGGTTCACTAACAGTTTTCATCAGATGTGTCTCTGATTGTGCTCACTTCTAATGAATGACCAACTATGTAAAAAATGTGTCTTATGCAAAACTGGACACTCCTCATCGACTTTTATGATTTATGTGAAACTGGGAGGTTTAACATCATGTTTATGATATGGGGGGGAAAAAGACAAACACAGCTCTACTGCTGACTAGCATGATAGCAAAAGAAATGTAAAACTGTATCAGTATGAACTTTCTTATTGTACCTGCCACTCATCATGTTAATGCTCTTCTGAGGTATTCTATGTCAGACACTGTTGCAACACTACTGTCGTCTTGGTTCCGTGTGCCTGCCTTGTGTTGCTCTCTTAACTCAACGATGGCCCAAAAAGCAAACACTGTACTGTTAAGCTCTCATGTAAACTTTCCTTCTGTCCTCACTGCTAAATGTGCCTTCCAGTGTATTCATATGAGCATGTGAGCATTGTTTAAATTTGAAATACACGCCTCTCATTTAGTTACTAGTGAGATGCAATTGTTTGCCATCCATCAAGAGTGGCGTAGTACCAATATATAATAAAAATCATGCTGAAATAACCATCTCTCAAAGATACTTTGATATTTGGACAAATGTGTCTGTTAAGGTTACGATCATTACTGTTTTTGAAAAATGTAATTCACTGGAAAATGGTAAAGATTGACGATTTAGGTGAAAAACTCAATCGTCACTCGTGTAATTAATAATTAATCATTTTTAGTGTGAATGTGGTTTCTGTCTTTCTTCCGGTTTCGGTGCTCCGGCTGCGTGGCGCCGCTGCCGCCCCCTGGCGGCCATCCAGCAGACTGCAGCACCGCTCCCGCTACGCCTGCGACCCCGCCACGCTGACCCGTGTCTGAACTCAGCGAGTTGGAAAGGGGAAAAAACAACAAAGAACAGCACATTAATATTCTCTCTCTCAGCTTTCTATGAAAAGTGTGTTTCTCTTAAAAATGAACCGGTTTTATGTGTTTTGACACTGGAACGGATACATAGGCAGCTCGGAGGCTCGCAGACGGTGAGTGGAGGCGGTGTCTGACACCTGCCCGTGTTTTAGTGCAACCGAGTTTTTTTTTTTTTTTTCCCTCAGCGCCCCAGCAAGCCGTGAAAGCGTCATTATAAGTCGTTATTGAGTTGTTCTTGACATGTTAATTAACATTTGGTTTGTCATGACAGTTTTAGACATGCTTGGTCTGCACGGTTCGGGTCAGAGGTTAGCTAGCTGTCACCCTGATGCTAAGCCGCAGGCCTGCTTTAAGGTCCCACTCTGCCACTTTACCTCCAACAAAGTAAAAAAAAAAAAGATTTTAAAGAAAGTAAAAAAAGTTTCAGTTTCAAGCTTGTGATATGATTCACAGTTTAACTTTGGCTGTTTTGTACACCTCTAGTGGTCCACAAATAATCTGAGTTTGGTCTTTCATGTCTGCAAATGTTTTGATTTATTATGGTTCAAATTCATTTGTAAAGTTAAGTTAGATGAGAAATACTACTCAAATCATTCAGAAATATTTCTAAAGATACATGAGCTAAATCATTTAGTCAAAAAGATAACTTATAAAGGTAGTGCAGCGTTTAATTAAAAATGTTCTAAGTTTAAAGCATTAGTTATCAAGTCAAGGTGGGGAAAAAGCGCCAGTCTTCCTTTTTGTTCACTTATAGGAAATTGGTTTGAAGACGAATAACTGTATAAACAACTGTAATGCTTTGGTCTGAATGAAATCCTAAAGATTCACCCTCTCTCTCGTTATCTTTACCCCTGTTTTTGAGGTGGACGCGGCAATGTGGTGCTACCAAAAACCGGACTTTGAAGGCGTCCTGCTCTCTGAGCTGCAGAGGCAGCAACAGTGCAGCCAGTTCTGTGACACTCTGCTCAAAGCAGGAGGTACTAAACACTTGAAATGGTCAAATTCGCGGAGATTGTTGTCTGTAAAGGATAGCTCTTAGCTGTCACCTAATAGGGGAGTTATTTATGCTGGCAATGACTGGTTTTCACATGCTAACATGTTATCATCTGCTTTCATAATGTTGTGTAGGACTCTGTGTCATTATACACCCTTTACACCTGTCCAACAGGTGTATCGGTACCAGCGCATAGCTGCGTTCTGTCCGCTGTCAGCCCCCACATCTCCTCGGCCCTGTCCGCCATGCCGGCGCCCCCCGCGGGACAGAGCCGCCTGCTGGAGTTCCAGGCCCTGGGGGCCTGCACGCTGCTCCACATGGTCAGACTTCTTTACTCGGGACAGATGATGGGAGAGGGGGAAAGCGAGAAGCGGGAGGCGATTTCCGCAGCGGCCAAATTGGGCATCGGTGGGTTGGTGGAGGTCCCGAAGAGTAAAAGCACAGGAGGAGGTGTGAGGGTGGGGCAGTGTGTGGAGGTGGGAGTCCAAACGGAGCCCGAGAGGACGGAGGAGCCCGGGCCACAGAGCGGGTGGAGGAGAGAGCTGAGGGATGGGGGCATTTTTCTCTGGAAAGAGACGCCGTCAGGTGGAGAGAAAGAGGTGTGGACTCAGACAGAGGAGCCTGACTTGAAAACAGCCCCCCCTGTCCACCCGCCCTACGAAACAGTTGACATGGAAGTCTTCCGGAGCTTACAGCAGGCCGACTGCCAGCAGTTTGTCCCCGTGACAGTCATCTACCCCCCAAGCGAAAGTCAAATCCTGCCGCCCTTGCCTGCGGCCGCAGCTCCTCTGCACCAGTCCGCGGCCGCCGGGAACGCCTCCGTTGACTTTGTGGTGCCCCCGCACACGTCCGCCCCCCCTTCCCTCGCTCAGTTTCCCAACTGCTTCCCCTCGTCTGACGCTGTCCCTCAGAGCTGCTGGAGCGGTTACCAAGCAGCCGGCCGGGAGGTCCCGGCAGCGGAGGAGTGGGAGGATGTGCCCCTGGAGCAGTTCCAGGACAACATCCCGGGATTCATCAGCTACTTCCTGAACCCGGAAGATAAGGACGCCTGTCGGGGGAGGAGGGCCCGGCGGAGGCAAAGGGTGAGGGGCGGCAGGAGATCCGGGACAGGGGAGCAGAGAGCCCGGACGCCCCGAGGAGGAGCCAGAGGGAGGGGCCGGGGGGGCGCCACCGAGCTGCTCAGTGTGCAGGAGGTGGGGGTGGGCAAGCTCCAGAAGCTGTTCCTGCACAGGTGGAACACGAGGACGCCCAGGACGGGGCTGGGGGCGGGGGCGGTCGGCAGGACGCTGTTCCTGAAGAGCAGAGAGTCTCTGAAATCGGGCGGCAGGTGTCCGAGGAGGAGGGGCCCCGCCAAAGAGTGGGACCCTGGCCGGAGCGGGGACCTGACGCTGCCCGGGGGAAGAGGAGGAGGCGGCGCTCAGTGGGGACGGAAGAACGCCACACAGCAGGTGAGTGAGCACGCCATCCCCAGCAGGACCAGGAAGCAGGCTGTTTTATCAGAGAGCGGAGAGCAGAGCTCTGACAGGGGGGGCTGGGGACTGGACCCACTAACTCAGGGGGAGCGCTGCTGTCCTCTGCTCTCCTGATTGGTGCTCCTGTCCCCTTTCTACAGGACTGCCCTCCCGTCAGCCGGACTCGGAGGGGCGCTGACCGCTTAGCCCCTGCACCCCCCTCCGTCCCACCCAGACGGCCGCCCGACAGATCCGGTCCGTCCCTCCAGCCGGCTGCCCCTCACAGCCTGGTGTCGCCAGCCGCCCCCTACGCTTCCCCGGCGCCGTCCCTCCTCCACACCACCGCCCTCCCCCCTCCGGCCCCCCCACCTCCCGAGGACCACCCCGAGCGCATCGAGCGCCTCCTGGAGGAGGTCATGATGGGACTGGACATTCTGCCGCACCACAAGGGCAGCGGCGGCGCACGGCACTCCCCTCCAGCAGGGGGCAGCGCCGCGGCCTTGAGCAGGCAGCGGGGCCCCCAGGCCGCCACCGAGGCGCCCGTCCTGCAGCAGCCCTGCGAGGGCGAGCTGAGCGAGATGCTGGACCAGTTCCTCCAGTCCTTTGAGCAGCACGTCGAAAACGAGAGGGGCGCCGACCTCCCCCCGCAGGGCGGCCAGCCTCAGGCGGGGAGGAAGCGCAGCCACAGAAGGAACGCTCAAAGCAGAACCCCCGACACCAGCGACGGCGAGGAGGCGTCGCAGAGCTCTGCGTCCTCAGAAAGCACAGAGAGGGTTCAGGAGAAAGCCAGAGGAGTGAGCAGGAGAAGAGCAAAACGCCGTATGTCATCCCAGAAAATAAGGAAAGCAGCTCCATCAGACAGCACCCAGAAGAACAGGGCTCCCGGGGGGTGGACGGAGCAGCTGCAGAAGACGGCGGTGGTGGAGCTGGACAGGAGGAGCACGCTGTCAGCTCTGGGCTGTCTGGGCGCCGGCCTGCAGGTGAAAGAGCTCCTTTCCGCTTCCCTCTCACTGCTGCTCTGCTGTCTGGGGGCAAAGCTGCCAACTCCAAAAGTAGATTTTATTCACTTATTCACTAAGTGTTGAACGTTTAAAGTGAGAGGTTTTCTCACCTTCAGAAGAATCTCTTCATTATCGCCTGTAACCCTGCCAGGCCTGCCACAGCGGAGCAGGCTGTCGGCTTTTTTTTTGGTAGAATAAGCCAACTTTGTTGCAGATCTTGATAATATTTTCAGCCTTTAGTAACCTCAAAATGTTCCCGAGCCACTTACTTGTTTGCCCCCATCCCAACTTTTTGGAGGCACGATTTAGTCACAAACATGTTTTTCCTCAATCCAACGGCGTAACGTAAAACCTCTGGGTGATTCTATCGATTGGCAACAAACAAGAAACATAATTACCTTTAAAGAGGGCCCCTTAAAAAGGCAGAGCGCGATAGAAAACTCATTTTTGCACAGTTAAACGTTCCATTTTCTCCCCGCTGTGTCTGCTTCCTTCACTTAGGCTGTGGTGGCACAATCTGTGGTGGCTTAAGGGAAACTCTTTTTCTCTGTATTCTTTGTCAGAGTCCTGCAGAAGCAGAGAGGAATCAGTCGTCAGGGAGAGCCTCTCAGGACAGCATGATATTCAAGGAAAGGCTGAAGTATACGAGCACAAAGACCTACCCAATCAGGAGCAGGTTCAGGAAGGCGCCTGTCATGGTGTGTGCTAGCTTCAGTGGTAATACCAAAGATCTACCTTCAGATACAGCTCCTTATGGAGACATTTCATTTAATTCATTTGGCCTTTTGCCACATTCATCACTACCTTTTACGTGGGTTTTCACTTTGATTCATCAGCACATATCTAAAGGCAAAGGTCAGTTACATTTCTAATCTAGCTAATGTGCATTCTACCACATTAGTTGATAGTTAGCTGTGGTTAGCATGCCGACAGGATGGTGCTGACAGAAGCGTGTTTAATGAAAGGAAGCTGATTTGCTTTTTGCAGAGCAATATGTCCGCCCCTCCTGAGCCCCTTCCGCACAAACCGCCACCTCCAGCGGAACGTCCGGCTCGCCATCGAGGAAGGCCGCCGAAAAAAGTTCAACGGGCGCGCATCCAGCCAGAGGGAAACCAGGAGAGACCCGAGCAGGGTCTGACCGCTCAGCCCCGGGAGGCAGCAGATGAACCTGCAGGAGGGCAAAGAAAGAGGGGGGCGGAGTCTCGTGGGGACCTCAGTGAGGGCGCCACGGCGATCAAAAGAGTTTGTTCCGCTCAAAACAGCAAACCAGCCAGTGGGACTCCCGGCTCCATTTCTGAATCTGCGGCGTGGGAATTTCCATCCGCGGCCTCGGAGCCGGAGGAGGTGATCGACATAGAGACGATCTCCTTGGCCAGTTCAAGAGAGCATTTATCAGGAGCCGAAAACAAGCAAGAGCCTGCTCTGGGAAAGGACATACTCGGGAAAGCTGGAGGAAGCTTAACGGGCGAGGACACGGACTCCAGCACCGACGACATCATAGACGTAGAAGGTGTCAGAGACTCCGAGGACAAAGAGGCAGACCGGCAGGACGGATTAGCCTCGAGCAAAAGGACAGCAAATGAGGCGAAGGATTCACTGGCCAGAACGCTCAGAGACCAGCACACGGGAGCGCAGTGGGAAGAAGATGAGGACCAAGATGGAGACCACGACATCGACGTGATCGGCGCTTCCAGTCCGGTCCCCGATCCGGTGGTCATCATCTGGACAGAGTCCTCTGAGGAGGAAAGAGAGGAGCTCATCGACGTGGTTGGAGAGAAGACGGACCGCTCTTCATCAGCTATCTTCTCTGCTGCCATAAAAGGGGAGCTCGTTAATAGAAAAGCGCTCTCTCATTAGCAGCCCGGCTCCTCTTTTCCCCGTTTCCAGCAAAACGTGCCGGCGTTGGCCTCGTTTAGCTGAGAGCCGCGGCAGGCAGAACAGAGGATGATAAAAGGGACCCAGAAGGGCCCTTTTTCTTGTTTTGTTTCGGTTTGACTGGCTCTGGAGGTTTTGGTTGTCCAGTGTCCCACTCATGTTCCAGAGGAGTGGAGCGGCGTGCTAGCTCTTTGTTTTTGGACTGCAGGTAAAACACACACTTCCTAGAGCATCAACACACACGGTGGACTGAGCCAGCAGAGTCAACAGGCCTTACTGCTGGAAACCTGTGAGAGGGGCTTCACAGTTTATTCCTCTCAGATATTGTGATGGGGATTTTATGTGAAGAGTTCATATATTGCGCTGATTTGGTGCAGTTAGGCAGATATGTTTGTTTTAACTATGAAGCAGAAGGTTTGGAGTTTTAATGCCCCCCGAAAGGGGGGAGAAAATCAGGCTTTGTATTATTAACAGAAATCAGAAATGTTTTATTAGTTGCCTAGATGACTGTTTTAGTTGTAAACGCGAGTCTTAATGTTGGCAGCAATCTCTGCGGCTGCTGGTCTGTCATCTAATTTCGACAATAAATCTTTCTGTTTTCCTCATGCTAAAGAAGTGCTTTTGTGGTGGGAAATGAGTCCCTTGATTTGGGCCTCAGCTTGTGATTTAGATTAACTAAAAACAAAAATGTACAGAACAGGCTGAGCTCACCACAAAGTGATGTAATATCCACCTAACATCTAAAAACATTTAAGATCATGGCCTGAAGCCTTTTCATATCCCAAAGCTCCCCATCACCACTATACTTTTCTTAACCCCCCAGTTCTTTGTGCTGTAACACAAAAATAGAACACATTGTCAGGATATAGATCATGCTTAGGATGTCCTGGCTGCCTCTCTTGCCTCCTTAGCTGTGGTCATTGATCCACCCCAAACTAAATGAAGTGGACACCCCCCTCCCCCTTCATTCAAACCATCTCAGAAATAATCAAACAAGAACACGTGAAGTGAAAAGGAGTTTATTAGTCATCAACCTGTGAATAAACCTCCTGCACACTACAACACCACACCTCTGAGCTGCGCCCCAGCCCGGCCTGCAGCACCAAGGGGGGGTTGGGGGGTGGGGGGGAAGGGATTCCCTGGACACGGAGCCACATTGGAGCTTTAACACCCCCCTCCCTAAAATGTGTTGGTCTTCCTCAACTCTTGGCCGAGGTCAGGTGGGAGTGCAGCGCAGGTGTGTGCGGCTGTGTTGTCAGTGTGTGGGGACCTCTAAACCAAATAAAAAGACACCGAGTGTCAGTCATATCAGCACGTGTGTGTGTGTGGAGCGAAGGCGCGTGTGTCCCTGTGCTTCAACAGTGCGATATTGTCTCTTATCACACTCTGGCAGCGGCTGTAAATCAGTAGTGGTGGGGTCAGGTTGGGGCGGCTCGACTCAAGGGGAAGGAGAGGATCGAAAGAGGGGGAAAGGAAGAGAGAAGGGGCTTCTGGGTAGAGAGAGGGGAGGAGGAGGAGGGGATGGAGGGGGAGAGGCTGTCCGCGGGCCGTTTCCTCCACTCAGTGCTGGATACGCCTGATGGACTGGATCTGGGGGGTCTGACAGTGGGAGCCCCAGTTCCTCCAGTGCTGGTAGTCTCCGCTGTGTCTCTCACACTCCATGATGTACTGCTGGCCCCTGTAGCCGGGGTACTGGTAGCACACGAAGCTGCAGGGGGGACAGGAGGGGGGCACAGGAGGGGAGGACAGGGGGGGCGGGCGGGGCTGCGTCAGAAGCTGCCGTGTGGCTCTGAGCCGGTCTGTCGCCGATAGCGACGAAAGACACGGATGTAAGCAATGCACAGCTCCGACCACACGGCTGGTGTTCAAATGAACCGGCAGATCATTTTAAAGGTACACGGTGTTAGAGTTTTTCCCATCTAACGGGGAAATTGTATTTTTCATCCTGACAAATGATGCTCTCTAGTGGGTATCGCAACTACGGTAGCCGTCGTGCATCAATAAGTAATGACAACATGACTTCCACATCATCCAGTTTTCTTTCGGGTGATGAGGTTTGTTATTAAAAAAAATTTATTTAAATGAAATAATTAATAAAAAAATGAATTAATTTAAAAGAAATTTCAGTCACGTGACTCTGGCTCAAACAAAACATGTTGTGGATTAGCTTTACAGGTAGACTAGTGCTTTATGTCCCTTTCTGAGATTATAGTTTTTCAAAATGGCGGAACTCCATGGAAACCTCTGTGGACTAACCCATCCTGTGTATATACAGATTGGAAATTCGTCGCTAATGAGATCATTGCAGAAGTCATTTTACCCTAAATGAGGACACATTTATAAATAAATTATTTTAGCTAATAAATACTTAAACTACAACAAAATGTCCCTCCAAAGGTGCATGCGTGTGTCTGATACGTTTGGATTCAGGACTTACGCGCCGCACTGCACGTGCATGGATCCGACCTCCGGCATCATCCAGCCCATGGCCTGCAGGGAGGGGTAGTCATCACAGATCTCCGAGCTGCGGCCCATGAAGTTCTCCCTCTCGAAGATGATCATGCGGCTGCTCTGGTGGGACTGAGCGGAGGTGGGGGGGGGGTTACAGACAGGTTCAGGCCTCCCGCCGGTCACCTCCCGCCCCCCCCCCCTGTCTGTGGGGGTACTCACGGCACAGTAGATGGGGCGCAGGGACATGAGGCGCTCCACGTGGTAGGAGATGTTGCCACTGTAGGCGTCCCAGTGGGGGTACTCTCCCCTCTCCAGGATGAACTGCTGGCCCTGGAAGTCGTGGTGCTCGAAACCCACCCAGCTTTACGGAGAGAGACACGCACAAAGAAGCCCGGTTGTCCATGTGATGCAGATTTCCTTCTGTCAGGATAAACCTGCCTACCTCTGACCCACAGAGGGGACAGCCGGCCCCAAAGCAGCAATGTTTGGGCCTACGGATCTGTCTGAGAAATGGGTTGAGACTTACGCTCCGCTCTCCACCCTGATGGAGCGGATGTTGTCCATCCCGCACTCCTGAACGTTGCAGCACTCGGAGGTGAACTCCATGAACTTTCCCTGGAAATGCTCCTGCTCGAACACGGTCACCTGAAGGAGGGGTATAAAAAAGTTCCCTTCCAGTACATCCAGCACGCCTTCTCCTGTTCTAAAATCATCCCACTCTAAAACGATGGATTCTGTGAACAGTTAAAAAAGGGGTTTACCTTGAAGAAGGGAGCCATGCCCATTCCTGAGTTGATCATTGGCTGCATCATAGAGGACCTTGTAGTTCTGTACATCTTGACTTCTGAAGTAGACAATGAGGACAGAAGGCGTGAGTAAAAAAAAAAGGCTTTTTCGGGACAAACGGTGTCAGAGAAAAATATTCCCCAGAGGATCTGTGATCACACGTGTTGATTCCACACTTGTACTTTTCGGTGTTGAACGTGAGAGCGCTCAGTTTCCTCTTAAAGGAAAAAGCTGGATAATGTGAAGGGGGGTGGGGGTGGGGGGGGGGGGGTGTCTGTTAAGTACAGTTGTGCCTGATGGAGATCGAGAGGTGAATCTTACCTAAGGTTGGCACTTAAAAAGAAGAGTTCGGAAGTGGAGCGCGCCTACTGCCTGCCTCGCGTAGAGCTCCGGGAGAACCTGGCGCTCCAGTTTTATACCGACTCTGTGGGGGTGCGCGCGTCCGGCCCCGCGCCTGGAAACTGCCCATTTGGCACGGCTCAAGGGGCACGTGCGCGCTCCCGCCAGCACCCCCGCCGGCGTGGCCGCTGGACTCTGTTGTCCTGTGTCGCAGCGACCAGCTCAGCACATCCCATAGTGCTGCCGGGGCCCGGCAGACAAAGGCGCTCCGGTATGTTCGCACCGCGGTCAGCAGTCCGGCGCGTGGTCCGGCACAAAGGGGTCAGGGACGGTGGGGGAGAATGTGGGGATTAGCGGCGCCGCACAAGCAGGCATCTGGGGGCGCCCCAACTGATGGATGGAAATGTTACAGAGACCGGGGAAAGCGATATGTTCTTCTCTTCTAAGAGAAGTCACCACGCGCTGCAGGGCACGAGCCTCTAAAGGTGTCCTCATGTGTGTGATTGAGACAAATCAGTGCAATAAACTGAGTTAAAGAATGAGATTCTTATTTTATTTTTGCACAGATACGAATAAAACTGAAAGGTTTTCCCTCTAAGGACGCCCATGTTTCAGTTTGTAAAGTTACACATGTATACAGCTGATATTTAAGCAATCAGAAATGAGCTCTTCTTGATGTCATACACAAAAAGCCAGACTTTGGTGCTTAGCTCAACTTATGGAGTGCCATGGAAAAGGTGTGGTGAATGATGGGATGATCGTCTTCAAATGGCTCAAGTGAAGGTGCTGCATGAAAAACTCTGTTGAGGCAGGCTTGGTCCAACAGAAAGGATTTTATTGTAAAGATTGATGCATCAAGTCTGGAGAGGTCTCATCTCCCGATGTCAGAGAAAACTCTGCCTAACTCTGGGGGTGTCTGCCCTTATACTTGGTAATCCTGTATCTGTACTTTTTGTCTTACACCAGGCTGTTTCCATCCAGGCGTGTTGCCAGAATATAGTTGATCCATATCATAAACAGTCCATCTCCACGCAGCTAGACTGTAGTGTATATAAACCATAAAGATCCCCCCTACATTCTACTTTAGTAATGTGTTTCCCAAATGTTTATGCTCTACAAACAGAACAGTCTGTGCTTAAGTGTGAGCTTCACACATTACAAAGGTTTAACAGTTCTGAATGTGATCACTTTCGTTCTGGTGTTTTGGGCAAGAATGAACAGATGATGACAAAGATCTGTCTAAAAATTCCACTTGAGATTGTCTTACAGCCAGCCTGTCCGGGGCTACTGACTAACAGCATTAAAACAGTTTGCATGTGCTGTAAATGCTGGTACATAGAAATAAAGGAGGCAGGATAAAAACTCTAAATAAAAAAAGTTCAATCACTGTGTTTCAGGTCACATTAACTTCTCTTAGTGGGTCCTCGTGTTCTGCTGCTGGTCCTGAGCCTCCGCCCATCCCCTCTGCCCGCCCCCCTCTGATGATGTGGGGTTTCTTTTGTCTCCCGCTTCTGACCTCAGCAGGTTTGTTTCTCTCCCCATAATCCCTCTCCTGTGAGCGCCAGCGTATAAAAGCCAAGGGCTCCCTCAGAGCCGTACACACTCCGAGTGAGGTTCGGCGCAGGCATCACACACACACAGACAGGTAAGGTGCTCTGTGCACCTGCAGGGGCACGAGCATCCAACTCATCTCTGCATTTTCAACCTTTCGTGTCATATTAGTGAATTTGATTTCACATCAACCAAACCTCTCTCCCTGTTTGTCCACTCAGTAATCATGTCCAGTGGAGATAAGTCCAAGACCTCTTCCCAGACTGATGGGAAGGCCGCTCAGGGCAAGAAGTCTGAGATGGGAATGATGTCCTACAAGGTGGGTTGCTTCTGTCCAGATTATGTGAGACGTAGCTCTATCGTATCCTGAATCATTTCCAACTCCTTCTGCTGTGCTCCATTCCACCAGATGTACGTGTTCGACCAGGAGAACTTCCAGGGTCGCATGATGGAGATCTGCAACGAGTGCATGAATGTGTGTGACATGGGGATGGACCGCGTTCGTTCCCTGCGCGTCGAGTGTGGACCGTAAGTTTTTTTCGGAGGCCCGGTGCGTTCTTCTCACGGCCGAGCCAAGACGCCTCCTAACTTCTGTCCTCCCCGGCAGCTTCGTGGGCTTCGAGCAGATGAACTTCTGTGGTGAGATGTACATCCTGGAGAAGGGCGAGTACCCCCGCTGGGACTCCTGGAGCAACTGCCAGAAGAACGACTACCTGCTCTCCTTCAGGCCCGTCAGAATGGTAAAGACAACGATTCCCTTCGTCTCCTTTCTCGTTCTCTCTGTTTAGACTTGTCCTCAACCAAGGGGTTCTCCTTGTTTTTCCCCCGCTCCAGGACCCCGAGAAGCACAAGATCTGCCTGTACGAGATCGGAGAGTTCAAGGGCCGCAAGATGGAGATCATGGACGACGACGTCCCCAGCCTGTACTCCTACGGCTTCACCGACAGAGTGGCCAGTATCATCGTCAGCTGCGGAACGTGAGCTCCGAGCGCCGAAGGGTACATTCAAAAGCCTCGTTACCAAAAAAAAAGTACTGACCCATCTCCTCTTGTGCCCCCCCCCCCAGCTGGGTGGGATACCAGTTCCCCGGATACCGTGGCAGCCAGTACCTGCTGGAGAAGGGCGACTACAGGCACTTCAACGAGTTTGGCGCCCGCCATCCTCAGTTCCAGTCCGTGAGGCGTATCCGTGACATGCAGTGGCACCAGATGGGCTGCTACACCATGGCCAGCAAGTGAGGCTCAGGGAAGGAGAGAAAGAGAAAGAGCGGAATGGAGGGAGAGGGGCGGAGGAAGAGGGAAAGGGGGAGAGATGCCTGAGGCCTTTACCTCAGTACCTTCAGTAGGTCCACACTAACACAGCGAGGGGAGAGGTGGGGGTCTATTTCTGCCTCTGATCGCATCCTTTCAACACCTTTGTGGAAGAGAAACCATCGAGCCACCCTCCATCCCTCTCTGTCTCTATTTTCTCTTTCTCCCCTATGGGCTGAGCGTTGCTTTCCCCCCTTTTCTCCTTTTTTAAATTCAAGTCCCTCACTTGCTCCCCTCCACGGTCCTCTGAGACACCAAAGAGCGATCACAACGCCTCTCGCTGGTTTACACACGATTCTCGGCTCAGGGTTTGATGCATCATGGGAAACTGAGTTCCCAGAGCCCCCTGCCCCTGTCTTCTTGCCCCTGTGCATTGCACACCCTCTCTGCTGTACAGAATCCTGGCCAAGTTTTCAATAAAAAGGAAAATCTTGATTTCAAACTTGATGGTTTTGTTACTTTTTTGAAAGAAATTAAAAAACAAAAACATACAAACAATAGAGACATTATAATAAGTCTAATGATGTAAACTTGGTAAACTAGAATCATATTTGTTTTGAAAGCAGCCTCTCTCATGGACATGCTGATGGGTTTTTTTTTTAAACTTTGTTGAGTCACTCATTAAAAAATAGGTTCCAAGTCAAATAACCTTATGAAAGGAGCAGTTGATGTTTTTATTGTTGGAATTTAAAACACAGGCTTTGCCAGATGACACATAGATTTCTGATCATGAATGTGGAATGATAGTTGTGAAAAAAGTGATAATTCTCAGACTAATTTAGAAATTTCAAATCCTTTCAAATCAACACATTTCCCATTTCTAGTTAGCTCTTAAAAATGTTGAAAAGGAAATAATTTCTTGAAAATGAAGTTTTCTTTCTGCGTTTGCGAATGCAAATGTTGGCCATTCCTCATTACTTTTATATTTAAAATGTAAGTGCTGTAAAAAAAGCAAAACAAGAAAGGAATTAATGTTTCTTTTATTTTCATTAGAATAAAAACATTTACAAACAAGATTTTACACTCAGGGCACAAACACTTATATATAAAAAAATACATTTAAAAAACAGATAAATCTACCTCTGTTCTGTAAAGCTATTGATATGTTTTCCAGACGTTAATATGCTTAAAATGTTTCACCTCAGTTGACTATTTCTCTCATTTGATATAAAAATAGAGTTTTGAACGAGTAGAAAGTTGACAGCCAGCCTCGCGTCTGCCTCCACACGGACTGCTCAGCGGGACATCATCCTCACAAACTCTGAAAGGAAAAACCCAGAGGTGTCATGAGGAAATCAGACGGATGGATCTCAGAACGGGCCCCCTTTACACTTTTATTTTACCCTCAAAGTCCACCAGCCCGTCTCCGTTGAGGTCCACGTCTCTGAGGATCTCGTTGATCTCTTTGTTGGTCACCTGCTCTCCCATCAGCTTCTTCATGGCTTCGCGCAGCTCAACCAAACTGATCAGGCCGTCGCCGTTAGAGTCGAACTGGAGGCAGGGACGAAAGAGTCGCAGCTCATCAAGCTGCACAAACCAGGACTCTTTCCTCACGTTGCCAGTCTTTGTATCACCACCAGGTGACAGTAAAGTCAAACATTCTGACGTCGTTCTTGCAGAATTTCCCTTTTTTCCCCCATCTTTATCAAACTGTATTTGTGAGTTAAATTAAATCATTACAGGCTTTCTTTGTGTATCATGTAAGAATGGTTATTATTTGTTAATTAATGCTTTTCTTTAAAGAATTTTCTCTTTATAGCAATCATCTTCCCTCTGTTGTCTTCATAGAAGTTTTCCTTCATTATAGCCGGAAAATGCAGTTTTCTGCTGTGGGTAATGAGTCCTCCAGAGGGTCAGATTAAAAGACAACCTTTCTCTTTACACACAGATAAAAATCTACCATGTCAGTTCTCCGTTACTGTTTCATGAATACGAGGGCCTTGTTCCGAACAGAAATCGGATCAGTAACAGAGGCTCATGTGGGCTCTCTGTAATCCGCAGTTAAAGGCTGCTTTGTGTCTTCCTGCTTCAAGTAACGTCATACATGTCCTGACCTCTTTAAAAGCATCCCGTAGTTCTTTGACTCCGATCATGTCTGCCGTCTCTGCCAGCATCTTGGGCCCCATCAGCTCCACGAAATCCTCAAAGTCCACTTTACCGCCACCTAAAACATAAGAAGCCAGACCTAGGTGAGTTTTCAGACAGTAACAAAAAATCCTCTGTTGTTTCCAGGGCTTTTTAATACGTTCATTTTAGTTTTTTAAAACTGAGCTAGAGTTCCACTCACAGATCTGTTGGCTCAGTTCAATGAGCTCCATCTCTGTGGGCATGTATCCCATGGTCCTCATGCACTCTCCCAGGTCCCTATGGCTGATGTAACCTTTTTTGTTCTTGTCAAACTCCACAAATGCCACTCGAAGCTCTGATTTGAAACAAAACACTCTTGTAAATGTTTCATCGCAGTGAAAGGCACCTCTGTCATCTGGATGGGGGAATTACTGTCATCTCACCTTCGATCTCCTCGGGTCTCAGCTCTCGGTCCTGTCAGAAACAAAGCGTTTTAGACTCTAACCTCTCTTCTCACATACTGACTAACACACATCTGGGCTGCTTAAAGCATTTGTGAAGCCATAATACTAAACATTTAAAAACACACACGTCAAATTAAACATCCTGTGTGTGAACACACATGCACATCGATTGAAGAGGGTAAACTGAGCAGGGAAGAAACAAAATGTCTTAAAAACACATACAGAATCAGCCATAAAATGAGTAATGAGTGGAAACTATTGTTTGAACAAATATTTTGTCATGTGTGGTCACAGTTCAGACGTCTGGCCAATATTTGATTTATGACCTGTCCTTCGTATGAACTGGGCAGAAAAAATTGAGCTATGTGTGCTATTTGCTTAATTAAAAAAAAAGGTTTACTGAAAGATTACATGGCCCTGCAATGGACTGGGTGTACCCCGCCTCTCGTCCACTGAATACTGGGATAGGCTCCAGTCCCCCAACGACCCCATTTGGGAATAAGCGGTTCAGAAAATGGATGGATGGATGAAAGATTACATCATGCAAACAGAGCATAAACTGTCTATTATGGTTTAAATCGTATATACACAAATTTTGTTAGTCATTGATTATTAGAGAACACCAAACAAAAATCAGAAAGAAGACCTTTGGCTAAATGTCGGCTGATTATATGCAAACAAGTGTCACCAAGTATCCATATACTAAAGATATATATCAAATATTCTTGCTCTTAGTGAAGTGAGAACCTTGTCACAGCTTGGGTCGAATCGTTTCAGCTCTTTTTATTCCCCAATTCTTTCTGTCAAGCTATTGCAGGTGCTAAAGAGATGTCTATCGCTCCAGCCCCAAACTTTTAATCAGCCAAAAAAATGTTGTTTTCTGTGCTTTAAGTTTGTTGTTGGCTGGTTGAAGCAGAGTGCAGAAAACCTCCAGAGAGTTTTTCCTCCATGAGATGACACTAATGCACTGACTTGTTTTCTATTTTGAGCAGTTTGGTAATGACCTGGAACCACAGCATCTGAAGTTAAACGAATTCCCTGTAGAGTAAGTCCATGTTTCCAGTAAAAAAAAAAATAAAAGCAGCACTGGGACAATTCCAGCCCAGAAAGATCTTAATGTGGCCAGCTCTTCCTGTGCCTGGACCCCCACCTCAGCCTGTGCCACACATTATAGAACCGGCTCCACAATGATTTTCCATCAAAGTCAGTGATCGATCCCGTAGAGCAGATGCCGTGATGTGGGATCTGATGCTCTGACGTGGGCCAGCACGCAGGGAGGGGGGTGAGGAAGAGGAAGGGGGACACGACACAGCTGGTCTGGTACAGGGCCACGACGTGGGGATGAAAACGACCCGACACGAGTGGAAAAAGTCGAACATAGGTTGCATGAGAAACACACACAAGTGTCTGTGTGTTACATACGAGTAAAGTCTGAGTAAAGTCCTGTTTAACGAAGACGCAGGCCGGGCCCACAATGTGGTGGAGGACCTCGCAGTTCATCACCAGCACACCCAGGGAGTCCATGCAACGCTCCACATCCTGACCACCCTCCTCCTCCGGCCGCAGGCCCTGCTGGTCACTCATCTTACCGCGGAGGGCCTGATGAATCACGCCCTTTCAGATTCAGACCAAGCTGTTAAACCACTGCTCTTTACATCTTCTAAAGGTTTAGAGTGAGGACCTGTTGACTGGTTACACAAACGGATTAAATTGCTTTTCATTTTAGTTATTTCTTGGTGCACAATTCGATTGTAAATGGAAAAAAATGACAGCAGTTAACCGGTAAAGATTATGGCGGTCACAGCCAGTGAGGAACCACAACCTGCTTCAAACATCTGCTTTTAACCAACTGATGCCCACAAAGCACAAAGAGGGTTTACGCTGTTGATGCTGTCAAAAGTTTTAGCAGAGCTCAAACAGAGGTCTGGAGACCATGAACACTTTCCAAAGATTAGCCACTGGATTGTTTCTCTGACTAATGATGTCAATCCCTGCTAGAAAAAAAAAAGATCTTCATACTCAGGCTAAACTGTAAACGGTCCTGTGAAGTGACTGAGTTGGTATAAGAGCATTTTGATCACAAAAAGCAAATACACAACGTCAATTAACCCCATTACACAGTTCTGGAAATTATTACCTATCTTTTAAAAAACAACAACCCAAAAAGCTTATGTAAACACTTCAAAATACACAATTAACAATCTATGATGGGACAAATTGAAAGGTTTTGTCTTTGCCCTCGTAGGCTGCTGACCTGAACATAACTGAAAATCTGTTGACCTTCAGAACGGCTCAATAGTTTCACCGAACACGCAGACCTTTGCCTGGGAATGGGTGAAAATCCTCTCAAATCGGAACCAACAGACTCTGTGCTGCCACAAAAATGTTAAGCACACTTTGATCGATTTCCTTTAATCAAGCTCTATTGATCACTGTGCACAATTAGCTTAAGGCATCCTTTAGTTTAGAAACACAAAAAAAAAAAGATTGACAAAGAAATGCACTTTTATACTTTAAAGAAATCCAAATCTACATGCTTTCTAATACTATGACCAAAAAGACATAAAATGCGACTTTAAATTGTCACAAAGGAGAAGCTTTCCATTCCATTCCATTAAGTTGAAAGTAGTCTGAGTCAAACAGAGAGGAGGCAGACAGCTCCTACCTTCCTCAGATCATCTTTGGACGGTTTGGTGCAGTTGCCCATCACCAAACCTCTGCAGGTCAACAATCTGCCGCTCAGTGTCTCCTTTCTCTCCTCTTTTCTCTGCACTTATGTCTCGGCTCAGCTCAAACCCATGTACGAGCTGTTCTGACTGACAAAAAAATCTAATCAAGTCAAACCCGCTGACAGCAGCTGAAGAAGTAACACCAGCCTCTTCTCATCCAGAGCTCTGACCCCCATCCGTCTCCCTTCCCTCCTCTTTTTCTCCTCACTTGCCCTCCATCTCCCGCCCCCCTCCCACGGTCAATATGCTGCTCCAACATTCAACTGACCCCATCTACAGTTAGAAGAGTAGAAGAGGGAGAGATAAGAGGAGATGAATGGTGAGTATTTTTAAGATGAATTCCTGAAATGACATCCAACATTACAATTCTTTACCAGCTTTTTCCGGTGAAGAATTCTGGTCAAAATAAATTGGCAGCAAAGTACAGATTATGATTGAACCTTAATAAACTTCTGATTGGCAGAAACGTAACTTTTCATTGCCAAACAGTTTCTTGACGCAGTAGCCTCATTTCACACAATCTGAAATATGCAGCACAAGTGGAATCTAAAGAAAGGAAAACATCATTTGAAACATGAAGATGGCAGTCCTCAAAGATAAGACTTTAGCCTCTGTGTTTGTGTGGAAAATCCATTTCTGTGGGTTTCCCTACGTGGCACATTCACAGGAGCCAGCATATTACTACCTTCTTTGGATGTAGCTTTAAAAAAACCCATTTTGAAATAATTTAATTTAATTTCAAGAAGTTTGTTCTGAATTTTATTGACATTAATGGTTGGGAAGCGATTCAAACTCAGTTATTTGGCTTAACATTAGTTTGGCTCCACCAGCCCTTCCAGACTCTAATGCAGATTCACTTGCCTGTTAAATATGATATCAAAATGAATTCATGTTGATTAAATTAAATATGGTGATAGACAGTGTTTCCACGTTTTTGTTGTCATATTTTGCTGTGATAGTGGGTTGTAATATCAACATGGTCACTAACACATTTTTGTGAGGCATTCGTTCAGTATCATGGAGTTCAGACCAACAACATCCACCTTTCCTCCACTGTCAATGTCACTAAATCAACCAGGTGTTGATAAGCTGCCATGTGAGATGTCACAGACGAACGATGGGATAAGAATTTGTAGATTTAAGTCACAACGTGGCAAGAATGTCTCTGCATTGTCACTAAGAGGTGTTTCTGTGAATTAAAAGAAAAAAGAATTTAGTCTTGATTACTGTGGATTGCTTAGCTTTAATCATTTCCAGCAACTTGAATAAAGAAGAAGAAAAGGAATCATGGCCTCTGAAGGATCAGAGAAAACTAAAACACTGGAGCAGTGTGTTGATAGAGCTACACTTTCTAACCAAGAGGAACAAATTCAGACGCTTGTGTGGAGGATATTTCAAGAAAGCCCAGTGAATACGCCTCCACTTCTGCCTTCTGCTTATCACTGACAAAATGCCCATTCTGTTGGAGGAACGGAGGAGACAGCAGGTATTCAATTTGCCTGCTGAAATCTGAGAGACGCTGACAAACCTACACAAACGCACACTGTTTTATCGTCCACATGTCCCATTTTTAGAAGCTAAAAATATGTTTACATGCTCCAAGTTTCTTCACCCACTGTGTCGCAGTTAATAAGGCCTTTAAGACCGATCTAGTATTCAGTTCTCATGTAATTCTGAAACCTCACGCGTTCATCACACGTTGGTCAATCCATTGAAACAGTCTAAACTGAAATTGAAACTGATTTGGTTGACTGTTACTAAAATCATCATGAATGATGCATAGAATTTATCTTGACCTTGCAAAGAGTAAATTGAAACAGTGCATTTACCCAGAAGCTGAGATGAGCCACTGACAGCATGCTGGGAAATGCAAAAAATGGACCACGTGGGATTTTCCGATCAAAGACAAAGCCAGAAACGGCCTCCTTCCTCCTGCTCTTACCCCTGTGCAGTAAGCAGCTGTGACCACTAGAAGTCACTTTAGCACATGCCATGACTGTCTGAGGGCTGGTGCAGAGCAAATCTGAAACAGTGAGACTATTTTTAACTGAACTTCGAGGCAGATTGAGCCTTCACGAGCAGCTTAAAGCTACCACTGCAAAATAAATTAAACTTCCTCTCCCTTATTTTGAGCAATCTAACCAGCAAGCAAAAAGAAAAGAGTGGGTTGAGAAGATTTTGATGTCTTTGCAATCATCTACAGCTGGAGGACCAGATGAAAATCCCAAATAGCCTCCAAGAGCCTTATTTCCAAAAGTGCTTTGAAAAATATGTTGAATTTACTTCATTAAGTAGATGAAGCATTTCATACGTACTGGTATACAATGCTGTCTTTGTCTCTTTGACAGACAAATGTGAAAGTCAAATAAAAAACAACAACAAAACCAGCCGACCTCCCCCCTGTCCTCTGTAACAACTTACCAGATCATGTCAGAGCCGAGCAGACTTTCAAGATGGTCGATTTTCATTTTTAATTGCGGCTGGACTCAACCCGACCTTTGACACCTTGATTTCAGCTGCCATGTTTCAATACTGGAATCCAGATTCCCTGTTTTTGTTCTGCCTTATTAAGTGATTGGTTTGCCATATCCACCCATTGTCACGGTGCATGTGGAGGTGATGATATGCACATCTGTGAAGTGCTCCTGAATACAGGAGCGATCCATCAGCCAGCCAGCCGGTTTACTTCAGCCACAGAAAATGTCTGTTCACCACCACAAGAATCCAACAATTCCGCACGGACAATTTCTCAAATTTCAGTTTGATTGGGTGCAACAGAAAACTGGCACCGGGAACTGCAGTCGAAGACACACAAAACCACCTCTAAAGCAGATTAATTACCAGTCTGAATCTCTCTTACCGATCACTTCATTTAATCATGCACATGAGAGGACTCCCACAGGTGCATGCGTGTGGTTGTATGCGTACACTTGTGTTACTGGGTTCCTGCTTTGATTACTTTTTAAGTGCTTGTCTCAGATGATCCGCGCTGATAGCCACACCAGTACCTGAGGATTAATTCTATCACTTACACACACACACACACACACACACCACATTCAGCAAGTACTGTGTGTGTAATGTGAGAGGCGGGCAGCTCTCAGGTAATGTGATTCTGTCCTTTGTTTCTGACTGGACGAGTACTCCAGTGCTGCTCTGGTTTCAGAGCCACATCAGCTGGTCTCAAGTAATGACAGCTGATGAGCAGGGAAACACGAGACGGGATGGAGTGGATCAAGTGCAGATGAAGGAAGAAGGATGGAAAGAAGAAAGGAAAGACGTGTAAAAGAGGCAAAAGCATCAACATTTTATTAAACAAAAGTGGAAGCACACAAAAGAATCCATTCACACTCAACTCTTTGATTCTATTTCATTGATTTGAAACGCTGGACCTTAGTGGCTGCTGTCTTGGGTTTTTTTTCTCTGCTTTATCACACCTGATTCAAATCATCACACCACTAGCAGATTTGTGAAGGGCTTCAGATCCACTCAGTCTAAATCAGATGTGTAGAAGCAGGAAAAAGACCAATCTTAAACATTTAAATGATTTTATACCTGAAGAAAACTGACAGTATTTAGTTTTCAGCCAAAATAAAGTTTTTCTGAACTCCTCACAAGTCCCCCATTTAAACTGTAACATGGCATCAGATTTTTAAAACCGGTTTCGCCATTAAATCTTTGTAATTTTAGTTTTCTGTCCGAAATGATATTATGGACTTCACTGAGAAACATTGTTCTTAAGAGGAGTTAATACTATCCCACTGTTAATTTGTTTGTCTCAGTGACATGCTGTCTGTTTTTAGCTGAAAGAGGTTCCACCAGATATCCATTACACATGTTACATATTTCCCTCATTTCTTCACCTCTTCTTTGTGCTTTATTTTTAAAAGTGCGTCCTAACTTTACAATTATAATTGGTGATGTCAGATTATTGGTTTTTATGACATGTTTTTCTCAAATGTTGAGTCGAAGAGAAATCATTTTTACCTTTTAAAGTAAAAAACAATCCATCTGAAATCTGGTCTCCATTATGACTCAAATTACCAACTTAAGTGCTAAATAAATACAAGATAAAAGCTTTGTAATGTATAGCATTTAGCTATACTAGTGCTAAATTTGAATGTAAGAAACCTGATTAAAAAAATAGTAACAAAGACTTCCATAATCTAAGTCTCCAATTATTTTATTGTTGAAAGTTGCTGCATCAAAAATTTCCGTTATAAGATTTTCAGAATGTTTTGGCGATTCCAACCTTAATGAAGTGTTTGGAGTTTCATCACTTTAACTGTGATGTAATGCAGGATTTGCTTCTGTGGTAGATCACTTTAAGGAGATGATGAGTTTCCCAAGCCATCTGTTTCTCCTTCATTATGTGGTGGCTGAGGGTCTTTAGGAAAACTCACAATTCGACTTGTCTCCTGTGCTCAAGCTCTATGCCAGCATTCATCCTGTTCTGTTCTGCTCTTCTCTTTAGACTTTCGCTGACTGCTCTCTCCCACTCACTCAGCAGATTTGTTTTATTTTGGACCACTTGCATCACCACTGACATCATATTTCTCTTTCTTTTTTATCCACTTCTCGTGGCTGAAGCCCAGACTCACTCTGTCACACTCAGAGTTCGCTGACGCGATCAGGTGGACATGAAATGTGAGTCACAGAAGTCGGTCGGGGGAAGAGAGTCTGGCTTTAACTTTAGTTTGATCTCCTCAGATCTCCGTATTTGCTCGGCGCTCAACGTTTTCTCGCTCTGTGGTTGTGTGACTCTGGGTGACAGACGTTGTGTGCGGCTTCGGGCCGTTTGAGTGACGGCCTGTGATGTGATACAGTGATGACTGAGTAACAGCAGACACAGGGCCACCATCACATCTCTGGTTGACTGTGGCAGTATCTGTTACCGGTTATTCTTTCAGAAAGCTTTCCTAAAGTGATGGAACTTAAATCCTTGACCACGCCCTATCGTCTGGCTTTGCGGATTTCAACCATTCCTAAAATTAGTTTGGGGAGGAATGAAAAGATGTCATGCTTGACGTTCCTTTTTAATGTGTTTCATTGCTTTAAGAGCCTTTGGTTCGAAGAGGTCAGAAGGAGACAGCTTTTGTTACCACCTGGAGGAGAGCTGGGTTTTAAATTGAAATTGGAGGTGTAGAGTTTCGATCGAGCCTCTAAAGGAGACATTTAATCAGCCAGAGATCTGCATGCAGGAGTAACCCAATAAAAGGCAGACTGATGAGACAGACACAGACCCTGTCCAGTCCTACCTGTCCAAACACAGAGTCCACTATGGGCAGCAGGTCGGCAGGTTCTGCGTCCTTCTCTTTCTCCCCGTCTCTCCTCTGTGGCCCCTCCATCATCTCCTCCAACGTGTCCTCCAGCGTCTCGCTGTCCTCGGCCGCCTCGGCCGCCTCGGCCGCCGCCCTCTGCGGGAACTGTCTGGACCTCTGACGGACCTGAGGTTGAGGGTCTCCCACTCCCGCGCCCTGTTCGTTGTTTCGCATCCTCTGCCTCTCCATCTTCTTCTTGATGGCAGCCTGGACCTGTGAGAGGCACAGAGGCTCTTTAGAGATGATTTGAATTTGAACTAGAACAAATTGCCGTCGGCACTTCAAACTGTGAGACAAACTGTGAGGAAATCTCCCATTCCCCCCCCCCCCCAGGATTTTCTCTAGTTGACCAATATCCAAACTGAATGGTCCACAACACACCTTATCACAATGAATTGTGACACATTTTTAAACACAATAAAAACCCTTTCAATCGGTTTTCCCTGCCTGATACATAAACATTTCCTAAATTCATATCGGAGCATTGGTAATAGTTCAGCAGAAGTAAAAAGACATGCAACATGCGTTTCATTTTGACAACAGACAGAAGGAGTACTTTAAGGTAATCTTTACACTCCTGAATTTTCAGATGACTTTCCCACAACAATATACTGAAACAGGATAGAGGCACACAGAAAAAGATGCAGGATGTGATGAGAAACACACAGATATCTTACACACAGGGCCATGCATCCCGGACACACACCTGCTTTGCACTCCTCTCCTGCGGCGCGCTCATGGCTCCAGCACCGCCTCCTCCGGCAGACGACTCGCGAATGATCATGAACATCTCAGCGTGACAGGCTCTCTCACACACACACACATGCAAACGCACACACTCTCTCTCTGTTCCTCCCCCCTCCCTCGCCCTCTCTTCCCTTCACTTGTCTCCTCTGCTGTCCACTCTGCGTGCTAAAATCCCTTGAATTATAGTGCCGAAGAGCTCATTTGATGAGTGAGATTCTCAAAAAAATGTGTTAAAAATGATGCAATCATTTCTTTGTTTGAGGCAGACACAAAATGAGAGGACGACTGAGGTGATTCGAGCAGAGAGCGAGGCTGATCTCTTGGTCCTTCTCCTCCTCTGTCCTGGCAGCTCCTCAGACTTTCACCATGCTTCTGTCCACATGTGTCTCTTGGTGTGTTCAAATGAGGAGGTTTTTATCATCATCAGTCGTCTTGGCTCTGGGATTAAGTTCCTGTTCCTCTGCCCCCACTGGCTACCTCCTGATCCTTTAGGTGACACTCTATACTTCCTGAACTTTACCTCTCCCACGTTATCTACCTGTAACACGTCGACCTGGATCTCTCCTTCGTTTCCTCCCCCTTTTTTCTGACTTTTTCTCTTCTTCGCAGCTAAACACTCCTCTTGTTGTGTCTGTGCTCTCCTTCGGACCACTCCTCTCAGCATCAGAGTGCATGCAGCTATTATAAAATGGGCTTGTGTTATTCTGTCATCTTCTTCTGTTTGCTTACACTCATCCTTTCCTTTTTTTAAAAATCTTTCAGCCCCACATATTGCCAGTTTCCTCTGACAGTAATCCCTGCCCTTTCAATACTTCTTCTTCCAATCCTTCCCCCCCTCAGTCTTCTGTCGTATTTACTGCCTTGAGTGTGATACAAATGATTTCTTTAGTTTTTTAATACAGGGACGAGCTTTTCGTTTTGTAAGGGATGGAGGAGGGATGGCAGGACACAACAACCTCAGCTGCTGAGCAGAGATGAAAGGCTTTTGTTCAGCTTCGGCACATCACTTTCATGATGTCCCGAATGCTTAATCTCATCCAGCATGGCTGAGTGCAAACACATGCACGCACAGGTGGACATGTCACCGCTGACCACTATTTTTAGATATGAGTGTTCACACGGGCTTGTACACACATTACTGTGCTTTTTGGCTCCCTGACGGAGCTGTACGTAGCTTTGTGGTGTTTATCTAAAGCAACCAATTCCTCTAAAAGCATCAGCTCCCTATTAATAAAAGGGCCTATCAATTTGCTCGTCCTCCTCTCTCCCTTCGTCCAGCAGAAAACAGGGACGCGGACAGGTGTTTGACGGCTTTGAGCTGATGAAGTGTGAGGCTTCTTAAGCCCGTTTATGTCCCTAAATGCCTCCAATCACATCACCGCATCTCCTTTTAACCCACATCAAGGATTTCTCTGTTGAAGCGAAACTGCTGACAAACTGATAATGTATGGCCTGACTTCTCTCAAGTTTCTAATGAGCTTTCCATTGATCATTTCAGCCCCATCTTTCAGCTGCCTCCCTGTCCGTTCTCGGCCCCTTTCCTCATTGATAATTGATGGGAGGTCAGTGACAAATTCTTGAGTGAGAAAGAAGCGAGATCCATTACAGAAAAGTTAAGTTACACAACGGAGGGCTTGAAATAGTGGTTGTATTTTGGGAAACAGATCTATTATCTAAAAGCGGGCGGACAAATTATTCAAACGGAAATTGAAAAATGGAAATGTAGAGGAGATCAAAACTGTTCAAACTTTTATTCCCTTATAATTTTAGTCTTTTTCATCCTAGACATCCCTGTCACCTTAAATGAAAGGTTTAAAGGAAATTTTAAATAAATGAAAGATCTGAGAGAGGAGATGAATGGAGGCAGAGTGGCAGCTGAGCAGTAAAGCAGAGGTGAAGGCTTGTGTTGCTGCACGTTGATCAACCTGCAACGATATCTAACTACAGATCAGCTGTTTATGGTTAATGCATGGGCGGATGACGCAGACTGAGCGGTTTTATTTGCGTCAGACTCATTCTCATGATTTATTTGTTTGTAACCGTAGTCACAGTTTACTTAATTACTCGGCTGTCACAAACACACTCATTAACCTTGCTTAACAGGGCAAAAAAAGGCAGAACATTCATGGGTCTCTGTGTCAACTAAACAACTAACTCAGACACAGCCAGGGCACAGGTAATCACATGATTATGTCCAGTAAGACATCAATGTATTGATCAGTTTTTGTTGGGCTTGGGTCGCTTTTTGTGTTCTCATGTGACCATAACAAGCTGGAGAACAGATGCCACCATCCATCCATCCATTATCGTAACCGCTTATTCCCTAATGGGGTCGCGGGGAGAACTGGAGCCTATCCCAGTAGTCAATTGGCGACACGGCCCGCCAGTCCATCGCAGGGCCACACAGAGACACACAAGGACAAACAACCACTCACATTCACTCCTACGGGCAATTTGGAGTGTCCAATCAACCTAACATGCAGGTTTTTGCTGTGAGGCGATGGTGCTAAGCACCGCACCACCACCCAGACACTACCATAAACACTATAAACAACAGAGAAGTCAACACTGTGAGCTGCGATGGCACATGTTTATTTGAAAGTCACTTGCGTTATGTAACAAGATAATGGAAGAGCATATGTGAGAGTGAGAGACTGTGAATTTATTTTTGTTAATCATTCGTTTGCATTTGTGTGAATTCACATGTAAAACATAATCGTTTAAATCGTTGATCGCTACGAACAGATTTAGCTTCAGAACTCACATTTCTCCAGTTGCAACCTTTCTTCAGTGGCCCGCTGTTAGATTCAGAATTGAATACAGCTCTTAATGGCTAAGTTCCCAAGATCTAACTGTGGTTTCAAGAGTTTCTAAAAGTACAACATGAAACAGAGCCTTCAGTTGGCAGGCCTCTCCCTGTGGAACCAGTTTATTACCTTTATGATTAGGCTTAAAACTGTCCTTTTTGGTAATGCTTTTATGTGTAGGGGTAGCTCAGATTACCTTAAACACAGTTATGCTTCTGCAGGCTGAGACAGGTTTTAGGGAGTGGTGGATCCTCCACAACATTATTTAAGCAGAGTAGGATAATTTAGAGATTCACACTTGGTTGTCAATCTGCTGATTTACACCACTGTAAATATGCATGAATTTATTTAATAAATAACAGGAGAACATTTTCTGTCAACTTGAGAATTTAATGCGTTTTCTCTCAATAATAGGAGCTGAACACAATGTGGGGCAGTGTATTTCCCACAGATTCTCAAAATCAAGATACAGTGACAACCACCGTCCTCCCATATGGTATCAAAGTTATAAAACAGCAATATTCATTTTTCCTTTAGCTCGAAACCTCCCAAACATCAACAATCTTTCTATCATTAATGATAATACCATTTTCCTTTCCACTTTGATCAGTGATATCTGTTACATTCATAAATAGTTCTTGATTGACTGGTGATTGGTAGAAAAAACAAGTTAATCAGATCACCTAAAGCTTTATTATGGACAAGTCTGTTAAACTGGACGCTTTAAGAGATGGTTTTTGTTGCCCTCTGGTGGAATCAGTTGAACCAACAACCCCTTCCGCATGAAAGCTAGTCATAGTATCAAAACCCCGAGCCCGTCCTACAGATTGAGGACAAAAACAGAGACAGAAATGCTATTTAAGAAGGCAATGCTAAATAAATGTGATGGCAATGAGAAGTACACACAGTCAAAAATGTACAAATTAGAACTTAATATCATATATAAAAAAAAGGGCTGGACACACACACATTTATATACATCACATTGTGCTGTTAGATACAACATTCAGTAAGTTAAAAGTTGAAAAACAAAAACTTGCCAAATTAAATCACATTCAAAGGCCGAAACTCAAACAATTAACTCTGACTCCACTTTTACCCAATTTAGCTTTGGTAATTGAATCAAAGTCTGGCAGGATGATATTTCTCCACATATTTCTCATAAGTAAATCCCATCAATATTAACAAATGTGATTGGGGTTAATAGAAAATAATGAATAAGTAACAATGGAAAGCTCAACTGGTCGAAAATCAATACACCCTGAACAGATAAAGCTGTGTAGATTTCATTCTATTGGATAAATCTTTCAAGAAAAATAGGGGTCATAGAATCTAGTTGAGTTATTTTGGTTATTTTGTGCTTTGATTAGTCTTTAAAGTGTCATTAGTCAGACATTTGTTTCCTCTTCTCCAGTGGAACTGAAACTCTTGTAGTCTCAGTTCCCTACAGGTCCACCATCACACCACAGTGTCTTTACGAGGCAACCCTCTGAACCCTGAAGCACCTCTGAGTCCCGTGGCATTTCTCTGGTGCTGACGTTCATCCCCAGTGTGGTGTGACGATGGTTAGAGGCTCTCGGTTTTGTCCGTTAATGATCGGCCAGGGATTGAAGTAGGGGAAAACAGGCTCCTGGAACTTTGCATCGTAGAAGGTGAAGAGGTGGCTCATGTCTCCAGCATCGTAGAAAGCCACTTCCCCGCGCCCGTAGTCTAGATAGACGCCCACCCTCTTGGGGGCTTTGGGGGGGTATATCAGGCTCTCGTCTGAATCCGTGCAGGCTTCGTACTCGCTGGTGCCGTTGCCCCTGTCCCGCCGCACCATGGTCCAGAAACCATCGTCTGGGCACAGGCTGATCTCCTCCTTCCTGTTGACGGAGGCTCTGGCCACCCCCAGACCCCACGCCGTCTTGCCTCCCACCTCCACCTCCCAGTAGTGTCTGCCCGAGGAGAAGGCCTCAGAGCCCAGGACGATGTTGTAGCGGGTGAAGCGCTCCGGGTTGTTGGGCAGGTTGGTCTGGACCTTTCCCACCTGGACGCTGGTGCCACAGGCAGACACCCACAGACGGGGGTAGGCCGTGTCGGGGTCAAGGGTCACCGCGGAGACAGCTGGAGGATGCAAAAGAGTCAGACAAGGAAGAAAACACGCATCCTTACAGGGGATGACCTCCCTGACAGTGATCCTCAACACGATACCGAATGTCTACCGTTGCACTTAATGTAAGATGAGCTGGATTAGAGCATCAGATACACGGACTCAACTGAAATATAGATGATGCACCTGTCAGGACCAACGGAGGTTAAGATAATCTGTGGAGCTGCAGCGCGGGGACAGATTTCCAACATCAATATGTGATGAAAAGGTAGTTGGAAATTTTCCAAAGACCTTTCCAACGACCTGCCTAAATTTCCAACGACTAAAAATATAGCAGGTAGGTATAAACTTAAAAGGACACACAAAACAGCCTTCTTCAACTACTGTCAACTTGTTGATTTCTATTTGTCAAAACATTTCCGCCGCTATGGCACATTTGTTCCCAATATGCCTATTTCTACTATTTCTAGTACTTTTTTTATAGTCTTCTATGGTGTGTTGTTATCATTATTATTATATTTTTTTTCTTTATACTTCATGTTTAACCCTTTAGGAACTCTCTGTGTGAACCTTGATATCTGTTGCTGCTGTTATAGTTGAATTTCCCCTCTGCGGGACAATAAAGGCTGTTTTGATTCTCTGTTCTATTCCATGAAGACGATCTACAAACTTGTGACAACTGAGCCTCTTTTTGTCTGGAGGAGATTTAAAATGATTCAATTATAGCTGTCACTGAACTTAATTCAGCAGCATTTGAGAAATGACTGAGAACAGACACAATGATCTGTTTCACCCACCATTTAGAGACCCCAGAACTCAAGCCTCACTAAACTCTACTCGAACGAGTACTAATCCAGGAAGAAGCTAAACTCATGCCAAGAAGCCTGAAATACAAGCTGACCCCCCTCAAACTCTGGGCATACGTGCACTGACATGCATTTTCTAAAGACATTTTCGTTAATACATTTTTCAAAGTCACTGAGCATAGTAATAACATTTACACATGTGCTCGACTTCTGCTCAGTCTTCATACCTGGTTGAAAAATGGAGCTCATTTTCCTCCACGTTCTGTACTGCAGAGGTCCCAGGAACTCCCCTGACTGCAGATCCACGGCCACCTCTGGGGGGCGCTCAAACAGGCTCTCAGCCCTGAAATGAAAGGAAAAGAAATCTGTCATAACATGACTACCCAATTACAGATTTACTGCCGGCCTGATGAAATTACTGTAACTCTTTGGATTGTAAGCAGGAGAAAAAAAAACCTGTTCTCTCTTTCCAGGACGTGACCTATGAGTCATACTTCTGACTATGCCACCCAGTAAAAAAAATTACACAAACTAGTCCATCCAAAAAATGTGTGTCCACATTTTATTTCTAAATGACAGATATCATATCTAGACAGGCACTCGCAGTTCATCGTTCTGGTGGCTGAGTGGCATTATGTGAGACAACGATGAGTCCTAAAGAACAACCGTGCCCTCACATCCTGTTTCAGTAAGACTTACACATGATTGCAAAACAACACAACCTCTCCTTGTGACAATCAGGACAGACAACAAGTGGACACACACATCTGAAAAGAATCACTGTGATGAATCATCCCGATAAGTTCAAAGTGTTACTCACCCTCCGATGAAATCTTTGATTCCCTGAAACAAGACAGAGCAAAGATTGTTACCAACATGCCAGCTGGCACCTCAGACCAAGCACCTTAAAAAGTTTCAACATTCTCAAGTTTACAAAGCTGAGAAACAGAGGAGGCCTGTTCTGTTTTACCTTGAGCTGCTCTGGATTTTCCTCCTCCCTCAGTTTGAGGCGAAGCTTTTCCGCGGTGCTCTCCAGCTGGCTAATTTGCTCGGTGGCCTGCGTGAGCCCTTCCTCCAGCTGGCCGAGCTTCTCCTCTTTCTCCTTCTGCAGCTTTTCCTTGATGCGCTCCTCCTCCTGGAGCAGGAACTCCCTCAGGCGGCTGAACTCTGCAGTGACCTGCTCTTCCAGATCTCCCGCTCGCTCCTGAAAACCCCCAAAAAGACGCCGGTCACCGAGGGCGAGGACTTGTTCCAGGGTTTTTTTGCTCAAAAGAAGTAAAAAGTCATGGAGTTTATTTTGTATTAATGTTTTCATGTGAGTATTGAAAGCCCTACATCAAAAGCTGCGAGAGAATTTGCATTTATGTGGTGTTAAAGAGCTTAAATCAGTAGTACAAAGAACAACCTGTTACAACTTAGTTTTTGAAGAAGGTCTCCCTCATGAAAGACATAACTGATCCTAAATCGTATTACCTGGATGAATATCAGCAAACTAGAAAAATAACATAGAATTCAATAAGAAAAACTAATCCATGTTTATCATGAAGGGAAATAAATACTTTAAAGTAGAAATTAAGACCTGCTTTTTTTACGGCTATTTTTGGTAATAAACATCAACTAGTGCAAATTAATGGACTTTTTTTCAATTTGAAACCCCCTCCCCCCCCAAAAAGACTTAAAAAACATTAGACTCGTCAACATTTTTTTAAATCAACAAATTCACTGCATCGGCATCCTGCCTTATGAGAGAAACAACAAAGGTTGAGCTGAAAGACCTAAAGAAATTCTCTCAAATGCTCCCTAGAGCCATAGAGCACTAATCCTCTACTGCTCTGCACACAACCATGTCTAGACGGTTAGGGTTTGGGCTCCTAAGTGGCCCCGGTCAGGGGGACGTTGTTGTGGAGTTCACATATCAACAGTTAACAGCTAAAGAATGTCAAGGAAAAGCACAACGCCTTCAGTCCCAGGAAACGCACTCCGGTCGCCGTCCTGCCTAAAACTGAGTGATCACAAACACACACCAAAGCCGCTCCAACCCAGGAATGACATGAATGTGTTTGAGGAATGTAAGCCTCCTCTCTCTCTCATTCAATCAGAATGTGGTGGATTTAGCTCTGGGATTTCAAATGTGAAAGCTCGATCGAATCGATGGAGGGCGTGTGGCCGGCTGGGAGTGATTCCTGCACATTCTGAGCACCAGTCACAGGAAACCGAGTGTCGGAGTGATTCATACACACAGCTGTACGGAAACAAAAAGAGAAAACACAGCCAGCGGTCATAGCCGGAGCGAAAGCAAATACTAGATAAAGCCTTTACCATTCACGTGGAGTTTGCTGCTAGTTGTGTCAGCTGTTTTCTGTGACTTTCCACACAGAGGAGGACACAAATACAGGAACTCAAACTTGCTCTCACCCACATCCTGTCGCTCTGGCACACAGACCAGAAGCGAAAATCAGCGAATCTGCAGGCAAAGTGGGTCAAACGGAGAGACGGCAAAAGGCTGACGGGTTAAGCTAAGACGGGGGGGGGGGGCTGCGCTCGTATCTCATTGTAACACACACACTGGGTTTTAGGAGAAGGCCGCAACGTGTCAGCCCCGGAGGCCGAACCTTCTTATCTCGGCCTGCGTTTGTACGCCGTGTACACGACGCCTGGGGGGGGGGGCACGTCAACCTGTCTGCCCGTGAATGAAGTGGGTGTGAAAAAGACAAACAGACGCTGACGCGTTGGAGTGTTTGTCGGGTGCCTGTGTCATTCCAGGTGGAGCCTCTGGCCCCTGAAATGACAAATTCTCACGTCGGTGAGCAGGAATGAGTCACCGTCAGCCATTCCTCAGTCTGCTCTGCCAGACAGGTAGAGGTGGCGGGGTGCAGGGGGCTGGCCTCTGGATAGCACAATGTCTGCTCACGCTCAGAGAAAAACAGCCACAAACGCATTCGGCTTTTTTCTTTTTGTACGTTACCGGGTCCCAGAGGTGTTCTAAGCCTTTCCCACACACACGCAAACACACATCTGGGTACCTTGATGAGAAGGATCTTTTCGTTGGTCTGCCTCTGGAAGAGCGTGGCGTCCTCAGTCTGTAGCTGGACCCTCTCCAGAGCCACGGTCAGCTTGTCCTGTTGGTCGGCAGCAGAAAAAAACGCCGTCACATGCAAAACGTCGGTAAACAAGATTATCCTTAAACGAACGGTTAATTGGATCGCCGCCCTGCTCTGAGGGACGCCATTCATGCTCTAAAGGGAATCATATGATTGACCTCACATCCTCCACACTCAGACCCATAGAAATGGGAATATCGAGGTGGTGAAACAAGCGCAAACACCCAGAGAGGAATATTCTAACCCTCCGATCGTAGTTAGTCGAGAGGTCTAAAAAGTCGTGAAGCTGGAGAGGTTCACACATGCCTGCTGCATTCCTGTAAAGCACAAAGTCACAAAACTAATAGTGGCCCGAGAGCTCTTCCTGACTTTAGATCAACACAGTTTGAACTGTGTGGCACACACACACACACCCAGCAGGAACATAATTATATGGTTGGAAAGCCTAAGTCTGGCAGCTGCTTCTTGTAAACTGCATTGTTTAAATAGGGGGAAGAAAATCAGTGATAGGAGGTGTGTGGAGGCCTCGTTCAGAGCAAAAACAGGAGGAAACCGTAGAGTCTGAGCACAGTTTCAGAGAGGAAGGTTGGGGGGGAGCAGTACCCTGTAGTTCTCAAAGGCCTCCGTGATGGGGATGACGTTGTGGGTCTTGTGGTCCCGGGACATGCCGCACACCAGGCAGATGGGGAGCTGGTCGTCCTCGCAGTACAGCTTCAGCTTCTCCTCGTGCTCCTCGCACATGTCCATCCCGAAGTGCGGCCAGTGTCCGACGGACGAGGCCACGCTGCTCATGCTGGAGCCGGGCTCGCGCTCCTCGGCCACCTCCGGGGACGCGCAGTTCTCCCAGCCCGAGGGCCCCCCCCCAGCTGCCGCCGCCTCGTCCATGGCGCGCACTCTGCGCACGCTGTCCACCACGTTGCACAGCAGCGAGTTGGGTCTGAGCCTGCGGGCGCACGACTTTCGGCACTTCGGGCAACTCGACAGCTCGTCCGCCTTGGCCTCCCAGCACTGGACGATGCACACCTGGCAGAAGTGGTGGCCGCACTCCAGGATGACCGGGTCCCGGAACAGCTCCAGGCACACCGGGCAGGTGAGCTCCGTCTGGAGCTCCTCAAGCGCGCTGGCCTCCGCCATTCTCCGCCGCGCTCATAGTCCTCAGGAGGAAGCTCCGACGGCCGAGGGGAAGATGGGAGAGACAAGAGAAAGCTCTTCCGTTCCTAGTCGCGAAAAGGAGTGGCCTGAGACTCAAGCGTTTTCGGAGAAAAAGACGGAAGACGTGCAGAAACAGGCTGAGCGCGGCTGCGCAAAGGCGCACATCCAAACGCCTGGCACGGGTTCAGCCCCGAGCACGGGAAGATTTCGCAAAGGGTGTGAGCAGCCACACGATGACACAGACACAAAAGTACAGGAAAAGGAAAGGTGATACTTTTTATTATTACAGAATCCAGTAATCACGCCTACCTGATGCCTGAGCGAGTTTGTTTTGAAATACGTCACTATTTCCTTGTGAAAAGAGCAGTGGATTGGTAAACTGGCCGTTATTTGACAGTTAAACAATAAAGACAACCCATTTTGCATTACCAAATATAATTTCTCATTAATAGGAGTAAAGACTCAAACACCTGAGCAAGACGCACAGTTGGATTTAATAAAGCTACTCAATAAAGTGAGACTTTAGTTACAGTGAGTGGCAAGAAGACTTTCTTTGTATTCTAGAAATTCAGTTAAAAGTGTGAAATTCCAAAACACGGCCTACAACAAGAAACACAGCATAAGAATGACAGGTTGGGACGAGACAAACCCATTTGATATTCACTTGAAATGTTAAAGCACGACCATTCACAGAGACCATCCCATGACACGTAACCTCAAACAGTCTGACTGGTTCTTTAAAAACAAACAAACCTCTGCATGACTCCTATGTCTTCACTAGAGGGCAATGATGTCCTTTTTGTCCTGGAGTTTCTCTGCAGACAGTAAATGCTCCTAATAACTTCTGTATCCTAAATCTCTGGGAGAAAAAAAAATCAGTACACTGTACACTGAGATGCTCTACTTAATATTTGAAATATATAAACAACCGCACACACTCACATTTACTCCTAGGGGCAATTTGTAGTGTTTAGTTAACCTAACGTTCATGTTTTTTGCTCAGTGGGAGGAAGCCGGAGTACCCAGAAGGGGAGAAAACAGACGTGGGAGAACACATTCCATTCCAGGTAGAACAGGAATGCCTCCATGTCTCCTGAAGCACGTTCACAACCGATGTACCCTATATCCCTAATAACTTGACTCTGAGGCATGTTTGTACTTTTAGAGACCCTGAAAGTTACAATTATGTCCCAAGTAGTAAATGGACAAACTACAAGGGAACACCAGCAGGTAACCTTTCTCTCGAAAGCCTAAAGGCACATAATGAGGTGCTTTATTTCCTGAGAATAATGACATGTATTGTGTCACACAGATCTATAAATAGAAGAGTTTGTTTAAAGGCACTTGGATGTTGAAGACGTTTCACCTCTCCTCTGAAAGGCTTCTGGAGATCTAAACTACAGATTTTGTGTGTTTGGAGTGTCAGCTCATAAGCAGAGATCCGCTCTCACCTGGCCAATGTAAGAGCCATTCTAACCTGTAGATCGTCTAAGTGTCTGAACGGGTGAGTTTTTTGTCACAGGGTGTGGATGGCCACCAAACCACCCAGGAATGAGGGACAGTTCTGCATCGTTAGTGCTGAAAAGATAGAATTACTCTCTCAAATCAGCCTTCTTTCCTGTCCAGAATGTGTGCATTACTGTCCTCACAAGTGTGTCATTTAACCTCAAAATGGAGTCTTGGCCTGAAGTGCTGCCTCTGTTGCTGTCTCTTTTGGAGCTTTTGTTTGGCCTCTCCTATATGAAGGTCCTCAGCAGACAGTTTAGTGTATCAGCAAATGCACTTTGTAACATTAAACTTAATCTTCAACACATTGGTTTTCCATGCATCACCTTACCGTAAAAAGACAGACATTGAGGACTTTCCTGTAGACAAACTCAGTGGAAGCAATCAGAGACTTGTGGTAAACTGGTGGTTGGGCAATACTGGAAGTACATCTTGTCTGAGAGGCAGTTTCGACGAGACAGAAAAGAACGATCACTTAGAAATCAGTGAGGCAGAAATTCAAACAAAGGAAGTGTGCGACTATGTGATTTTATCAACCCGAATGCAACCAATTGCAAGGGCTCACCTGCAGAGGCCGGAACTAACCGCACAAGATCCATTAAAAACATCCAGAGTCAAAATCAGGATTTGCATCTGGCATATTTCTGAATCACCTCTGGGTTTCTTAACCTGCCTAATAGTTCTGGTTCTTTTGTCCCTATTTGTTTGTTCAGCCATGACAATCTGGTATTACTGATAATATATGCATGACAAACACAAGGCAGGGACAGCTTGTATGACTGCAGCACTGATCACATGCTGGTCGAGTGTCAGCAGGCCGACACCAAAAGGAAAAACGCAAGACCAGAGCTAGACCAGGATGATATATAAAAAAGGAAACCAATGTCATGGTGTTTCCCTACAAGATCCAGTATTTGAAACCCGAAGGCAAACGGAGCACTTTCCCACGCTGCCGCTGGACTGCTGGTCAGCAGGGGGAAGTTAGACAGTAAATGGGTGTAATGGGGCTGTTTGAATCGTCATCCACAAGCTGTCTGTTGTCACTATATATACGAGGGGAAAACTCAGTGAAAGCCCACGCTCGGCAGAGAGGGAGAAGATCTTTGCTCCGGTAGCTTTCTTTGACACAAAATCTGTCTGTTTGGCTGCTCCAGCTGACCTGAATCTGTACCAGGATGTTTCAGAGGAGCCCTGTGCGACGCTCCACCGGAGCCCTGTTTCTCCTCGTGCCCTGGTTCAGCTGCCTGGTTGTTGGAGAGATTAGCAGTGACTTCTCCCAGTGCCTTGATTTCTTCTACGACAGAATTCCACCGGCGGGGATAGCTGGGGCAGGGTATCAGCCCATATGCCAGCGCTACAAAAACCAGTACCGCTTTGCCAGCCTGTATCACCGTCAGCATCGCACCCCTTTGTTCTCGGCCTACAAACTGAGTCCTGCCGATGGGAAACGGCCCGCTTCCACTTGGCTGTATGAACCACAGGTACGTGAAAGAGGTTTTATTGTGATTGTTTTTAGAGCAAGTAAAGCTAGCACTTGGTCGGGTTTTGTGTTGAACTAAGTGATGGAACTTAGTTATAACAAAAATATTTCAAAAGTTATTTTCATGGTATTGCTTACCTCATTAAAGCAGAAAAAACATCAAGTTAACTGCAAAATATTCTCCCAGGCAAAATATATTATATGTAATATTTCATTAATACTAATGTCTCCAAACACACACTGAAGATATTGGTTGTTTTAGCAAAAACAAAATCAGACCTATTTCCATGACAAACAATGGTTTGATGGACAGCCTCTCTGCTTTATTTTAGGGTATCATAACTACTTCACATTAAAATTAAAATGCAAATATTAATTAAAGGTTTCAGATGTGTTTGGACATTAATTCCTAAAAGACTAATTAACTAAAGCTAAAAATCGGCCATTTTTCCACATTCGTAACACAGTTGCAGTTTGAATGTGTTTTGACACTCAGCTCAGAAAGTGATGACTGTTGGACTCATTTTCAAGCATATAAGGAAGTCTTACACATAAACAGTTGCTACTGAAACAGAACACGGCTGTTTAACCCTCCTCTGATCCATCCAATCGCTTTTTTCTTTTAGCTGGCATTTTCCCGTGCGGGCCCAGAAATGACAGCGTTCCAAACACCTGTTGACCAGAATGTGATCGAAAGCCAGGCGGTTCTTCAGGACTACAAAAACTCCAGCTTCACCAAAGGCCATCTCAACCCCAGTATGCACCAGAGGACGATAGAAGACCGAGAGGCCACCTTCACGCTGACAAACGTCGTCCCTCAGAAGGCCGGCTCCAACTCTGGCCCCTGGAGCCGCCTGGAGAGCCAGGTGCTCGGACGGTTTAAGGCCTTCTGTAATGGCTCCATGCATGTGATCACAGGGGTCCTACCCTACAGGTCCGGGCCGCGCTGGATCAATGGCAGGGTGTCGGTTCCTGAGTACATGTGGTCCGCGTACTGCTGCCCGTCTTTCAGGTCGGACCTCCCGGGGTCCATGCAGCAGTTCTTCCCCACGTTTGCTGCAGTGGGGAGGAATGACCGCGACAGTGGGGAGGAGATTGTGCCGGTCAACGTGAAGGCGAAGGCCGCCGTACGGGGGTACGACGTGAGGCGGATGCCTCTGGAGACCTTGGAGGGCATCCTGGTGGAGAGGCTGGCTCTGTCCATCCGTTTGTTCAGTGGAAACTGTGAAAATTGACAGAAAAGTGAGCCAGAACCTACTGATGTTCTGATTACTAAAGCACATCATTATCCTTTACATGACTCCTTAAAGATGATTTGAAATAATTTATTTTGATTTTTAAATGTACACTCGTTCACTCTGAATATTACGTTGAAGCAAGTTATAATTATTTTCGATTCCGGGACAAACCTAAGCAAACTAAAACATAACAGCAGACTTCACAGTGCAAATACAAATGTTTGGAAAGAATTATTTCTATTCCAAGCGTAGAAATGAACAACTTACAATTGCAACCCTATATCTGATCAGTAACAATTCCAAATAATGTCAGCTGATTCTGCAATACTTTTTTGGAGGGTAATCTCTCCCTTGTTTCCTTTAAAGAACGTGTATTTTAAAAATGAATAGTACGTTTTTCACCTTGATTTTTCTAATAAATCGTACTGTGTAAAGTACTTGTGATTTCTGAGGAAAAAATATGAACACACCTCGCACAATGAATTGCTTCTAATCTTTGTTGTATGACGTTTTCACCTAATAAAGAAACATGAGTCAGTTAGTGGGTAGCATTTCTCTTTTTGTGCACCAGGAAAAGTGCTTCAGTGTGCTGCCACAGGTTTTTCTTAAAACCAAAATGCTTACTATCATCACTTACCACTTTAAAAGAAAGATAAGATTGATGGACCCATAACTGCATTTTTAAAATTTAAAACAGCTCCACAACCAAAACTTCTTGTCTCCAGAGCATTAGCTCATTGTGCAAAAAAAAAGTCACTTGTCAGACTCCTGATTTCCACTGCGAGCAGAATGTGAGCGAAGAAATCCTTCAACTCGCGGCAAAGGCTGAGAGGGACAGAATAAAAGAGACATCCGACCAGATATTGCCCCCTAATGACATGCCCAATTTATAGAATAGACCACTTTTCATGCAAAATTTAAAGGATCGTCTTATTATTTTGTTATTCACAATAAATAAGAACTAGGATTTTCCACCTGCTTTTTGTCCATTAAAACAGGAGGAACACATCATGAGATCCACACGCAAGCTATCCAATTCCTGGGGCTGACACACACCTCTGCTACACAACAGAGTCCCAGGTAAAGGCTCAGTGTAACCTGCCTTTCAGTTTCAGTGATGAATAACATCTGGGCATAACATGTCGTTTTACAATAAAACCAGCACTGAAATGTACGAAGACCCGACATGTTTATTTCTGTAACAGAGTGACCAAAAACACAAACATACAAAACACAAACAGAACATACAAATCTTGTCAAATATAGTCAGAAGAAGGCCGTCTGTTTCAACATGAGTAAATTATTGCTAAAAATTAGTAAAATGAATTGTAACTTGATCATAAATAGGCTTAGATACAGCAAGACATGGCTGCCGACATCCCCACTGTACAGAAGCATTTACAGCTGACGTCTCGTCAACTAACTTTCTCGTTCTGTGCTTTTTCTCTTAAATCATGACGATAATCACGGAGAATAACAGTCTACCAGTCACATTCGCCGGCTGGGCTCTGTCAGGGGCTTTAGGCGGGGGCTCTAAAAACACTGGTGGTTCTTCAGCTGCTCCACGTCGCTGAAGCCCCGCCCACAGCTGGAGCACTGGAGCGCCGCCTTCTCGCTGCTGTGGATCAGCTGGTGTCTCTTGAGGTACTCCACCCGGCTGAAGCGCTTCCCGCACGCCTCGCAGCCGTACGGCCGCTCGCCCGTGTGGATCCTCTGGTGGCGCTCCAGGTTGCCCAGGCGGCTGAAGCTGCGGCCGCACTGCGGGCAGCGGTGCGGGCGCTCGCCCGTGTGCACCAGGTGGTGGCGCTCCAGGGAGCGGGAGTGCGTGAAGCGCTTGCCGCAGATCTCGCAGCAGTGCGGCCGCTCGGCGGCGCAGGCGCACTCGTGGTTCTTCAGGGCCCAGGTGTGGCTGAAGGTGTTGCCGCAGTGGGCGCAGGGGAACAGGCCGGCCTCGCCGCCACTGCCCGGGAGGTGGGCGCCGCCCAGCGGGCAGGGGTGCTCCTCCAGCTCGGCCTCGGAGGGGAAGCCTCCGCCGCACTGGGGGCAGAAGTGGAGCAGGTCCCCGCCGCTCTCCTCCTCCCCCACGCTCTCCCCCACGCTCCCCGGGGCCGACAGCTGGTGCAGCTGCTCCGACTCCGACTGCTCGCCGCCGTCCTCGCCGTCCTCCGCCGCCGAGTCCACGTCCCGCTGCTTTTTGGACCAGGCCGCCCTCAGCTCCGCCTCGCCGCCCCCTCCGGCCCTGACCTCCTCCTTCACCCGGCCCGGCGTGGCCGGGTCCTCCCTCTGCAGAGTGGGCGGCTGAGGCTCCAGCTCTCCCTCCTGCTCCATTCCGTCCAGGCCGATGTACTTGGGGAGGGGGGGGCCCTCGCTCCCCCGCACCGCCTCCGGGAGGCACTGTGAGGCCGTCATGGTGGCCTGCTCCCGGCCTCTCTCGGCCCGCAGGGCAGACTCCAGGCCCCGCAGCTCATCCATGGTCATACCGCCATCTGCTGGTTCTGAAGACGCCATCTCCCAGCTCTCCTCCTCTCTCTGTCTGGGATGAAGAGGCGGGGAACGGTCGGACAGGTCGGCTGCACCCACAAAGAGGGAGGATGGGAGGGTTTGTGTTATCAGTCATTTCTGATTAATCTGACTTCTGTCACTAACTTGACCTTCTTCAGGCAGTGAGTCCTGGTCTCATTACCTTCGGACTGAGATCTGGAGGCGGCGTGGAGGTTGTGCTTGGGCGTATCCATCTTCAGAGCCTCCTTGATGAGCTGCAGAGAGGCCGGCTGATAGCCCTCCGTCTGAGCAAACTGCACAGAGAAGCACAGACAGTCAGAGAGCACACAGCCGGGTCCAGGAGGGAGGACACACACCTATCAATGCATCTGTTATGGCAGGAGCACAGCACAGGCCCACGGCCAACAACAAATCTGAGCCTATATGCTCAGTTATTGTCTAAATGTGTTATGTATGCAAAGAGGGATACAGTAAAAACTTTGGTTAGCTCCTCTGAGCACAGAGTATTTTCATGGTGCAGTCCGTCATTAAGAAGCAGCTGTTAGCGGGGATGGAGGGCGGTGAGAGTTTGAGAGAGCTGATCGTAAGCCTGAATGAAACTTGTAACATGTACTGCTAACATACAAGTTACAAATGACAAATGAGTTTTTAAATCAACATTGTTGGGAGCCTGACTCTTTTTGCAGAGTTCTGTGGAGTGAACTGGAACTAAAACTAAAACTTTTTCGGCAGGAAATTTGTGCAAATGCTCTCTTCTCCAACTTTTGGTGGTTTATAAATCATGTTCAAGGAAATAGTATAATGCAGACCAATTTACCCTAAAATAAAGTTAGAAATATACTTAAGTATGGTACTATGTTACATCTACAGGACACAGTGTTAACTATATAAACTTTTAACTCCATTTATCTAATCAAAGCCACTCTATAAACCAACTTTAAGACTTTGAAGATGCCATATAAGACTATTTAAGTACACATCAGAGGAGTCGTGTGGATCTCTGTCATGTGCTGAAGGGGCAAAAGGCTCTTCACCTCCAGAAGAAGTGTTTCCATTTTTAAAAAGCTAACTCAGAGGCCAAGATCTGCATTTTAACAGCTCCTCAGAAGTCGAGCGTTCCCCTCATTCTCTCCACGTCTGCAGTGATTTGGTGGCTGAGGAGCACAAGCCAAACTCTGTCTCGCGCCATTTGACTATGTTCCCTCTAAGCCGATATGTTGCTGCTGTGCCACTTTCTCCTCCTACTCCTCCTCTGAGAAAGCCTGTCTCCCTCACCTCCTCTTTGATGTGTGTCGTCTCCTCCCCCTCAGCGCTGAGGCTGCCCTCCCCTTCCTCGTCCTCCACCATCTCTTCTCTTCCATCCTCTTCATCTCGGGGGAGCTGCATGAGGTATATCTCTCTCGCCTCCTTCCCCCCTCTTCCTCCCGCTCCTGCTACCAAGTCCAGAGCTCCTCCACTTCCTCTTCCCCCGCCACCTCCTCCTCTTTCCTCCCACACACCTTCAGGCCAGCCTTTACCATAGGCAACCGCGGGGCCCTTTTTAAACCTGCCTCCTGCAGAGAAAGGAGGATGGGCGGATGGAGGAAAGGTGCAGGGCGGAAGGAGAGAGCAGATGAAATATAAGGGGTAGAGATAAGTGGGAGGAGATGATTGGAAGACAAGAAGTGAAGGATGAAGGAGAGAAGTGGGTGGAGAGACGCGACATGAGGAGGAGGAAGATGGGGGATTGGAGAGGCAGATGGGAACAGGAGTAGGATAGAGGTTGGAGAGGAGAGAAATAAGCAAGCGGAGGAGGCGTGAGCGTGATGAACGAGTAAGGAGAGGGGGCGTAGAGGGACAGGCGAGGGAGCAGGGGAGAGAGAAAAACGTAAGAAGAGAGGAAGAAGCAGAGTTGGAGGGGAAAAGGAGGACGAGGAGACGGGGGTTGGATGAAGAGGTCGGAGGGACAGAGAGGAGAGAAGAGGAAGAGAAGCGGGAGTGTGTAATTATGGAGAGTGGCGAGGAAAGGAGGCGGGAGAGTGTGTGTGTGCAGCGTGATGAAGGAGAGAGCAGAGCAGGAGGAGGTGGGGGCAGGGAGAAGAGAAAAGTAGGAGAGGAGCGGGAAGGGGAGGGAGGGAGGCAGAAGGAGGTGGGGGGAGGGAAAGGAGCAGAGAGGGGAGGGAGGGAGCAGTGCACAGAGGAGTGGGAGGGACAGAAAGCAGAAGGGAGAGAGGAGAGGGGGAGGTGAAAGACAGAGGGAGCAATCATGAGGAGGAGGCGGAGGAGGAAGAGGAGGAGGAGGAGGAGGAGGGAGGGAGGGAGGGAGGGAGAGATCAGCTCTTGCCAGATGGTTTCCAACAAAACAAGCGTCTTCACATGAGCTAAGTGCGGAGCAGGGCCCGTTTTCCCCCTCACTAAACCCTCCATTCAGGCATTTGGATGTGTTGATATGTGATATGGCTGCTGTGGGGAGGCTAGACCTGAACAATAAGCGGTGGGATACTTACTGGCCGCGTCAACTTTTCTCTTGGGCCGGCCCCCCGCCTCCCCTGCCTCCGCCAGCCCCGCGCTGCGGCGGTTGGACGCCCAGCCCAGCCCGTACTTGCGCTCGGTCCGCAGCTTGCCCTCGGTGAGCTTCAGCCGCAGCTTGAGAGCGTCGTTCTCCTTCCTGTTCAGGGACAGCTCGACCAAGTAGTCGTTCACCGTCTCCTGGAAGAGTTTGGTGATCTCGCAGACCGAGGCGCGGATCAGGCTGTCCATGACGGCCGTCAGATGCGTCTCAAAGGCGGTCACTGACTCCTCCATGACCCTGCTCTAAGACCCGGACAGCTGTTGGCCGGATGGAACAATTAGCTTTAAACAGCAGGGAGGGTCGCCATGGCCGTATTTGACAGTTTTTTCAACAGGAACCCCAAAAGTTTAAGTTTCAAAATGAATCACATCTCCCAAGTGCCCGTTACTGCCCCCGTTAGCTTGCCGCTACTAACAACACTGGCACTTTAATGTGGCAATCTCTGGTTATTTAACCGCTGTTACTGTGTAATTAGTCTTTGATTTGAAATAAAACGACACAGCCACAAAAATGCAATTTCACGAATGTCAAAAAGATACACCAATTCGGGTGAGCTTGTCGTAAACAGAGCTACAGCAATAACGTTTAAGTAAAAGGGGGTAGCAGCCTCTAGAACGCTGGAAAGTGCTAGCAGCCAGGCTAGTTCAGCTTTGCACACGCACCTTTTCACAATGTAATCCAGAGGAGTAAGTTACCAGACGAATACGCACGCAGAAGAGATTATTTCGCGAATTATGGAGGACCTTGGCTTTCTAGAAGCACATCGAAACAATGGGGCGCCGTCTCCAACTTGTGTCCTCTTTTTCCTGCCTCCTGCTGCCACTGTTTCCTTGTCGCCTCCAGAGCTGCTTATGATGCTTGACCACACTGCGCATGCCCAGTACCGTAATGACCCTACTACGAAGAGAAGCCGCACCCGAAAAACATGTATTCCTGAATTGACCAGATTCAAAGCAAATAGATAAGCATACTTAAACAGATGTCACAATTCAGCATGGGCATTGGAGGTGGATAGTATGAATAGTTATAGGAGTGTTGACACCCCAGATTTCTAAGGGAATAATTCTGATTTCTATAAGTTGAAAGAAAAACTAAATCAGTATGTTATAGAGTAGAACATAGTAGTGTTTGAACTGATCAAGTAGGACGTCCTGAGGGCTTAAAGGTGTTTTTACATGTAATCTTAATGTAGGTGTTGCTGACATTAAATCAAGTTTAAATTTCACTGTGAACAGTCAGCGAAAAAAAAACAAACGAATTTGGCATTTGATCTATTTCAGTTGATTCAATGCAGATATGGAAGAGAAACTAAGTAATACGTCTGCACTTGAGATCTGCATGATGAACGGGTTTCTAGCCATCTCTCTGTATGTTCAGACAGTCCCACGTCGATTTTTTTTAGTTAGTCCTGCAAGGCCGAGGCTCCAAAGAAAATGAATTTGTTGGAAATGTGATTGAAATGTGGCTGAGGGCAGGCGTCATCACTCATCCTAAATCTCGACACCATCGGTCGATGCCAAAATTGGGTCAAAGGAATCCACCGATCTTAGCCACGCCCCTACCAGCCACTGTTCACTGTGTGGAGTTATCATAAAAAATCAACCCGATAAAACATAAACCAACCACCTTGAGTAAGAATCGTGGGGAACGCGATGAATGTGTGTCAAAATGAGACCAACAAAAACTGAATAAGATGAAGTATACCGCATCTTCCTGCGGGGGGCGCTGTGCTCACTTTGGTATGTTGTTTCAAACCCCACAAACGAGGAAGACTGCGCCTTGGTCTTCCGCTTTTGAGCTAAAAAGACGCAAACGCCTCTTGAGAGCTGCAGAGAAGAAGATTTGCCATCATGCCGATGTTTGTAGTGAACACCAACGTGGCTAAAAGCGACGTCCCGGCTGCGCTGCTGTCCGAAGCCACGGACGAGCTGGCCAAAGCCATGCAGAAACCTTCTCAGGTGAGCCCAGTTCCTGCAGCACGTCTGCTCACATGACCCATAAAGTCTGACATCCATCCGAGAAACTCTCGTGGTTCATCAGTTTATCAGCATGCTTGCATCAGCATGACGCATGATTAGTCTGAAAGTTCATCTGCGTTTCTACCACGTGGTCGTGATAGTTTGCACAGTCATGCTGGTAAATGATTGATATGATATGGATTCCGTTTAGTTAAGACGAATCATGACTAAAATCTCCTTTAGCAATGTTTCAGACCTCCTGCCAGTCAAGGTTGTCTCAATCTCTGTGCTTCTGTCTTTAATTGTATTTTTTTATCTGTTAGTACATCGCTGTCCACATCAACCCTGACCAGATGATGATGTTTGGGGGGAAAGGGGACCCCTGCGCACTCTGCTCCCTTCACAGCATTGGCAAGATTGGTGGCACTCAGAACAAGCAGTACTCCAAACTCCTGTGTGGGCTGCTCAACAAACACCTGGGCATCTCTCCTGACAGGTGGGAAAGCTACACATCAGCCAGCCAATATTCGCTCTGTTGCGATTATTTCACGTGGCATAACTCACTCATGGCTTTCATGTGTGTCCTTTTCAGGATTTACATTAACTTTGTGGATATGGACGCAGCCAATGTGGCCTGGAACAGCACTACATTTGGCTGAGATGGAGGTGAACAGTCTAAAATAGATCATTCCAGTATTTCCCCCTATGTGTTCTAGCTTATTCAAAGCTAAAGAAATTAAGAGCGAAGACGCTTGTAATTTGGACAAAATACTGTATGGCTATCTCTAAAGCACTTGAACCTTTATGGCTTTGCACTCTAATGTCCAGATTTAAATGCAATAAATAAAACCCTGTAGACCATGAATGAATTTCTGTTTTTTAATTTTTTGTTTTTGGTAGTCTCATCTTGCAAAGAGTCAGTGTATAGTACAGGTAGGTTAATCACCCTTGCAACAAACTGTACAAACAAATATACAGCGTTTATGTGGATTGGATGGTGTGTAAATAGCTATTCGCTGTTAACGTCACTGCAAAATCTGTGTTGCATTTGTGTGACTTGGTTTTATGTTGCTATTGAATATTCTCTGAATCACTTGGTTTCACTCTGAAAATGAACAAAGAGCTATATTGTGTAGATCCCGAAGCCAAATATTATCAAATTGTGATGACTTGGCCTAGATGGCATGTCAGTAATTTAATATGAAATCAAAACATTGCCCTCATGATTGTTGGACCAGTGGGTGCTGTTAGAAACCCATTAATTTGTACAGAGGTGCCTGGGGAAGTGGGTATACTCTGAATTTGTTTTCTTTTTTTCTTATCATTGGGGAGAAACACACTGATGTGAAAGGCTATTTTTCAAATTTAAATAACAAAAAATGGTCCTGGTTGTATTTACATACTGTCACCAAACTAACCTTAACCTCAAGATGTTTGTCAAGCCAAATCTGATTTGATCAATTAGGAGATACTTCTCACTCGCCTTTATAAATAGGGGTTTCTGGCGTTGTACTAAAAATTTATAAATAACAAAGAATAGTACCCCATCATGCTGCGTTGAATAGATGTTGTAAATGTTTTATTTCCAGCTTCTACAACCATAAAGTTAAAAAAGAGGAAATGATTACAGCCTCTCTCTTTGTAATGTGGGTTTGATTTCAAAAGATGCTCTCCATTATAACATTCACCAAAATGAGCATGTAATGTAAAGGCGTATGCATTTCTTTTCCTTCAGAGAAGTAAAGACACACAGTTTGGTCTGCACTGACTTGTGAAAGATACTTGCCTGTTTTTCTGAGACAGTGCAAAAGCTATGCACCACCCTCCGCTCCATATTGAACATTCGAGCAAACTCTAGTTGAGCCGAGCGTAGTTGCCTAACAACGTAACAACAAATCACAGCACGGCATCGGTCCTCCATGTCCGCTGCAGACGTCATTGTTATGCGCGGCGGGAGAAGAAAGTACTGCAGTTTTCTTCCCTCTGTTACCTGTCTTTTACTGTTCAGTTGAATGGGTATATCTTGTTTTCTGAATTAGAAAATATGTCAGCAGGAATGTGTTGTCTGCTTTAAAGTGGTGCAGACTTATCACGATGTTATCAGTAGATTGTATCATGTTGGTTGCTTTGGTAACCGTAATGCTGGCTGAGTGCCAAACACATCCGGAGGTGGATTTGTTTTGTCTGTAAAGACATGTCTGTCGAGTCCCCCTTTATCGTAATAGTTTGTACACTTTGTTTTAGCCTGGGAATATTAATCGATGTCAATTATTGCGTGTATGTTGCTCAAAAAGTGGTGAATTGCTGGTCGAATAAAGATGACGCAATAGGACCCGCCTTTTGGGGTGCTTGAAAAAGAATGGCGGATGTGTGTGTAGAATGTTGAATAATTTGAAAAGAACAGCAGCAGGAATTAGCCATTAATAGCTATAAATTCACGTGTTCAAGACAGGACATAGGGGTTCTACTTCTTCCGAAAGGTGAGTATTTCGTTATACGCGATAATTTGTCATCTGGCCCGCGTGTGTAAAATCTTTTTAATCTCAATGTCGCTTCACACGTAGGCTTATAAATTGTGCCATATAAGGAAAAACCTTTTTTTTTGCGGGAACGCCTAAAAAAGAAGAGTTTCCACATATTTACTCAATTTAATTGGTACACGTTCTATTAAGTGAGGGGTCTTTCAGTTTGTCATTATGAGAATCTTTAAAGTGCCCAACTTTCATGATTAAAACTTTAAACTACAGAGAAGCAGCTTTGGTATTACAATACGTGTTGCTTGAACCAAGACTGTAAAGTTCTATACTGTGAGAACTGCTGCATTTCTTTTGAGGCATAGGAGAAGCAGTTTAGTGTCAAAATTAGCCTTAGAAACAATTACTTTTACATTTCCATTGATGTTCTGTACTTACTGTAATGGAGAAGTTTAGAGGAGGATCATTGTAATCAAACCCAGGAAGACCCACACCTCTGATGTTTCCTGGAAGCTGTATTGTGAAAGACTTCGTGGGATAAAAAGTTGTGGTTTGAACAGTTAGTTCTTTCAACCACCAGGTGAACAAGGGGGGATTGGTAGATTTCTGTCAAATTATACAAATTCTGGACACAATTATCTACTACTACTAAAAAGTAAGTGTTACCTGTTCATAGCTGAAGTAAATAAAATCTTGCCTCTACCTTGTCTCTTTCTGGTTAGGGGAAACATACAGCCACATAAGAAAGTCCATCACTGTGGTCCTCTGTAAACTGTCTTCAGTTATCTTACATGATGTCTGACCAAGTGATAAGGCGGCTCCGGGTCAACCTCATCACAACGATGGACAGAGTTCTAAATAGAGCCGTGCTTGAACTCATGAAGGTATTTGAAAACAGCCTATACGATCATCAGATGGAGATGGCTCAGAAGGAACAGGATATAGCTCGTCTTAAATTAAAGCTTCAGCTATCCGAGCAAAAGCTGAAAGAACTGGACTCTAGAGATCCCAGAGGCGTGGAGACAAACCAAGCTCCGACTGAGCCTACAGCCAGTCCGGACGCACCGGAGGACGCACCGGGGGACGCACCGGGGGACGCACCGGAGGATGCACCGGAGGATGCACCGGAGGATGCACCGGGGGACGCACCGGAGGATGCACCAGGGGACGCACCGGAGGATGCACCGGAGGATGCACCAGGGGACGCACCAGAGGACGTACCTGAGCACGCCCCGGAAGTTTCTCAGCCCGATCATGGTACGTTAAGAAGTGTTGTTTATGGCAACTCGGGGAGAAGTGCTGCTTTCTGGGCCTGCACGTTTACTTGCTATGCGTCTGTGTGTTGGTCTGAACAGAGCCCGATGACTGGTGTGCTCCACTGGGATGTGAACTGCTGTCCAAGGAGGATGAGGGCGTGTGCCCCAGTGTAAGACTGCGAGCGTTTTCCATTTCTCTGAGGCAGATTCCAGTCGTTAAGCACAAGGTGTGTAGCTGAAGCTTATCCTGCTGGTGGTGGTGCATTATAACACAGTTATAGATGTTACAAACATGTTTCCATATTTAATTATTTGAATGATTCTTGTCTTGTTGCCTGGACTGTTAGTTGTTGTTTTTTTTTAATGCCAACAAGAACAAAACATTTCAGACAGACGCGCTGCTCTGTAATGGTCTGCTTGAGATGCAGGTAAGTATGAGCGTCACCATGGCCACCGGATGCTCCACAACCAAACGGTTGCAGAGCAGCTACTGTTCTCTTTCCACTGCTTATAGATTTTTCTGCACCACATAAGGAACATTCCCTCAAAGAAGTGAGGGAATGAAATACCTTGAATACCCTCTTTGCAGTGATTATTCCGTTATTGGATCCTCATAAAAGCTCTGAACATACAGTTTGGCGTTAGTTGCTGCTAATACAGGCACACTCTGGATGGGTAAAACTTTGAACAGTTTTTAAGCTCAAACATTTGCATTTCAGGCAAACATTTCTGACAATGACCTCCAGGGACACAGCCACGGCAGAAAATCCAGGAGAAGTGAGTTTCCCTCAAAAGTGTTTTATTATTTTGTGTCCTTAAAATAAGGGTTGTTTCCATACTTTGTCTACATGGCATTGCTGTAGTTTCTAATCCAGGCGTTGAATTCAGGGTGTTCCATAATTCAAAACTGGACGCCTGTTCTGTTTGGAGTATGTAGGAGCAGGAGGGTTTTTCACGTTTTTTTGGGGGGGAACATTCCTACAGCAACTGACCAATAGGGATGCAGGATCTGTAGAGTGGCTTTGCATGTGGTTCAGGAGTGACCTTGAAAAAGTCCATGGCGTTATATCTTCACTCTGTGTATTACCTTATTTGTAACTAGAAAAATGTAAACAACACAGGTTAGAACTGCAAGTTTTAGTCTTCCTGTCACCCCCACCTAATGGTGTGCTTCATGTTCTTTTTACAGTTTCTGCTTCAAATTACAAGTCCAAACGGATCCAGATCAGAAAGCTGCCAGTCTCTGTTCAAGAAAATCAACGTCAGCCAATAATGAACGACATGAAAAGATCTCTGACTGAATTCTCTGAGCATGACAGTTTGGAAGGCTTAAGGAAAAAGAAAAAAAGGAGAAAGACAGAGTTATCAGAAAAAGGGCCAAAAGATAGAGTAAATAAAGGAAGACGTACAGCAGATGGCAGCAAGTCTTCTGGATTAAAGAGCACGGACAAAGAATACCCCTGTGTGGTTTGCAAAAAAAAGTTTGATTCAGAATTCGGAAGAAAGGAACATGAACTTCTCCACAAAACATGCCAAGGATGCAAAGTGGTCTTCCGTTTTCGACGTCTTCTCAGGTTGCATAAACCGTCTTGTGAAAGATTCTTGAAAGAAGCCCCAAATCTTCCCCAATCCTCCCAAGATGAAGAATGTTGACCCTCAGACACACATTCTATTGTTGTAAGTTTGATTAGTGCGCAAAGCTCACAAGTCATTGTTATTTTCTGCCTTTGCCTGATAAAGTGCCACAACATGCATGTTATAAAAAACAAAACATGAATCCACAAATGGAGACCTTGGATGGACCAATAGGGGTGTCCAACTCCAGTCTTTGAGGTTTCAGATGTTTTCTTGCTTTAATTCATATCACTGTGTTATTAGCAGGTTTGAATAGATTCAGTTAATCGGAATCGGGTGGATTGAAACAGGGAAACTTCTGAACCGGCACAACAGGGCCCCCCTAAGGACAGGAGTTGGGCACAACGTCCTTAGCATTTAAGAATATTTTCCGGATGACTACGACTTCTACCACCTAAAACGCAGGTGGACACTAAAAATAAAAATTGGGCAAACCATATTTAGATTTAAGATGTTAGATGTTGGGTATATGATGCTGTAATAGATTCAGCTTCTGCTTCTATGGAGAAGAGAGGCTCATTATATGCGAGATGCCCTGCAAGGTTTAGCTCATGTACCAGCAATATTTATTCTGAAAATCAGTCGTAAACTTAAACACCACCCTCAAGAAAACCTCAGGTTTGGTTTCTGTACATATTTATTTGCTGTTAGTTCTGTTCCAGGTTATATGCACATTTTTAAGAATCAGAAATTGACTGTTGATGCATTTGGTTTTGAAGTTAAATGTTTGCTGATTTTAATCTATTTTGATATATCCAGACTCTCTTGTATCCCGAGAATGTTTGATACGACATTGATCCCGTATACGTGATCTGCCTACCTCTGCTCATTTAACCTTCTTTTTATGAATGCATTACATTGTCTTTATAAAAATAAAAATTTTCATGGTCTTGCATATATCTGAATTTTTACATGGTATAATCTTTTAACATTTATTTAGACATTATTTATGTTTAATACCTGTCACACTATCATCAGCATCTCATGTGACTTTAGCCACAATATCGCGAGACTTGCTAACAGCACAGCATCACAGGTACAACCAGCTAGCTAAGCGATGAGTGGCTATGTATTTTAAAATAAGCCAGTTTCGTTGAGCTAACTGGTGGAAAAAACTTGGCCAGCAAAAGCCGGCATATCAGCCAACGACTATTGTGGCTTTTTTCTCTGTCTCTTGCGTAAAGATATAAACGTCAATGCTAGCCATGGGAACCTAGTACAGATTGGACTTCGTCGGCTCCAGTGTTTACCTTTTGGGATGAGGTAACGTTAGCTAGGACTGCGATACAGCAGAGTAGTGATAGCGTTACATGTTAACGGGTTTAACATAGCAGACAATGAATCGTTTCTGTTCTGTTCAAGCCATCTGACTGTTAGACAGCGTTGTTTCCCAACGCTGCTTGAATTAGCCTAGTTGAGAAAGATAGCATAAAACAGGTCTTAATATCAGTACTTAAGAGAGAGGTGGACCACAGCACAGGTCGGTCTGGCGAGTTCTAACCTTCGGGTGTTAAAAAGAGAGCCTGTTTTTGCTGAAAAGGGCGTAAATCAGCGTGGTATGGCGTCACCCCATGGCAGAATTTAGATGTCAGGGCAGAAGAGTCCATCTGCTGTCTGTTGAAACCAGCTATCAGAGATAACGCCGGTGACAGTCAATCTCAGATATCCAAACGGTATCATTTATCACAAACGAATATGGAGTCTGTAAGGAATGCTTTCCACGCTCAGCTGGCCACCGTCATGGACTCGCTGCTGGCAGCAGCCGTCTGCGAGATCGCAAAGATATTCGAGAGCAGCCTGTGCGAGCAGCAGGCGGAGCTGGCGCAGAAAACAGAGGAGATCTCCATCCTCAAGAGCAAGCTGGAGAAAGTTGAGAGGAGACCCAAAGCCAAGGCCCGAGGAGGCGAGGAAGGAGAGATGTCATCGGGAGACAGAGAAGGCAGCATCAGGCCACAGACCCAACCAGCATCAGGAGCATCCGCAGGCAGGTGTTTCTAAAGTCAACTCAGTCGTATTAGAAATTCCACTTGAAGAAAGTCCATCAGTCTAATAAATACATAGCAAAAAGACAGGGCCACACAGAGATAAACAACCACACACGCTCACGTCCACGCTTAGTGCCAATTTGGAGTGTTCAGTTAACCTGACCTGTATGTTTTGGGTGGTGGGAGGAAGCAAGAGTACCCAGTGGGAACCCATACAGACACAAGCAGAACATAAACTCCACACAGAAAGGCCCCCAGGCCTGGGGAACCCTCTCACTGTGAGGTGTCAGTGCTAATCACCTCACCAACAATTATGTGACACTTTATGGAGACTCTATAGAAAGGAACAAAAACATTTCAGGGCTCTAGAAAACAGTTCACAAAAAACTGTAAGTGTGACACTGCTTTTTCCCCTTAGATATCAGGAGCCAAAATGTTGAAACTGTCAGCACTTTGATGGATACTAACGCAGCACCAGGGACTGCTTTGATGCTTATAGGTAACTCTTTTCCTGTAGACTCAGTGGAAGGACTCACCCAGAGCCTCAGCAAGCTGAAAGAGGAGGTTATGAGTCAGGACGGAGCTTCTATCAAACATGAGGTCAGATCCTGTCTTGCCTCTTCATGGGAGATGGAATGTAACTTTGCTGCTGTTTTAAATCTTACTGTGTTGTTTTACCTGTTCCTAACAGCACCAGTCTACGCTGGAGTCGGTCTCTGACCAAGAGGGAAGCTTCTCAGCTGGGGACCAGAGGCCGATTGATAGCATGTCTGTTACACAAGCAAAACCCAAAAGTAAGCTTTTTCACGGATGAAGAAAATAATTAGAGTCTGTGTAATTGTAGGTAATGAGATAAAAGTGTTTGAATATTTGTTTGCTTCTCAATCTCTCACCAGTATCTACCTGGGATCAGAGCAGCCGCAGTGCAGACTCCCAGGACCAAGCCTCTTCCCCTTTTCTATCCATCTCCCAAAGTGGACGGTGCTCTCCCAGACCAGATCCCAGCCTTATTCAGCCGGGAGAGTGGCTCCCGGGCCTGGACACCGCCCGCGCTGGGATGTCGGGTTTGGAGAACCTGCAGGCGGACGGCAGCGGCTGCTCGGCTCCTTCTGGCAGCGGCGCTGAGGCAGAGCCGCCCTGCTTCCGACCCGGTTTCGGATCGGACGAGACCAGCAACGAAGGCGACGACACCTCTTTCCCTTTCTTGGACCAGGAGCCCGAGAATCAGAACTCCAACCAGAACTCTGTGCCGGCTCTGAGCGTGGGTCAGAGGGGGGGTCAGCAGGGTCCTCCTCAGGACCCTCCCGGTGACTTGCCATGGCGGAGCAGAGGCCTGAGAGGCCCCAGCAGTCACACACAGCGGGTGGCCAACAGAAACCCTCTGAGGCCGCAGCCAAACTCGCATCTGCTCACCCCGCGGCACACCAACAGTCTGGGCCCCCCTTCGGCGCAGGGCGGGGGGGGTGGGCGGCCCTACACCTGTCCGTACTGCACAAAGAGCTTCACCTACCCCTCCCACCAGCGCAGGCACCTCTTACGCCACACAGGCGTCAGACTGCACCCCTGCCAGTTCTGCGACAAAAGCTTCCTCACCCCGTCCGAGCTCACCGTGCACACGCGCACGCACACGGGGGAGCGGCCCTTCGGCTGCGCGCAGTGCGGCAAGCGCTTCGCCCGCAGCGGCAACCTGAGAGCCCACCAGCGGGACGTTCACATGGGCAAGAGGCCCTACGCTTGCTCTGAGTGTGGAAAGAGATTCGCCCACAGGGGGAACCTGAGGGTGCACAATCACAGAGTCCATCAGGGGGATCCGTACTTCATGGATAACCAGCCTGAGCCCGATATGAACCACAATCCCATTTAAGGAGGCTTCGGTTTCGTTCGGAAAATGAAACCCGCCAACTGAACCCATTACTCAGCACTTTAAACACTCCAGAAGTATTTAAAGCTTTGCTTTGATCTGTTTGTGATTTCGAAATATGATCCAGAGTTTCTCCATTTTATTTTTTATAGTTGTTTTGACTCATTATGTATATATGGATTATAAATCAGTCTAAAATATAGATTTGTATTCCAGTGTGATGTGAAATGGTCACGGCTATAGTTATGTGTGAGTAATGCACAAGTTTGTTGTGAAAAAAGTGATGACTTTATTTTCCTGTGATCTCTCCTGAAGTGAATGTCCCCGAGCTCATTCAAATTACTTGAAGTGACATAAGCACAAGGTTTTTGTGTGTGTTGTTTATTGTTGGTATTAGAGTTAGATTCACTGTGTTCTTGAATGGGACGTGCTTTATGGTAGCAGCTACATGACACTGGTTTTTGCTCAGTGAAATAAAAGAGTTTAGTTGATCCCTGAATCGTTACAGCGTGTGAGCGCTGTGTAGTTCTTCACCAAACACCAGGGGGCAGCCTGGGTCCGTTAGAGTGTAACAAAAAAGGCTTTCAGAAATCTTCCAAATACAGTCTGGGCATGTTTCACCTGGTGCCCTACATTTTCCAGATCCGTTTCCCTGAAGCGTGCACGTGTCCTCTTTCCATCTCTCATGTCAGATTTATTGTAGAAGGATCTGCTTGTTTGGCAAAATGAGAATGGGGGTCTTTGGTTTGCTGCGTTGGCACTAACCCAGCTGCCTCCATCACTGCATGTTGTTAATATGGAAAAACATTCATCATCATCATCATCTTCATTAAGGCCATTCGTTCATCTCGTCCAGCCCTTATTGATTGGTTAATATTATTAACTCTCCTTTAGTCTGGGAGGCTGCAGCTTTTTCCCCAAACTATCCCTCTCTTCTGATGTATGGATTAACAGAGAAGTGAGTTGGAATTGCATTAATCCTGTTTTTAAGAGATTTATTCCAAATGCAGACCTTCTTAGTTTATCCAAAGATTTGTGTTTCGCACATGGTCCTCAGGAGGTCTTCAACACGTGCGTAGGCGGGGTTGAGGGGACGTTTGTCTCTGTCTTTCACACACAGTGTTCCCTGCTGAGGGAGGCCAGGCGCTGCACGTACTCCCCGGGCTGCTGAGTCCAGGGTTTGCTCATCCACCCACCTCCCCTCCCCCGAAAAGGTCACCTGTGTCTTTATGTCCCGCTGGATTTCGAACTCGGTGATTAAAATTTAAAACCAACTCCAGAGTGAGTCAAACGGGAGGCTGACATTAGTGTTTACATTTAGCTGTGTGTAATCTCTTTTTTTTGCCCTAAGCAGCTTTTTTTTTTCCTGAAGAGGAATGAAAGAAAATAACATTTGGAAAACAACATCATGATTGATTGGAATGAACGGCTTTGAATATGCTTAGATATATTTCTCTCTTTGGTTGTTCTCTAGAGGCAGTGATTTGATTTGGTCATCATTCCTCAGGCCGTGTTTAGAACCGGCGTAAATCATTTCCATTATACGCCGACATGGATCAGGCCTTCATGTGCCATTTGCCTAAATGTCACCTTGTATGACTTTATCTATCCCTTCGGGCTGCAGCTTTACTCTAAACTTGCCAGAAGGAGAAGAAAAAGAGCCCATTCGGCGTCCTGCGGCTTCGGCCGGCGAGCCCCTCCATCAGCGGCCCGTAATCCACGCCAAGCCAAACGATCCCCCCGAGGCCCGGTCAGCCCGCCCTCCTCCCCAAACACCTCGTGTTTCTGAAAAATCGGAGAACCTCTCTGAAACGCGTGCTGGTGTCCAGACACGCCGGTGTGTGTGTGTGTGTGTGTGTGTGTGTGTGTGAGGCGCACGGCGGTGGCTGTATTTGCATATGGGCGGCGTGATGGGGCTGTGAGGGAATTAGGATAGCCCAGAGGTTGTTTATAATCTTCCCGGTCCCAGCTATCCCCAGGGGACTATGGCTTCATGCAAGATGCCATTACTGCACAGCCCCCCGCCCCCTGCTTTAAGGGAATTACACCGCTGTCTCCCGCTCAGGGCACCGGTTGATCCATGGTGTGCTGACGGTATTTAAAAGCCTTAATGTGGTAATAGTGTTAGGCTGCAGAGAAGCTGCAGAGCTTTTAACTTTCGTCTCCTGAAGCTGTTTTTTCCCTGTCAGAAACTCGCACTGACTGGCGATCAACCGAAAATAGACGCATGTTTGAGCAGGTTCTGGAAGTATTTGTGAGTGTAATGACACAGAAAGGAGATGCCGTTGGTTCACAGAGGATGTCCAGTAGGGCGCGTGGACCTCCGCCTGCCCGGATATCTCCCCCTTATGTGGGTGTGAGAAGGCACTCTGTGGGGCTACCGGCCCAAATCTCCTTCAGGCTCCAGGGTTCAGTTGAGTTCACAAATGTTTTTGGAGGAGGAGTAAAGTAGAAGCACATTACAACCCCCCCACCCCCTCAGATTTGTAGGCTTTTTTTTTTATTTGTTAGTGTGAGTGAATGAGAGAGAAACTGCACATTTGAGTGTGTGTTCTCCATAGGCTGCTCTTGCGTTGCTAAGCAACCCGGTTGCTGCACGGTGAAGAGGGGGTGGGACGGGAGAGAGGCTCCAGGTCGACAGAGGCAGACACAGGCTCTGCTGCGGCTGATTGGACAGATCTCACACCTTGATGAATGACACAGATCATTATCGTGTGGACTGGCTGGGAGGCCGGACGGTGCTCCACCGTCCCTTCCACAGCCTGGACAGTCGCTCCGTTTGGTCACTTTGAAAAAGCACCAGATGACAGTTCTTGTAGTAGTTTGACACACATCTGAGCTTAATCTCACATGGACACGTGTTCGATTAGGACACAATGTCTGCGTGAGAAATGCTTTTGGTCCGAAGGTAAGTTTATTCATCGGATTAAGTCAAATGATTTTGTTTCCCTATGCCAGATTTCTTGTGGACAGCACAGCCGTGCCTCTGATGCCGGAGATGCTGTTTAAGTGCATTGATTTCATTCAGGTGCAGCACACTGTCACCAGGGCTGGACAGAAGAGACCTGGATTCAGATTAAAAATCTAAAGTCTATCACTTTATCTTAAATTGAATCTCAAACCAAAGTCATAAGACAGCGTAGACGCCGGCTCATGAGCAACATATGCCACCACTTAAGCAACAGCTTCTGGCCCTGCCAAAGGCTGGACAGTCTCAGACCCTGTTCCTTATGGCAAGAGTGTGACTCTCTATTGATCAAAAACACTCAGAGGATTAATAAAGTATAACCATCTGTCTGGGTTTAACACATCAGTTCAGATTTCGTGTCAAAGAAATTCAGATTCATGAAAAGACATTAAAATGTGGGACACCTTGCTGTTTGCTGTGTTTTGTTATATATCTGCTGTTAACTTCAGGCTACTTAGTGCCTGAATAACCTTAAAAGATGATGTTTTATTCGGATGGATTTAGTTTTTCATATTTCAGCAATTACATTTTTGAAAAGATTTAACTTTATGTCAAGTTTTATAACCTGAAACTCAGTGGAGCTCCGTTACACCGTACTTTACAAGCTGAACATGAGTCATATGTAAGTACCGGTAAGCACATTAACTATGACCCATTCATTCTTATTCATTTTAAGCCCAAATGTTGGCTTTTCTCACTAACTGTTAGATGAGCATCCTGGACTACATTCCCCATCATTGGTAGTGAAGAAGACTATGTGAGGACACAAAAACAGCCCGGAGGAATTGCAGGGCAACGGGTCCAAGTCAGGGAGGGGAGAGTTTAGTGGTCACGCTCGCTGTCACCAAGGTAACAGGAGAGTCGGAGGCCAGGAATTCGCGCCTGAATGGAAGAGGAGACAGACTGCTGCAAGTCAGGGTCACTGCGGGTTAACAAGTACAAGCTGAAGTGGATTTACTGTACTGGAGTTAAGCTGCCACCTGCAGGGCTGCTGATTGTTCTGATAATTAAACTCTTACAGGAGCAATTACGATGATTTTACGGCGTGGGATAAAGGACAGTTGGGTAGTCTGGACAATGCGCTCAGTCACATTTGAAGTCCATTTAAATGTGAATGAATATTAGAGTCTAGGATCTTCATTCAGTTTTTTATTACTCGTTATGAGACTGTTTGATGGCTTTAGCCAAGCTTTTTCTTAACCGTGTAGGTACCTGTATTGTGATGTCTAAAATGTTTTCATATCATTGCACAAATATTGTTTCCGTATTTGAATTTAAATGCAGGTAATTTGTATGATATTTCTAGAAAGTCTGACTTTAAATGAGTACAGTATATTAGTTCTTTACTAACATTGCCACATGTTCTTTCTGATTCTTGTTAAACGAAATAGAAATAGAGTATTAGAAAGGGGGAACAATCAGCAACTTTCAGGTTAATTCTTGGGTGTTAAATTTTTTAGATAACATGCTTTCTTATCTCTTTTTGAAGTGATTTTAAGGGCAAACATTATCAGCTCAGGGGTTTATTTCCCATTTCTCCACAACCTCTTTCTTTGATTTTGAGGCTTGCAAATGGGCATGTAAACACACGTGTCTTCCTCGCTCCATGCCATTGACAGTCAGAACAATTCCTGGCGATCACATCAAATATTATTGACATCATTGATATATTAGGTTTTGTCTACCTCCCCATCTTCGTTTATGTTTCAGCTAAAGGATCAGTTTATTGAGTGATGGCGTTATGGATGGGAATATCTGCCCTTTTCTGGATCTGAACAATATACCAAAAGTGAGTTTCTGTAGCCTTGGGTAAGAAAAGCCACAGCTATAGCTATAAATGAGAGTGGGAGAGCTTAAATAGCTTTGTGGTGAATGTGAGGCCAGCTGGGGGCAGCCAGGGCAGGCGGGGCAGTGATGTGTGGAGTATTCCTCATCATTGGTAAGTTGTAGGTGGGGGAGGGCAGCGCTGGCAGTCTCGGAGTAAGTCAGATAGACAGCAAATCTCGTTCCCTGCGAGGGAAGGTTAAAGCCTGGTGGCAGACAGCCAGCACCAGTGATGGCACCAACTGTCACTGGCAGCCCCATCTCTCTGCTGTCACACAACGGTGTGTGTGTGTGTGTCGGTGTGTAAACTGTGTTCTCCCTCGGTGAATGGTCAGCTCTGATCCTCTAAAGGAGGAATGGACACTATGGTTCTAACCACCACCACCTCATGGTCAATATCCCTATACCCAATATTTGTTTATTGGTTGTCACAGTGCAATAAGATATAGCATTGCAATATTATATGGTGCAATAAAGTGAGATGCTCCACTCTCATTCCTTTACTATATCGTATTCCATGTTGCTACTACACTGCCTTTGTTATCCCTCCTATTGTTTATATTCAGAGCCAACTCTTCATATTTTTTTTACCTTGAATCAATTTTTCCAGTTCTTTTATAATTATAGTTATATATGTATAGCTTAGGTTTGGTAATTATCTACAGATTATTTATTAGCACTCCTACACGCAGACCCCACTGTACCAGGTAACCAAGCGACAGCATTTTGATGTCAAATTCACTGTGTGGTTTTGTACAATGTGGTTTTCTTCAGCTATCTTAGCTCCCTTCAGGGGAAAGGTAGGGTACCTCCTGGATAGGTCAGCTGTCACCAGACAGCCCTGTTGAGAGCAATTAGCATTTATTTTAATTAGCACTATTTAGATATTTTGAAGATTTATGGACAGTTTGTACTACAGAAGTTTGTACAAAGTAGTGTGAACTGCCGTTTGAAATAGAACAATAATAACTCAATACTGAATACCTTCTACAAGTGAACCCAGAGTTTGTGGTTAACTAGGTGACTGTCACGTGTTTGTGCCTTTCAGCTTCAAAATATGCTCAGATGAGTTGGTTTGAGGTGCTTCCGTTGATGTTCTGTTTGTTTTTCAGTGCTTTCTGGTGTTGTTTGTCTATCATCATCCCAAAATCTTGTGTTATCATTTTTACCTTTGTAATTGTGCAGTCATAGACTTTAGTATTTGACATGTTAACTGAAGCTCGTGAAGTCTGAAATGTAGCTTTTGGGGTCTTTATAGTTTATGATGTTTGGTAATATTATTTAAGCCATTTTCACTTTCTCCTGCTTAATACAAAGCTTGAAGCAAAAAGAAGCCTCACGCTATACCTTGTTTGTTCGATAAAAATAAATAAAAAACCAGAAGAGAGGCTTTTTTGGATCTCATCTGCCAACCTGCTTCACTGTTCAGTGACAGATTCAGCCAATAAAATACTATATTTTAGTCATTGATCTTGGGCAGAACTTGGCTGGATATCTTCCAGCCTTGTGGTGTTGTGGCCTTCTAACCTTCAGTAGGCAGGTGAACAGCTGAAATATCTACAATGATGTCTGGATGACATGATGAGATATGGCTGAAACAAACCTGCTTTTTCTGCAGACTTTTGTGGCTTAAAGTGTGCTGTGTAGTTGTTTGTCTCCTCATTCTGTCTCCTGGTGACTCCTGTGGTTGTCACCCTTCTGTGGTTCATATTCAGCACCCAGTCGAGTGTAACATCCCCTCTCTTGGTCTCTCAGCTTTCTTCCTCATTAATCACAACCTTATAAGACACTCCGCCACTTCCGCTCTCCCTCCCACTCCTCCATCCTCTTGTCTTCTTTATCATCACTGTTAATCACCTGCAGTCAGCGCTCAGGCAAATCTTAAACCCGCGATGATTGGCTGTGCCGGAGAGAGGGCGGGGCCTCCGGCGACGCATCATCCAAACGTACCAGCGCAGCAGGAAAGATCCTCTCTGACTCTCCCTCCCCCTCTCCCTGCCTCTCACTCTGCCTCTCATACGCACAGCAAAGCTCCGGACTGCAGCAGAGCGTGGGGGGCCACCAGGATTTTCCCTCCTCCTTCTGGAACAGATGAGAAACAGGAGAGACTCTTTCCGGCGTTTGGAGGACGGAGATGTCCCTCATGGAGAATCCACCCAGGAGTGTCTGACCTGCAGGCCGCTGAGTGTGTAGGTGAGTGTTTATCCGGCTGTGTGTGTGTGTGTGTGTGTGTGGCCACGCATGTGAGTTCACTGCAGAAGCAGCAGCAGCAGCACTGCAGATACTCCATCCAAGGGCTCTGCTCATCCCTCCCTCCCTCCCTCCCTCCCTCCCATCCCCCCACTCCCCTCGTCCTCATCTCCTCCTCTTCTCTTGGAGAATCCGTTTTCGAGGAGGCAGTCCGTCCGTTCCCATTCCCCGCGGCGGTGTGCGTGCTGCTGCCCGTGGGTTTGGGGAGAGGAGCTGGTCAGGCCACACCTGGACCAGGACATGTGGCCTTCATGATTTTTCTTGCCACGCCAAGTGATGACTTTCTCCAACCAGGCTTACAATTCTACATTCTCCGCCCTCTGCAGGTTTGAAGAAATCCCATCCAGTGGCAGTACGGTGGACTTTTAAAGCCACCCATCCCTCCCGCAGGACTGCCCCCTTTCTCCCCCACCCCCCTGCCCCCCCTTCCAAGCCTGCCACTCATCCTCATTTAAGGATAGGATGCCCGGCTGTGCGCCCCTGTGCTGAGGAGGCGTCGGCGGGCAGCAGCATGGGCGCTGCTCTAGCCGGCATCCCCACCATCCCCTCCGCCACCAATCCGCCACCGCCACCGCCACGCTGCCCCACCGCCACGGGCACCCCCCCCCGGCCCCGCTGATGGGCGAAGACACTGACGCCACCCCGACGCTCAACCACCACGGCTTCCTCCCCGACCACAACTATGTGACTGAAGGTAGGGAGAGGACCCGGGGGAGCTGTTTGGGGGGGCTGAAGTGGGTTTGAGTGTTCTCCCATCTATTCACTGAGCCCTGAAAGAGCCTGTGTGTGTGTGCGTGTGTGTGTGTGTGTGTGTGAGGCAGAGAGTGTGAGTGCCTTATACTGTGGGACAAAACAAGCTTAAGACGGCTTCCTAATCTTTTATAAGCCCCGTGTTGATTAATGTTCAGACCGAGCTGCGGAAAGAGCAAAATAAAACCGTCTTTGGCATGTTTTCTTCTTTTACATCTCCTCTCAAAGACGATTTTCTTTTTGTGTGTCTCACTCTTCATCCCTGTTTACTTGGCGCTTTTTCTTATTCGGCAGGGAAAAATGGATGTGTCCCGGTTTTAGGTGAGCTTATGTTTGTCTTACATTGTGTCTGCAGAGAGGAGGAAATGCTGTTATTTCCTGTAGAATTAGGAGAGTTTTTCAGGATAGCAGGTCAGAAACTTCCAGCACGTTCTTCTGTCGGCTCCTCTTTATAACAGGGTCAAAGGTCAAACTTAATACACATTAGATCTGAGTTGGGGTAACATTGAAAAACCCAGCGGCACACTAGCCAGGTAATCCACGGACGAAGAGTTAGTTCCTCACATCAACTGGACTGTAATGCTGAACACGCTAATCTTACCTTCTCACTAGCTGCTTTGCTCCTTCCTCTGTCGGTTTCTTCCTCTCAGTTTACTGTTTCTCAGACTGGATTATGGTTTGTGGGGGTTGTGAACTTTCTACAACCTCGTTTATCATCCTTATGCTACTTAACAAAGCAAATTAAGCCTCTCGTGTCTTACTGTTGCGTAATTCCACTCACAGTAGGGAGATCTGTACTTCTGCCTGTTGACTGTGTAAGTGAGTGTGTGTGTCTGTTCTATTTTCTGGAGAGTCTTTCTTTGTCTGTGTGTACCAATGTGCTTTTCTGTTTTTTTGTTTTTCCTGAGCAATCTTTGTTAATTTGAGGAAAATCTTTTGATGGCTGATTGGCAGAACGAGCGTTAACTCGCATCACTCATCATATTATTGCCATAGTAACAGTCAACAGTCACAAACGTGCAGCTTTTCATGCTTGGCCACCGTGATTGACAGGCTGTCTCCACCCACCAATAATGGCAGTATTAATTATTCCACACATCTCAGGCATGCACAGACATTGTTCAGGGCGAATTGCTGTTGAGCTCGCACTGAGGTGGACATGCCACCGAGCCCCAACGGTCTGAGAAGTGCTGCGACAAACAATGAGAGCAGGGAGCGTAGCGGGGTGCCCAAATTGTTGCCTAAAATTGAATGCCACAGTCTGATGGCCATCGAGTTGTGTTTCCGTCGCCAATAAAACATGTCATTATCCGCCACTTCCTTCACGTCTGCTCCACCCCCTGTCCACCTTTCATCCAAGTTCACTGGAGCCCCCTGTAATTCCTCCCTCACTTCCTCCCTCACTTCCTCCCCCACTGCCTGCCGTCCTTAAACGCAGCCCGTGGCATCGCCCTGTGCTGCTAAACAATTGTCTCCCGGTGCTCAGAGGGCTGCTCCAGCACATTGTGCAGCTGTGCGCGTGACGAGGACAGGGGGACGCCAGAGCCAGACACGGGGGTTTGAGTTTGCGCTCCGGTGTATTTATCTGTCACTCCATCTTTCTTTGCTTTTGGCCTGGGTTGTGTTCATGCCACGTGTGTGTGTTTCCTCAGGTTTGGATGTGTGTCTGCAAGTGTCTTGTGAGTGCGCATACATAACAGTGTGTCTGTAGATCTTCCCATGGGGATCCCCCCCTGCCCTTTAGCTCCTTTGGGGCGGGGGGGGCCTGACCCCCCCCCCCCCCCCCTGCGCGTTCCTGTCCCTCCCCTCCGTCTTTGCCTTTTACTACCCAATCTAATGTGTTTTGCTTTCCAAAATATTCCCATTTTCAACAACCCCCCCCCCCCTCCCCAGCTGGGGCGCCATTGGCTTCAATGGCAGATGAGAAAATGTGAATGTATTTTTCAATTGAGACACCTCTACCTGTGCTCTATTCTAAAAGCCATAGTGATTCATGTTAGTGGTGAACTGAAATCGTCATCTGTGAGTCAAATCACAGCCCTCTGCCTGTAATGTATTGCTGCACTTTCAGGATAGGAAGAATTTGAGTGAAAATGCCTCTTTATTTAAATGCTTGAAAGGAAAGTTGATCTTTTTTGGAAATGTTTTACTTGCCATTTGCACACCTGCACACAGAACAATGACAGGAGGCAAAAAAGGGAGATGTAAAATAGAAAGCAACAGGAATGAATAAAAGCAAAGTTATAGAAGCTGTACACACAGTGTGACACTGTAAAATACAATGCAGTCAAATTGTATACGTCTTTTTAATCTTAGACCAAGATGTTTGGATTGCTTGTTAACGAATTTCCAGATTTTACCTTGATTTTAGATCAATTTGAGATACATGAAATGACTCATTAATGAGGACAACAGGATTAAATGTGAGAGTGTTATCCAGTCTTTTTGGCATGAGACAATCAGAATTAACTAAATTTTCACAAGCTGATAAATAACATTAGAAAAAACTCAACTTATGGAGGCTCTCCTTATAGGTGTCTATATCTGTTCACTCCTCATGTCTTGCTGAACTTCCCGCCAATCCCCACTTGTGACTATTTCATGTTGCATCGATACAATGTGACCATGAACGCACTACCAGTGGACTTTTTTCTTTTGGTGAGTGCTCATGACCGAATGTGGTGATGTAGTAACTCAGTCCCCACCCTTAACCTTGCCCGGTCCTCCTTCCTTCCTTTACCTTCTGCCTCCCTGTTGCCCTCCTCCCTCCCTTCCTCCCGCCCATCGTTGCTCCTCTTGCAGGGCTGCTCCTGGCTATAGCCTGAAGAGCTCCGCCCATCCCGTCCACCCCTCTCCACCCTGGAGTCCTCCCCCAGGATGTTGAGCCCCATCCAGGTCCTGTGCTCCGACATCACTACCCTTTCTCTGGAGCCTGAGCCGTTTGCCTCTTACACTGAAGGTGTGTGCTCTATCCTCTTCTATCCCAACGGTCGTATCTATGTCTCACACTTGCGCCACGTGACCCCGGGGTGAGATATGAGAGCATGTGTGCACCTGTATGGGAGTGGTGTGCCAGGGAGAGTCTGTGTGTGCATTCATGAGGAGAAGGAGGAGTAATCTGACTCAGGTGAACTCTCCAGTGAGTCTGAGTGTTATAAATATCTCAAACATCTCTTTGTCTCTGTCTACCTGCCTCATCCTTTTAGTGTGTCTATTTTTGTAGCTCCTTTATTTTTGTCTCCGTCTTCCTGCTTTGGTCTGGATTAAATGTTTGATTGGTTTCCTTAAATAGTTTGAGCAGAAGACATCCCAGTTCCTTCAGAGTGTAGCTGTCTGACATTTACTTTAGGTAGATGTTAAGTAAAAAAACATACAAAGCCTTTGTAACTACAACAAGCACAAGCCTCTAAAACATTACATTTGTGAATGCAGGCCGATCTCCAGCTTACGATGAATTTATTTCTTAAAAGGTGTGTTCCACACATGCTTAAACTGGATCGGTTGTTTTTCATTCTAATTGTCTGTGTCTATAACCGTTAAACTCACACCGGCTCGGCTCCATTGTGCTGATGTGTGTTTGCAGAAATGGCAGATTCCCTGCTGTGCCGGCTTTAAATCGCTCCTCTGCACACGTGCGCCTCTAACACAAACACATGAGCTGTTTTTCCTTTTCAGATAACTCCAAAACTGCCGGACAGGGATCAATTTAGTCTTTCCCCACGGCAGTCTCGCCCCTCTCCTCCTACGCTCCCTCCTCTCCCTCACTCCCTCCATCCCATTTATTTCTCTGCAGGGTAATAGAGTACACACACTTGTGCACGCATTCACAGGAAATGTGGGGTGCTTGAGCTACAATATGCTCTCACATTTACCGCCACACACACACGGACGTCTCCTGCTGAGTGGTGGCTTGTCCTCGCTTTTAAGGAGTGTGTGTTTTTGGCTCGGCTTTAATGGTCCGTGTTTACCCACGGCTAAGATTTCTATAATTGGAACGTCTGCTCCCCCTCAGTCCCTATAGAAACCTTAGAAAAAAGGAATTCCCCCTGCCTTCAGCACAACCAGGATTTATTAGATATTGCCATTTACTCAATTTAGTGTTATCTTTAGTAAATTATTTTGTCAAGTTATTCGGATTGCTTTTTTGAGCCAGCAGTTGATAGTTTTGCTCTAACCTGGCTTCGAAAAGCAAGCTGAAGTTAAATGGAACATTTGCCTCATTTCTCCTATTCTGAGCACATTTTTATATCATTTAAATCATTCTCTCCACAAAATGTCAGTGTTTCCTTTTGTCCTTTTGTATTGATGTTAAATACTGGAGGCAGAAGGAACTTGTTGATCTGTGATGTGATCTGATGAAAAAGCCTCAAGCTACAGCAGCCAAGGTTTTCAGCGCTTCATCTAACATCTGATATCTGATCCAGATTCAGGGCTAAATCCTCCTGTTCCACCCTGGGGATTCGTAAATAATAGGAAAAACAATTAAAGAACTCACAAAAAGCAGGATAAAAGATATATGGTTGTTTCTGCTTCGCTTTTCTAGTTTCATTCTTCTTCTTTTTTTATTATGTTTACGATTCTTTTTATGTAGCTAGCTGCTTTTAAACCCTTTATTGTGCATTCAACCGACTGCATGTTTTTTTTATGGGGCTGGTTCCATTCACAACGCGTGGCGCTGAGTGTTGATATACACGGTTTGTGTGGGCACGTGCCCTTTCAGTCACAGTGTGTTCCCTCCGCTTTTGCAGCGTGACAGTGACTCAGACAAGCCTGCCGATGCTAATCTGCTGTTTGTGGGAGACACAGCCTTCTCTCTTTTACTGTAACACATGATCACGTACACCACAAGACAAAGCGTTTACGGGTCCCTCTCACACACACATTTGAGATATGGAACACTGGGCTCTGCCTTGCGGGAGAGAGCCACTGCTGGTTTCAGCACTGGCTGCTCTGTTCATTTTTCTATAGTGCTCTTTTAATAGAGGGCGTGAAAGAGATAGATGAGGCTAAGTTGTGTGAGTGTGCGAGAGAGAGAGAGAGAGAGAGAGAGAGAGAGCAGGAGAGGCTGACAGAGAAACAAAAAGACAGAGAGGGTGGAGGTTGAGAAAAGAGGATGAGAGTGGAGAGCATCTGCTCCATATTTTATTCAGCTATATTGTGTGCTGCTCTTGTGGTTTTGCTTAGCCGAGCTCTTTCTCTGCCTGACTTGACTGGACGTACTTGACACTCGTGCACACACAGAGCTCCGTAAGTGCATGTGCGCATTCACTGCTCCCCGGTGTCCATACAAATGTAGAGATTTCAGTCACATGTGGGTGCTCGCATAAATGAATCTTGTGCATCCCTGCATTGATCATCTGGAGGTTGAAAATGAGCATGAACATGGTGCCGGCTCCATGGAGGTCAGCTGTCCGCAGCCAGTGGCCCAAACGGCAGCAGCATCATTATTTCTCCACGTTGCTCCTTCCTGTGAGGACACAACTGATGAATCCAACTTCCTCCTTCATCAGACTGCCATATACGGCAAACCGCTACGAGTACTGCAGCCACTGGTTGGCTCAGCCCATTACCATGGTAACCACCACTCACCAGAGAAATCCCCCACTCCACCCCCCCACTACCTCATTCTCTTCACCTTCCCTTCCCATCCTACCCATTCTTCCACCACTAGCATCACTACCACTATGCACACCCGCACGTACAGCCAGGCAGCAGAGCGCCGTGGGGGAGGGATGAGAGCCGCAGGGAGGAAAAGAGGAGGGAAACGTGGCAAACCAGAGAAAAACTGCAGGAAAATGAAATGATGGATGACAAAAGAATGCGCAGGATAGGGGAAAAAGACTGACATGGAACTTGGAAATGATTAAAAGCGCCAAGAGACCCGTGTAACAGAAGCAGAAACCGAGGCAAAAAAGAATCAGTGGGTGTGGAACGGGGTGAGAATGCTTGTGTCGGTGTAGAGGCTTAAGAGCAGTCCCTGCCTCCACTCATCATAAAACCGAACTCGCTCAAGGCCACCACAAACAGGCAACCTTCAGCTCTGGCTCTCAATAAAATAAAAAAAAACACTCCCCGTGCTCTATTTTTATTACAGTCTGAACCTGTGAGGACACGTTCTCCCCCATCAGATCTGAGCTCAATAGATTTTTTCATATCTAACCATTTTTGAGAGTAGTAGCTGTTTTTGAGCTTTTGTGACACAAAAAGTCAATAATAAATCCAATAAGTCCATTAATAAATGCTTTATTTTCTTTTAGAACATATGGGATGTACACCGGACGCAGATGTTTGAAATAAATGGGGGAAAAAAGGTCAACAGTCTTTCATTATGAGTCTGACAAGTTAACCACTGCATAAAAAGGTCGGTGTTCCTCCAATAAACATTTATTCAAAGGTCCAAATTTAATTTAGTCCAAACCGACAGCGATTTTAGAGACGGTGCCTAAAAAGCAGAAAGCTGTCAAGTAAAAATATCATCCTGCCAAGATGAATTGACCCCAGGAACACAGCAAATTTTAGCAGAGACTGTCCTACATATTCCTCATAGTGCTTGCATCTTAAAATGAGTTTAACAGAGGTGGAAGAGACACGTCTATATTTCATCAGCCAAGAAGCAGTGAGGAAACAGGGGGAATCAAATATTCTGGCTTGTTCAGTACCGAGAAAGCATACCAGCAGCTCTACGAAGCTTTTAGGTTCGTAGAGCTGGTATTCGAGGTTCTATTGTTAAGTTCTTTATTAACACTCTGAAAGAGGTTTAACAACTAATAGATTTTGGACTAAATCATAAAATCTCCTTCACAAAGGCGTAAAGTCAGGATTGGATCAGTAGACAGAAGGACAGAGAACTCATTACATGCAATATCAAAGCGAACTGAAGCCTCAGATATCCCACATTCCTCCACCTAGCATGGCTGAGAGCCGCGTATGTCATCTTTGGTGTGTTGTGTGATACGTAGAGGACCACTGAACGGTAAATGTTACATTTGCTTTCTTTTTACAGTTTTAGTGGATGAAAGAATCATTTATATAAAAGATAAACGCGGATTCAGAGAAGTTATTCCGCGGACAGTCACGTGTTGCAGTCTGGGATGCTTATCCCCACACCGCTGTGACACTGTGCGTGTGTGTGTGTGTGTGTGTGTGTGTGTGTGTGTGTGTGTGTGTGTGTGTGTGTGTGTGTGTCGCAGTGGATGACAGAAAACACCTGAGCCCACTGTGAAACAGCTGTGCGTGTGTTGTGTGCGTCTTTGGTTTCCTTTGTTTCGAGAGCTCAGACTTTCAGCTTTCCATGTTTGCATCATCTGTCAAATGCAGTTTTATTCCTCACATTACATCCACTAATAAACATTGTTTTGATCACTAATATCCAGATGAACATCTCACGGATGAGTAATGACACGTGGCATGGTCTAATAGCTGCTGTCTGTCTCTCTCCCTACAATTTCACCTCTCATAACCCCCTCCCCGCTTTCTCTCTCTCGGCCTCTCTGTCTTTCCCTGACCAGCCGATATCATCTCCACTGTTGAGTTCAACCATACAGGAGAGCTCCTGGCCACAGGGGACAAAGGGGGTCGTGTGGTCATCTTTCAGAGAGAACCTGAGGTAGGCTCACACACCCCGACTATTTACTCAGATATACAGCTTTTTATTGCAGCGGCCAGAGGGGTGATGAATTCCCTTCCTTCCCTCACTCCCCTCCAGATACCTGATATATTGGTTGATGAATAGTTGATATGTCTTCTGTGTCAGACAGCTTACGACTACAGCTGAGCAACGCTGTGTGGGTCCATCACACGAACAACATAAAGCTGTCAAAAATCAGGTCCAGAGTTCCTCTGTAATGGACACTTGATTTCATTTGCTTGTTTATATTTCTGCAGAGCAAGACGGAGCCATTTTCCCAGGGAGAGTACAATGTGTACAGTACTTTTCAGAGCCATGAGCCCGAATTCGACTACCTTAAGAGTTTGGAGATTGAGGAGAAGATCAATAAGATCCGATGGCTGCCTCAGCAGAACGCCGCACACTTTCTCCTCTCCACCAATGGTGAGGGCAGACAGCTCCCAACACACACACACACACATCCCAGCGGAGCCGGGGCTGAGCATTTAGAAAAGTTTGCTGAGTATGACACAAAGGGAGGGCATTGCATAGCTGCTCTGGCTGAAACAGATGGGTTTGCGCCCATGTGGTGGACTAACACCCCAGACCTTTCTAAACGTCATCAATTACGACAACCTCTATTAACTTATTGTGAGTTTCATGCACTCTTTGATTCAGAAATAAACGATTGCTCAGTTCAGGTTTGGTCTGAATTGGTCTGGTTGAGTCCGTGTTTCTACCCACTAAAACAGTGAAGCCTTGATATTTTCCTCTAACAATCATTAACATCTGAGTGGTAACATGGTGGTGTGGTGGTTAGCACCATCGCCTCACAGCAAGAGGGTTCCTGGTTCAAGTCCTGGGGGGAACTGGAACACTTCTGTGTGGAGTTTTCATGTTTTCCCTGTGTCTCAGGCTTCCTCCCACCAGTCAAAAACCTGCATGTAGGTTGATTGGCCATTCTAAATTGCCCTTAAGAGTGAATGTGCATGGTTGTTTGTGTTTGTGTGGCCGTGCAATGGACCTCTTGCCCATTGAATACTGGGATAGGCTCCAGTCCCCCCGCCACCCCATTTGGGAATAAGCAGTTCAGAAAAATGGATGGAGCGTCTCAGTTTGTCTCAGAGGTCCAAATTTATATTTTACACCCGGAGTTTATGGCTACACTGGAAGATCCATAGATTTACCCTGACAGGCCCGCTATTGATTTCTTTAAGTACTATATTATTTATAATGGAGGGTATAAAAAATGTAGGAGCTGCTTCAGCAGCCGGGCATCGACTTGCTGACATGATTTTCCCGAATGATTTAAACAGTCTGATTGTCTGTTGAACCTGAGACAGTTTGATTTTGTCCATGTTCATATCAAGCTCGGTTTTCGGTCTGGTCAGACATTTTTATGTAGCAGTTAATCAGAAATCATCAAATAAACATATCATATCATCAACGTACTGTTAAGAATAGACGTCCTTTAGAAGCGGGATGTTTTTACCTGTAAATCTATAGACTGAAATTGAGACAAACTTTAACATGACCTTTCCTGGTTGGACGTAAGGAACTGATTTCTCAGTTAGGTCCTGAAGGCAGCTCAGCAGCTGCGGGTGTTTCAGGAAGTTGGAAAGAGATTGCAGTGGTTCCCAGAACAACCTAATAAATCAGAGACGTAATTTATACTTCAGTGATTGTTTCTCTTCGGGTACATTTCAAAACATAAAACATGCCTGCGCCTCCACACAATCTGCGGGAAGCTACTGCATACGTGGATTTTACACAGAAATCTAGTTTCTGACAAAGGTACCAGACAAAGGTGGTACACAACAAAAACCTTTTTTTTAAAGCTAATTTTTTTTTATTTAATGCACTTCCGTTTTTCAGATAAGACCATTAAGTTGTGGAAGGTGAGTGAAAGAGATAAACGTCCAGAGGGATACAACCTAAAGGATGAAGAGGGCCGCATCAAAGACATTTCTACTGTCACATCCTTACAGGTATCTATCTATCTATCTATCTATCTATCTATCTATCTATCTATCTAT